CTTTTCCCTACGACGATAATATAGTATATAGGCGATTCGGAAATAAACTAGAGTTAGCTCTTCCTAGAGAGAGAGGTAATTATAAAAGAATACTAAGAGATATTTAGAAACCTAAAAGAGACCAAAGTAAACCTTCTCTACGTAATAGTATACATAATTCCCTAGTACGTATTTTATACTCGCCGTATACGAGGATAGAGAAAGTAGAAGTTTATTCTACGCTTAACCTAGTACTAGGTTAATTGGAGTTCTATATATTACTACAACCCCCTATTATACTCTAACTAAGGACTTAAGCTTAGTATCTATATTAAATAAAATTCTAGGATTAATAAACTAATCCTAATATACTATACTAATTAAATATTAGTAGTAGTATATCTATCTTATTCTATATATTATTTATACTCTCTAGATATTAGCCTCTTCTTACTACTAGCGACCTACTATAGCTGTAAGGGTATAAGGAAAGATACTAAGGATGCTAAGAGGTGAGGTCGAGTCAGGCCGGCTGCTGCCGTGCACGTGACGCACAATCACATCCTGCGCTTCGCAGGCTCAACGAACAAGGCAGAGATTAGTTCGATCACGAACCCACCCAGTGGTTCGGCGGGCGTCCTATACATTGCTACACACCCCCTTTGACAGTTCTAATCTCTCCCCCCCTAAGGAGCAATCCATAGGACCCCAAAACGATGTCGAGAACTGGGTCGCCTGCGCTGCGCGAGCGCCCTGAACGCGACGAGTCGGCTTTGTTAGCATCCGTCCAGGAGAACATAGCAACCCTCCGCGAAGAACGAGATCGCCTGCGAGCTGAGATCGAAGCCCGGAGTCTCGAAGCTGAGGTGGAACGCCTGCGGCGCCTGCGCACCGCTGGCGCTACCCCAGGACCATCTGCTCACAGCAGAGACCCAACTCCCTAGTCGATCCAACCAAGCGTAGAGGATTTGAACCCGCGCAGCGCTAGCGGCTCGCAGCCGTCGAGCAGGCCACGCCTACGCGAGCCTCGTCAGTTTGAAGGCGATAACATGAAAGAGGCGCGCGGATTCTTGAGGGAACTGGACCTTATATTCGCTTTGACAGACACGTACTGTACAGATCGGGATAAGGTGCTGTATAGCATCATGTATCTCGCAGGCGAGGCGCAAGAGCGTTGGCATAACCTATACTCCATTGATGATGTGGAAAATGGATACACCTACGCTGATTTCAAGGACTTCGTGCGTGACGCAGTCGGCGATCCTGTGAACCGCATGCTTAGCGTCACCTTGGAGTACGACAAGATTCGGCAGCGCGAGGGACAAACTGTCCAGCAGTTCGCTACAGAGTTGGATACTTTGGAAGATCAACTCGGAGACTATAGCGAGCCACAGAGGGTGCGCCATCTCCTCGCAAAGCTCCAGCCTGCGCTACGCCCTGCTATTGTGAAGTATCACGAGATCCCCAAGACCCGTCAAGAGCTAGTAACGCTAGCCACGAGGATCGAGAGCACCGATCAGTCTGCGCACAGCAAGCGCCAACTCGGCGACCCGTCGTCTCAACGCCCTCCTAAAAAGAACAAGCACAGTACGTCAGCCTCAGGTGCTGCGAACCGTAAGGCTGGCGCTGGTGACGCGCACAAGGAGACACCTTCAGTTAACAAGGCTGAGGCTGAATGCTTTGGCTGCTATAAGAAAGGACACTATAAGAATAAGTGCCGCTCGAAGCACCTGTGGGACGAAAACAAACCGCAGGCGACACGCAGGGTCGAAGCAGGGAAGGAGGAAAAAAACTCCACCCGTCTAGCGAAGGCTCGCAGCTAGACGGGGCATCAAAAGTCGACTGCAGGCAAGCGACGCCCTTGCGCGGCGCAGTCGAGACGAAGGCGGGCATGAAAGATATGTACTTCCTTCTCGACGATGGAGCAGATGTCAACGTGATCCCGCAGCGGCTTGCACTACAACATCAGCTGCCGCGCTTGAGCCACGCAGCCTTGCCGAAGGTCAACTCCTTCGCAGGGCAGCAGAGCTTCTGCTATGGAGCATATTACGCACGCGTGCGCCTCACAGACTCTGCAGGCGTCGAGCGCACTACAGGAGCAACGTTCTATTCGTTCGACACAGCGGAAGACGTATGCATTTTAGGAAGGCCATGGCGTCACCGCCAGGCTGTCCTGATGGATAGTAGCACTAACAGCTGGACCTACAGTACCCAGTCGCAGGCGGCGCGCTTGCGCGAACCATAGGAGTTTGCTACAGATCTCAAGGGCGCTTCCCATGTCTATGCTATTACTATTCAGCAAGTTCAAGGCGACTCTGTCGGGCCATCCGATTTGCCAGACGAGTTCAGAGACTATGAAGATGTCTTTCAATACGACCCGAAGACGGCGCGCAAGCTACCAGACGGCGCCGAGCATGAGATACTCCTGGAGGAAGGGAAAAAGCCTCCATTCCGACCCCTGTACCACCAATCGGCTCGGGAGCTACAAGTCTTGAAGCAGTATCTCCAAGAAGCAACCGAGAATGGGTGGATTAGGGCGAACTGTGGTAGAAAGAACTCTACCAAGAGATGTCTGGTCACCGTCGCTGGCGCCGGCGCCATTGGGACCATGTCCAGCTTGCGCCGAGCACCAAGACTACTAGGACGAGTGCGCCTCGTGCCCCGAGTCGGCGGCAGTCCTCGACCGTGACCACGAGCGCCTCGAGTGACTGCCACTTCCGCCGCATAGTTGCCAGGACGCCCGAGGGCGAGGCGGCTGAGATGCTGGAAAAGATGGTGGCCAAAGTGCTTTGTGCGTCCAGCTGTATTCCGCTCCGCTTTTCTTTGGCGCCGAGCTCAACACTAACGCAAGCCAACAGAAGTGCAGAGAGCATCTGTCGTTGACTCAGCCCGTTTCTATTTGTAGCCGCGCAAAGCCCGCTCTATTACCGCCTACAACAAAATCCTTTCAGCTGCCTGGGGCGAAGTTTGTGCCTTGCAGCCGTCGAAGGATTCTCCTGCAGCGGAACGCCCCGATTTAGCTTCAGACATTCCTACATGCGGGCGTCGTTTTTCATGCTCCAATGTGCAAGGACACCGAAGACACATACAGTACCAACAGCTTCGGGCTTTCATGACCCTTCCGAGCGCAGATGTGTCGGTAAGAATCCTGGCGGCTATGGTTTGACGGATTGAGGATCAGGCTTGGCCGAGCTGCTTCCAACCAGCATCACTCAAGGTGGCAATATTGAACGAATCGCAGCTTGTTCGACTTGTGCAAGACCAACACGCAGAGATGTACTCGCCCAAAGAGAGAGACACAGAGGACCAACACCAACCATCCATCGAGTTGTGGGCGGCTAGCAAGACACTCTACCGTTTGGGATCACTCGACATGCTGGCCAAGAAGATGTTGATGCTCTTCAAGATTTTGTATAAATCAAGAGTTCGGCTCGCGACCTTGGTAATGCTTGTCACAGCAACGGCGCAAGGCTTATTCTCATTAGCTCACTGACGCTATCAAACTCTGGCACTCATTCGTTCCCTTACAATGCACCTTCTCTTGGCCTTCTTGGCTGCTTGCTTGTTCAAACTCTGCTATGCTGCGCCACAGACTCTGGCGATGCAGCAACGGGGCAACGGTGCTGCCTGGTCAAGCAAGCCCACCTGGTACAGTCGGTATCCTTTGGCCAGTGTCTTCTCGGACAAGCAAGCTGGCGATGTCGATCAATACGATGTGATCGAAGTCGCCGCCCTGTCATACAACTGGCTAGTACAGCAAAATAGCGACTGGAAGACGAGGTCCACCAAGAAAGGGTACTGCTTGGTCGCCGTGATCTGGGATCCAGTCACTCAAGTTTTCACCGTCTCATCGATTCCGCAAGGCCCGCGCAAGGAGGACATGATCAAACGGGCTACTGGACCACCGAGCGCTTTTAATCCCCTTATCGGAGCTCCAAACTGGTACCAACAAGCACGCGGTTTTATCGATGCTAATTCCAAAAAGGGCAAGTTCCACGCCGAGGATGGCGCGTTTTTTAACTGGGAATCGAGCGTCGCTCCAGCTCGAATTGCGAACGGCCAATATCAAGGAGGCCTCGTGTTGGGTGTATATGGAGACTGGCACAATCCGGACAATCCTCAGGACTCCGGGAAGGCTGGGATATGGAATCTTTGCTCTAGCGGCGGTAATGACCCTAGAATCCCCAGTTGCCAAACTGTGGCCCAGGGGCTGGGGGTCACTAATTGGGTACGACGGCCCACGCGGCGCCGTGATACCAGCATGGATGACCTCGAAAATGCATCGGACTACGACGGCTCAGACATTACAGCAGACGACATTTCTGCAGCGAGTGCCATCGAGAGTGCTTGTGAAACATCCAATCCCAAGTTTAGACTTCGGGTGCGCGATGATAAGGCCTCTTGTAGCTCGTATCTGAGTCCGCCAGTACTCAGCGCAAGTCCTCAGCCCGCGGCCCAGATCTCCTCCGAGCTGAGCATTGCTCCTATTACACCTGCTCCTTCGGGGCCAACTCCTACCTCCTCGACCAAAGCAACTTCCGCAGGCCCCAAACCATCGTGTACACTGCAGCATCAGGATCCGGATTCAGGCATCAACACACAGTATTGCGTTTGTCAGTCGTCCGTAACGCTACCCCTACTCTCCATTTCATCCGGTGCTGTGGCCACTCAAGCGTGCGAATACACGGCTCTGCCATCTTCTGGTACGCTCACGGTTGCCACGGGTTCCATTCCACCACGACGAATTCGGCTCTTTGCGAAATCTGCAGTCAGGTAGTCAACAATGAGGACTCTTGCACCACCATTCCCAATTGCCTACCTCAGAAGGCCAAAGCCTCTGTCACAGTAGCAACGTCTCCGTAAGTACCACCTTGCCCGTATTATTCTTCTCTCTAACAACGGTGTAGGCTACATGTTGGAACTCTCACAGGCGATGCTCTCTATACTGGCGTCTCGAATGCGCTCGTGAGCGTCTGTCCACCTGTCACGCAAACTACCAGTGCGACTAAATGCAGCGGGACTGCAACTATCAAAGGCATCACTTATGTCGAGAGCGACTCCATTTCCCACGATGGTGAGCTGGAAATCTTCGCCGCTTTCAGCTCGTACAACCAGACATCCCTCCGCGATGCCATGATCCAGTCCCTCGCTCAGAGCGCTGCCAAGTCCGCCACCGGGAACAACTGCTATAAGGCGAACTACCAAGTCCTCACGAAGAGGAACTGGTACGATAAGCTCTTCCGGAGAGATCACCCAGTTCTAGAACATGAAGAAATTGAGCTGTGCAACATGGCAGAGCTGGCTCTGGTGAATTACTACTCCCAATTCTGGCGTCTTGCACCGGAACCTGGACCGACCGACTTCGTTGAGGCGCAGTATAAGTTTCACGAGACAAGTGGCAGTTTTGCATGCGAGTTTCTCGAGCTTCTAGCCGATGCGCTGGTTGCAATTGAGCCCGAGTTTGCGGTGGCAGATGTTGAGCTGGGAGAGGAGTTGGCAGCTATCTGCTCTGGTCTCACTGGTGAAGGCTAGATTGGCCAATGAGCTGTCTAAGAGGTGCGAAGATGTTGTTTGTTTGTGCGCCGTTGCTTTATGGGTATCTTGTGCTGGGCTATCTGTTATGCGGTCTGGGGTTTTTCTTGTTATCACGAAGAGTTGGGAGGTTTGAGAGGAGTCTCGGGGATCGTTTGATGTATTATTAGATCTTTGATAGTTTCGTTCGAACGTATTCAGCTGCTGACGATGTTTTGCCCTTCATGTTGGCGCGATTTCGGCGGTCAAGCGGTTATAAGCTGCAGGGAAAGCGGTGCGCCAATTACATGGCTTTCGGATTATAGTTTGCTAGCGCGCGAGGGCTAATAATAGTGGCACGCCGTGCCGCTGACAACAACTTCTCTTGATTTGCTTTCACATTTTCTACAAAGACATTGACGACACACTTCCATCGGGCTCAAGGTTCATCGCCGAGACATGATTCAATCGCGCATCTGCAATTATCTGGACGGCCACTGCAAGCACACCTCGCGAGTTCCGACCACTTTCTTGGATCTCCCAGAGAGAATCAGGCACAGGATCTATTTCTATCAAGCAGCACTTGCCGCCGATACAGTCCTTTACATACAACAGAAAAACAATACGTTTGTGTTTAGCCCGGATGACTGCGACTCGGCCAAGGTTCTCTCATCTTACGCTAACCTCCGCCTCGCCAGTCGCGTTTTGAAAGGCGATATAGCACGATGTCTTTGTACACATTACCGCATCGAGGTGCATAGCCCAGAACTCTCAGAGTTCACAATGGAGGCCCTCGTCGGCCCGCCGTACAATCTACTCCGCTACTGCAAGCGCTTGACTGTCGTCCTCAATTCCACGCTGGAATGGGGCTCCGGATGTGGTTATTTATGCTGCACACGTTGGCATCGCGCACCTACTATGCCCATAGCCAATTGGGATGCCAGGAAAGCTCAAAAGTTTTTGCCCTCGTGGACGAAGATGATCAAACAGCTAGCTCTCTCGCAACACTACTCGGACCTGGAGCTGAGCTTGATCTGTGACGTTGCGGACTCGAAGACAGCAGATCTTATTCTGGATCCGATACGACAATTACACATCCCTAAATGCACAATCCGGTTGAATGCCGACAACATCGTCGAGCTGGAGGACGTGGCTCGAAAAGCAGTGCTGAATGTTACAGGCCACATGCCAGCTGTTCGAGACCATTTCCGTTTCCTCGAACTCCCGACCGAGATACGCCAGCATATCCTTGGTTTTACGGACTTGGTGACCCCATACCAGGAGGTCCAATTTTGGGTATTACCAGACTGCGGCCGCTACGATCTCTACGACACACGTCGAAGAGAACATTGTGACTGCCGGCAGGCCTTCTATCGCAGCTACTGCGATGACTTCTGCAGTAAGCACCATAGCGTCTACCCAGCGGTATGCGGGTGCTTCTTATCGCCACTGCCGTTCTTACTCGTATGTCGAAAAATGCTGCAAGACTCCAGACAAGTCTTTTACTCTCGCAACCGATTTGTTCTTAGGTCTGAAAGTTCCAGCTCTTACCCTCGTGAGCAGCCAGCTGGGCCTCGGACGGAAAGATTCGAGGCATCAATTTTTTTGCACACTGCTCTCTCTTCTGATAGCCTGAGGAACTTGCGAAGCCTCGAAATCCTCTTTCAAGCATTTACCTATACCTATCATGGTATTGAACCAGCCGTCTTGGCCGATTGGGAAAAGGCGATCCAACGTGCAGCTTGTCATTGCGACAAGCTGGCGTTGACTCTGTACATGGGCCACGAAACACATCCCTGGGACGATTGCATTCGCACAGAAAATCTTGCAGAATCCAAGAAAGCTCTCATCGGAGTATACGAGCAGATTGTGCGTCCACTCGAACAGCTGCGAGGTATTCTGGATGTTTTCTTCGTCCATACTGCTGATCCATTTCTCTCAACACGGGAATCTGGGCTCGCTGCGGATGGTCTCTTGCAAAAGCACGAAGCGCATCTTGAGGCGCTAGTCATGGGTGATTCCTATGACAGCGTTGCGAGAGGCAAATACCGGCGGCCGCTCAGTCGGTGGGCCAGCCAGAAACATGTATTGGCGGATTAGACCGTGAGCAGTGATGGCGCTTTGAGACCGTTACTGAAATTGGACCGATAGTCAAAACTCCACATGTTCGAGCAGAGACCGAGCGCAAGATCCTACTCCGTCCTTTTAGATGTAGCCAAACAAATGCGAAGAAGTGGATTCGAAAGATCGAAATGCTGGCAACGGCTGGACATGGTCGACCCTCTCGGCAGAGTGAACAGATGAATGTGAAAGAATACTATAATCCTTATTGGGAAAACGGGTATGATTGTCTCGATCGATTCTAGACATCCTCAGATTTCACAAGAAGAGTTGTCTCTATGCCACAAGACACCGACATCCTACACCATTTTGCGACACTTCTCTGAGGGTTCCACAGAAATTATGCGGCCTATCGCCGGGCAGCGAGGCTCAACTTAGCCGCTTAGAGCGGCGCGTTCCGAGGGCTTCTAGAAGTGTCTGCGAAAGCAACGTGGCCTTCTTTCCAACGAATGTTCTTCTCCCCTCCATACTTTATCGAAAGTGACTCTCATATTCCACAGGATGGACAAGGCTAGCCAGGTACTCCAACAAGGCGTGCCTCCCGACGTCCCGACCTCGTATCGGGCACTTGCAGATCACAGCGGTGTCCCATCTTCGACGCTCCATCACCGTGCTCGTGGACGACGCTCCAAGGAAGACAAAGCACAATGCCAACAATATCTCGCGCCATCAGAAGAGAAGGCAGGCGCCGATTTCGTTTTACAGATGTCTAACCTCGGATACCCTGTGCGAATGAAGTACATGCCATGTATAGCCTACAGTGCTACCCGATATAGGCCCGTGTCTGAAAGGCCACCGAAATTTCCGAGCAAGAACTGGGCCAAGGCGTTCGAGAACCGCCATCCCGAGTTGAAGGCCATGAAAGTAAGAGCGCTTGATTGGAGTCGACATGAGAAAAACATCTGTGACAAGGTTTCGCATTGGTACGAAGTGATAGGCAACGTCTTACAAGACCCTGCTATCGTGTCGGAGAATGTGTACAACATGGACGAGACCGGAGTAATGCTCTCCATGCTAGGCGCTGTCAAAGTGCTGGTGGGCAGAAACGACACACGGGGCTATAGAGGCGCGCGTGTGAAGCGAACGACAGTGACAGCTATAGAATGCATTAGTGGTGACGGTAGGTACTTGAGCCCCATGATCATCTGGCCAGCCTCTACACATCGGAGTAATTGGACGACCTTTCCTACACCCGGGTGGCACTATGCATGCTCCGAATCCGGGTAGACCGACTTCCCAGATTAGCTTGGAGTGGCTGAAGCGAGTGTTCGACCCTCAGACCAGAGAACGGGCAAATGGAAAAACACGGGTTCTAATCTGTGATAGATTTGGCACGCATGAAACGCTTGAGATTCTGGAGCACTGTTTCGCTAACCAGATCCTCCTCTGTCGTCTACCTTCTCATACATCCCATAAGCTGCAACCCTGCGACATTGGGGTGTTCGCCCCACTTAAAGTAGCCTACCGTGATAATGTCGAGCGAATGGAGCGAGGAGTCAACACGATCGGCAAGCAACATTTTACGTCCTTATACAGCCGTGCGAGAGAGAAAGCGTTTATAAAAAGGAACATTCTCGCGGGTTGGAGCAGTGCTGGCTTAATGCCTTTCGATCCTGAAAGAGTGCTCCGAGACATGCGAGTGCTCATGTGCTTCGCCTCCGTCCTCTGCGCTGCAACGGGTCGACGCCGCCCACGGTCGCTAGCGGCGTGACGGTGGAAGTGAGTCGACCCCTAGGATGTGCCTGTGTGACGTGTGCGTTGTCTCTCTGGAGCAGCATACACCGTTCCGGATGCGCCGCTTCGAGACTCGTGATCGAACGCCAACCGTGTCGTATCATGTGAGGCTGCCTCGAACGACGACGATCATCATTTGACTACGCAAAAGCTAACGAACCAACTGCAACGAGCGCAGGCAACCGTATCACTCAGCGCTGAGATATTGGTCACAGGCAGCCATCCTTTGCTCGATAACGAGGCTGCTCTCGATGGGTGGGACGTCGTGTTCGCTTCGCCGACCGCGGAGGAGGCGTAGTAAAGTCGGATCGACAGGCGCAGGACATGGATATGTGAGGGTCCGGTCTCAGTCGTCCGCGAGTATGTGCGGGGCGGTGATCTGTACAGGCACAACTCCCCACGTTAGCAATCGCATGTATCGCGCAGAGCGACTGATGCGGTCCCGGTCACCTACTGACGACACACGTGGATCGCCCGTGATTGTGTGCCGGTTGCTCGTTATGTGCGTGCAGGCTGCTCAGAAAATTGTGGCCGAAACGCCGGCGTAGAAGGGGGGGTCATGTTTCGAAGAGAGGTGGAAAAGAGAAAGAGGATGCGAGGGCGGGCGCGTCGTGAAGTTATGCAAACGAACGCCGCACGGGCCACCGGTGCTGCGCCCGCTTCCAGACGCAGATGCGTCCGTTTCCTGAAGCGGAACACCCGGCAGGCAAAGAACAGCACGCACATCACCAGCCCTCTGACCAAAATAGGGCTGTCCAATTCCGAATCCTCACCTCAACCTCCTGGCGGCACCTGCACCCCTTTGCAACATCCCTTTAGCCACAAATTACACGAGCCGCTGCTGGTACAGCGACGAATACCGCTTCACCGCCGCCGCCGCATCCGTCAAAGGCGCCAACCCCAAACGCGGCTGCTGAGCCAAAGCATCATTACCGACATAGTCAAACACGGAGACAGCATTTTTCAAGAACGTAGGCCCGATGATCGAATCGCCAAATGTACGGTCCCAGGTACTGATAGGGGCGTGGCAGCTGCAAAGACATGACTTTGGTCAGCAAACTAGGAGTAACAATGAAATGGGTTTGATCGTACAGCTCCGTCCCGTTGACGATGCCATGGTCGTCCGAAACGATCATGTCGAGGGGGTCGATGGGGAACCAGGTGTCGTGGTACTTCAGCTCGATGAGTTGCGGGATGGAACAGTCGAAGTAGATATCCTGGTCTGGGTTGATGACCGTCTTTCCGGTAAAGGCTGCGGCGATTTTCTCGAATTCGGGGCGGCGGAAGAGGAGGCGTGAGCTGCCGCTGTCGATTAGGGAGAGGTAGCGGCCTGCTGGGTCTAGGTCTAAGGTTTTGTTAGACATCTGCGTTTCATGCGGTCGTGATGGGGAACGTACCGCCTTTGCTGACTGGGATTGTCTTGCCGTTGACGCGGATGGCTTGTATTTGGACTGTCCAGCCTTGCGGGGCGAGGACTGGAGGGTCGTAGTTGTAGCTGCCAAGCGATATCAGGGGACCAGGCTTCTTCGCGTGCAGCAAACAACTCACTTCAGAGTATCAATCATATCGCTGTACGTCACCTTCGATGCGGCTGGGATATTCTCAATCCCGCCAATCGTGAGAGATCCCTTGATGGAGTCTGGATCATAACGACGAGGGAATGTGAGCGAGAACAGCGGCTTTGCCAACTTCCCCTGCGCCAGCAGAGTGTCCATGAACGGAAGTCGCTGGTTGAAGTACCAGTTGCGGGATACGTTGCGGGTGTTCAGGCCCCAGATACCGGAGAACTGACCGTCTTGGAATTCGCCTGCGCTGCCCGAGAAGTTAACGAGAGCTGGCGGCAGCGGGATCATTAGCCGTCACAAATCATTGGCGCTGATAAGGCTGGCGGCACACTTACGAACGGCCAATTGATTCAGAATCGTCTTCCCACCCACTGAGACCTTCTGAAAACTGTCCGTTCCAGACACGGTCCCGAGGCCCACCACAGTGCCGAAAGTCTCATTGAGAAGTTTCGTAGATTTCTAGCATGTGGTTCATCAGCTTACAAGAGCCACCAAGTGCCGAAGTTGGAAGCAAGCCGTACCGTAATCTTGTACGTCTGGGCCAGATAGCAGCCGCTCTGTACGTCAACGACATTACACCTGTCGCTGGCTACGAAGAGGTCGCCCGAACCTGTGTCGAGGAGGACGGGGAGAGTCTGTCCGTCGAAGGTGACGTTGACCTATTTGGGATTCTAAGCTGAGCGGCTTGCAAATTGCAGAAGTGACGGGCCAGCTTACGATGGGATAAAAGTCGTCCTTGGCGATGTTCGAGTAGCCAACGGGAAAGCTGAATACGTTGCCAGAAGCTATTTCGTCTAAGGAATATGATGGAAGTGCGGAGGCCCCAATGGCGGCGGCGGCGAGCAGCGTAGCGCAAGAGGATAATGCATGGTTTCGTACCATGATGGGCAGATTGGCTGTCCCCAAAAATGGACGAGAGTCTTATGGTATGGCCGAGAGGTTCGCCTGGCCGGCTTGAGGACAGCTGAAGACTCTTATGTTGAAGTTGTCATTCGCTTTGTGGAGAGGAGATGTAACCCAAGCCTTCCCTTGACCACGATACCCGCGTTTTGCACTTGTGCATGCAGATAGTTTGGCCATCTTTCGTATTTCTCTCAACACTACATGAAAATGTATTAGCTCGATGATCAAGCAACACGAAGCAAAAGCTAAGCACTTCCTTGCCTTATGACGAATGCAGAAGGTAGCATACGTCTGAGCTTTTCTGATGGACGGAAAAACTGCGTCCGTCACAGCTTCCAGGACTACATATATTGTACTTGTCCTAGTCCGCCCTTATCGTCGAAGATCTCCATTTGAAAGTGGTGATGCGATATGGTGCCATAGCGCTGGAAGCTGTTCTAGCTGGCTACGTTCGTATACGAGGTGGTATCCCCTAAGTGTTCGACAGATATCAGCAGCATGAGGCGGAGATGCAACGAATCATTAGGCAGTTCCATTGCCACAGCCATGCAACATAAACCCAACACACCTCGGCGGCCCTGATTCATAAAATGTCGTTCTCCACGACCACTGAGACCTCCAAGTCATCGTTTCTCGACTGTCGTCGCCATGATGATCGTCAAAGTCGCTTCTCTCGTCCTTGCGGCATCGAGCATTCAGGCAACACCTCAAGGCCTACGTTCTCGTGACAATGCACCCGGAAATACCTTCTCGGTCAACCAAGTCGCCAATCCAGGCTACAATGGCTATGTAGCCACGGGGCAGTCGGCGTTGGTGAAGGCTTATGCGAAGGTCAGCATACGTTCAGGAATGAAAAGGTTTCAGGCTAATGAGGACACCAGTACGGCAAACAACTGCCCGCCTCCATCAAAAGCGCGGCCACGAAGGTTGCGGCCATTTTCCAGAACCAAGGCTCCGTCGCCACACAGCCAGAAGTCTACGACTCCGAATACCTCTGCTCCGTCGCCATAGGCACACCACCGCAGAGCCTGTTCCTAGACTTCGATACCGGGTCCGCAGATCTGTAAGTTCCCTCCTGCATCTTGCCCCGTGTCCGCTAACACCATCCGTTCATCAAAGCTGGGTCTTCTCCACGGAAACCAACACCACCCAAGTCAACCGGCAAACCCTCTACAACCCCTCCACAAGCAAGACCTCCTCTTCCCTCGCAGGGAGCACCTGGTCCATCGTCTACGGCGACGGCAGCTCCTCCACCGGCGACGTCTGGCTCGACAGCGTCAACGTCGGCGGCGTCGTGGTCCCGCACCAAGCCGTCGAGAACGCCCGCCAAGTGTCCGCGACCTTCACACAGGACTCCGCGTCCTCAGGCCTCCTAGGCCTAGGTTTCAGCAAGCTGAACACGGTGCGTCCCAACACCCAGCAGACGTTCTTCGACAACGTCAAGGGACTGCTGAAGGCCGGCGTCATCGGCGTCGACCTCAAAGCCGGCGCGTTCGGAACCTACGACTTCGGCTTCATCGACGGGGCCAAAAAGTCCGGCGACGTGACGTACACGCCTCTGAACAGCACTCAGGGCTTCTGGGGCATCGAAGCGAGTGGCTACGCAATCGGTAACTCCACCACCACCACCAAGGCCCCCACCCCCGGCATCGTCGACACAGGCACAACCCTCCTCCTCCTCCCCGACGCCCTTGTGGAGGACTACTACGCCGGCGTCCCCAATTCCACCTACTCCGTCTCCGAAGCCGGCTGGATCTTTGACTGCAACGAAGTGTCTCCGCCGCCACCACCAGACTTCTCCCTCGTGATCAACGGCTACCGCGCGCGCGTGCCGGGGAGCTACCTCAACTATGCGCCTTCGCAGACGAGGGACGGGTATTGTTTCGGCGGGATCCAGTCGAGCGCGGAGCTGGGCGTGAATATTTTCGGGGACGTGTTTCTGAAGAGTCAGTTTGTGGTTTTGGATGGGGAGGAGGGGAGGGTGGGGTTTGCGGCGAAGAGGTTGGGTTAGAGAGATGGAGGTGGATCGGAATTGTGTCTTTGGTGGCGTAGCCGGAGTCTACGGAGAGTGACTGAAAAGAACATAAAACGCTTCGATTGAGGTCGCGGATTTTTTTCACCACGCTATGTAGAACAGAAGACCACCCGTCCCATTCCATCCCGTTCCAATACCCCATCCCATTCCCAAGAAAGCGAATTCGTGCCCTCGATGAAGAGCGTATGCCAGTCGCTGTGGTTCCCGCAGGGGTATATACATGTAGTGTGCATTGCGCAATGGTCGTGACTCCGTTCAATCCCCTTCCCACCCCATACCCTCTCCATCAATTCCCCGTCAAGAGCGCCGATGCATGCTTCTCAAAAGCTCGCAGAAATCAAAAGACAAGGAAAGCGTCATCAAAACTTCATCCCCTTCCTCTGCAAATAACTCCCCAACAACCCATCTAGCTCCCCCATCATCTGCGTCACGCCCTTCTTTTGCTCAACGAATAATCCCTCCATGAGAGGATGATCGGGTCGGGCAGGTGTCACGCCGGATTTGTCGTGGATCATGACGAGCATGTCGCGGACTTCGCTGCCGTCTTCCAACCATGCGCGGAGGGAGTCGTCGCTCCAGGCTTGCTGGGACACTGTGGGCGATGGACGGGGTGAGAGGCGCGATGAGGAAGTGTTGCTGTCCGTTGAGAGGCCGCGGGTGGGTGTCTTGGTGGACTTTTGCGGGTGAATGACAGGCTGAGGAGAGCGAGCGGTTGGTGTGGGGTCGTTGTCTTCTCCGAGCGAGGCGTCATCGATAGGCTCGGCGGGGTGTTCGATGATGCTTGGCGAGGATGTGAGGCTGCCTGGCTCATCGTCCTCGGTATGGTCTTCTGGGCCCATCATTGGAATGTGAATCGAGTCGGTGCCGTGCATGAACGCAGAGCTGGATGAAATCTCGACTGGGCTTTCTGACAACCTCTCACCACTCTCCTCGCTATCATCAGCCTGATCTGCGAATGGGTCCTTGCCGTGCTCGTCTTGTGGCGAGTCGAAGTCGTCCAGCTCGACACGTTTCTTCGACCGCTTGGCCTTCTTGGGCTTGTCGTGGCCGTCGTTTGTCTTGAGCATGTTCGACACGGTGTTCGTAACGGTACTCGTGATTGGCGAGAGAGGGTTGGGAATGCCTCGACTCTTCTCTTGCTGTGCGGCTTCAATGTTGAGACGGTCGTGCGCATCACTTTGGCTTTCAGGCTCATCATGGCTTGCAGCCATCTCATACGCGACCGCTGAGCCTTCGAGCTCGGCAACAAAGCCATTGCTTGAATCATTTGATGTCTCTCGGACTTCTTCGGCTGGCGGTTGTTGCACAGTTGTTCTGGCCAGTGGCTGTTGGCCATTGACAGCCTTCTCCACGGGCGAAGATTTCCCACTAGGTAATGGGCTCGATCTTGCCGAGTCTCGTTGCATATCGGCAGACAGCTTCTCGGCCTCGGCCTCTTCCTCTTTCGCCTTCTTATCCTTTTTCTTACTCTTGAACAAGCCACTAAGCATACCACCCTTCTTTGGCTCCTTCTTCTTTTCTTTCGTTTCTTTCTTGGCCGCCGGTTGTTCAGTTGGTGAGTTCGTCTTTGTGAGGCTCTCCATGCTGTTGTTACGTGGCGGCTCAGTCGGTGACTTGGCAGCTGCGTTTTCCTCGCGAAGTATTCCAGGAGTGAGTGTGATTTTGCGAGTCTCCAGGCTGTCGTCTTTGAGGAAAGAATCCGTATTCCGCGTCTTCTTTGACTTGAGCGGAGCAGCTTCTGTCGAAACCGTTGGAAAGCTGTCATCAATACCAAACCGCTCGAACTCACCTGTCTTGTCCACGAGCTTCGGTGCATTCTCATCGTTGCCGACGCCAGCCGCTGCAAGAGCTTGTGCTGCTGTGGCAGCCTGCTCACGATCGAATGACGCGCGTTGAGAAGATGTGCTTGACCTGCGTTCAAGTCCAGAGTCGGCTGGCTCGGCTTTAGGCTCTTCAAGTTCGATCTCAGGCTCGTCGGTCGAGTCACGACCCTCCGATTGTAGAGAGCTGCCATAAGGATCGATCATGTGTTCCTCGTCTTCGGTAGAGTAGTCGTAGTCAGAGGCTTCAACATACGTAGGCGCGGCGAACTGGACAGTCTTTGCTTTGCGTCTTCGCATCGCTTTCTTCATGGGATTTCTCGACTTTTCTGAGTTATCGCTGAGCATTGTGGCAGACAGCTAGTACCATCATTAGCTTGAGCCGTATTAAATGGTGGGAATGAACAAACGTCTATGTTTCGGTGCTTATTCAATCGCGCAAGTCGTTCGGTAGGCGTTTCGATGTGTTCGGCAGGTAGGTAGCCTGTGATCATCAGTAGAGTCCAAGTATATCATCATATCTGTAACATACCAATGCTACTGTCTTTCACTACCCGCACGAGCCACCAGTAGCTATTGCTGTCATCCAACAACACCATTGTGTCGCCTTTGGTAGCATTTGCTTGGCCTTCGACAGTCGCAACAAATGTGTGCAGGGCGTAGACGAACTCGAAATCGATGTCTTCTGTTTCTCGTAAGCACTCGCCACCCCAACCAGAGTCAATGAAGCGGTCGTCAAGATTAAGGAAAATGTCTTCAGCATCATCAAAGTTTTGGCAATCCTCGTGCATATCAAGGCTGTCCAGATCCGAGTTCGACATGCTCTCCCATGAGCCGGCAGATCCATTAGGGGAAGGTGGCGTGTCCAACAACGGGTCGTCTACGGGCAACAACAAAGCATCGAGGTCGATGCTGTTGATGCTGGTAAGGCTTGGCGATGGCTCCAAAGATGGAGGGCCAAGACTCGTCATGCTCGTAAAGAAGGAATGGTTGCGGAATGGGCTCTCAATCGGTCGCCGGCCGTCTTGGATCTGGTCGGCCTCGCGCTCCTCTCCGCCGTCGCTGGGAAGGTCTGATCTATCCTCGTGGTAGCCGAAGTTGTCGTGCTCTTCATATTCGTCGCTGCGTTCTGGGTCCAGTACCAATCCGGGCGTGTCGTCCTCCTTATACCTACCCATCTGATGATACCTTGACATTGGGAGTGAGAATGACCTCGTAGGAAAGTCTTGGGGTACCTGGTCGTATGGAGAAGAAGTCACCTGCTGTGCAAGCGCAAAATCCTCCTCCACTCCGACGTGTCTTGCTCGCAACGGCAAATGCTGAGGCGTTTGCAAGAATGGCGACGACTCAGGCGTAGTGTTTGCGGTCTGGTTGAAAGACTCGCGAGTTGGAGTTGACAAACTGCGTGCTGGTGATAGGTCTGCCACGCGTGCAGGCCCGAAGCGTTGCAGCGAGACGGGGTGTGAGTATTGCAAAGTGAACTGACCATCGTCAATGCTTGGCGAACTTGATATCCGGTCCATCATGTCGTCGTCTGTTTCCGCATCGGACTCGGCGCCCTCGCCTCCCTCCTCGCCAGCGTGCGAGGCACCGTTTGTTACGTGCTCGGTGGCATTGTTGTTGGCTTGCGCCTGGTCAATGGCGCCTGCGCTATCCGCCAGATTGCCCGCAATGTTCCATGCGTCGGCCAGGGCTTGCTCTTCTGAATGCCGCTCCTCGAGTACCTGATGTACCTGGGCGGCGACGTGGGGGGCGTTGCCGTTGGGTTGCGGGTGCTTGTGGTGTTCTGCTGCGGTGGGGCTGTCTTGGTCTTGGAGGTCGAGCGTGTCGGCCCTGAGAATGCCAGGGCGCGCCATGGTTCTTTAAGTGCGTTGGAAGGGCAGTTCAGCGGGCGACGGCCGAGGTCGCCTTGGATCTAGGAGGGACGCGAAAGAGCGGTCGCATGCATGGCAAGGAATGGGTGTCTGTTGCGTGTTTCGACCGGGCGCTGGCAGTGTCAAACCGGCTTGACGAGGGTCGCGCAGTGGTGTCTGGCAGGCGTGTTTGAGCAGTGAAATGGGTGGCTGAGCGAGCGTCGGAGCGGCTCCAACAACAGTCAACGGCGGCGTGCTGGGCGGTCGGGGGAGGGTCGGTCGGCGGCGGTGGTGGTGTGCAGTGAGTGAATGACGAGCAAAAGGATTGAAGACGAGCCTGACTCGCTGCTCCAGCAAGTGTCGAGGGAGTGGGCGGACTGTTGGTGGTGGCCTCCAAAAAGTGTCTGGCGCTACTTTGGAGTTGGCCCCTGTCCGCGATGAAACGGCCCCAGTGCTCCACCATTGCCGGCAACCTTGGCCGTCGATCCCACTAGCGGCGTCGCGTGCCTTGATTTAAAAATCGATAAAGCTGACCAACAGTATCTCTCGAAACACCAACTTCACTCTCATATATTGCTGCTTTTCGTCCATCTATCAACTGCTCCTCTTTCTACACATCGCACACTCCTCAATACCGACGAGAGACCTGGCAGTGAAATTCTTGAGACGCACTAGCAGCGGGCCAACTTCTCACCTGCGTCAATACGGTGTACCTGCACCTGGCATGTGATGGCAAAATCTCCATCCAGATAAGCGTGCTTACAACGGGGCAATTTCGATACTACTTTCGTTCAGCTCACAACCTATCCGCCACAGCAGACGAAGACAAGAAGTCCAACGTGAAGCTCATTGAGTATCGCGCTTGCTCCGAGAACAGTGTTGTTGTCGATCATCTTGGCCACCTCTCGCAGAAATTCAGCACAGGACTGCCGCATATTATTGTCTGGACCTGTAGGCTTTACCATATGGCCTGCAGCAGCTATATCATGACAGCGTCAATCGACCAAGCAAAGTAAGCGGGAGCGAGATACCGTTGGAGCAGACAGCACACAACTAGATATTTCCAACCCCAATGTGAGAGTCATTCCAGTCCTTGGCCCCTTCGTTACGCCACAAGTGGAGGCTATCCCCAACATACTCGAGGTCTCTAGGGATTTTGAAGTATGATTGAGAGATTGGTAGCGGTAGGAATCAGAGGATGACACCGCCGTTCCACCTCGAGCGAGGCAACAGGTGATGTGCCAGTCCATGAAGAAAAGCTTGATGTTTTCGACTTGGGCCTCGAACATTGCAAAGGACTAGCTCTACCCACCTGCGAGCCAGCTAGGGTCATAGAGTCGCTTCACAGGCTAATGGCACATCGATGTTCGAAGCAGCTGTCGTAGAGGTTGTAAGGACCTAGGCACGCTATGTGCTCCCCTACGCACCAGGAACGGGCAGCGAGTACCATTGGGTAATCGCAAAGTAGCCAGCGACAATTGCTAAGCATAGAGTCCTGTCGGGATCAACAATGCCTATCGATTTGCCAAAATGCTACAGCGACGAGTATAGAGTCTGCACGTGTGAGCAATGTCGCAATAGAGAAGCAACAGTCTCCTGGTATCTGCGTGTTACAGACCTCATATTACAACCAACTAGAGGTATCCAGCCATGTAAAGTAAATGTGAGATTTTTGCGAGCAGAGGTCATGTGCTTACGAAACTACTACGAACGCGTAAAACAAGTTGTAGTCGCGTGATGGACGAATTTGCCTTCAATGTCTCTTGGTGCCTGCTCAAGTCGGATCCGATCCGCACGAGAGGACTGAGAAGAGACGTAAATTTGTGAAGATTTGTGAGGAAAATCGGACGATTCTTCATAGCGCTGAGAAACAAATCGCGGAATTGAAACAATTCAAGTGGCTGGACGTGACGATTGTTTTGAGCACGTGACTTGCTGCCTCATCAAAACACGCTAGAGACGCTGCTGGACCGTGCACGGCGCGTCGAATCTCGTCACTTTAAGACGTCTGGCTTTGATCTGCTTCCATTGTCCTTCAACCACCCACTACGCAATCACATCTCGCCACGACCACCACACCTCTCGTCCATTCTCACCGCACTGGACATACATACGCCACAATGAGCATAGAAACAACCCCCTCAAAGACGGTACAGATCCTCGACGTCATTGCCACGAACTTCAACTAACAGTCTTCCTCCATAGGCTGCGTCTGCCCTCAACGACTTCAAGATGGAGTCCCCAGTAAAGAAGCTCGAGCTTCAGTTAGAAGCCAACAAGGAGAACCTCGATGAGCGATATGCCTCCGACGAGCTCGCCGTCCCGATCAAGGGCATTCCCGAACTGCCAGAAGAGCCGGAGCAAGCAGCTGAGCCATCTGTCGTATCTACACTGAACGAAGAGGAGGCAAAGGAGCCCATACTGCAGGAGAACCCACAGCGATTCGTGCTGTTCCCAATCAAGTACCACGAGGTATGATATTTTCACGCGCGTCGCGTCAACACAAACACGCTAACCAGCCACCACAGATTTGGCAAATGTACAAGAAGGCAGAGGCATCATTCTGGACAGCTGAGGAGATTGATCTTTCCAAGGACCTCCACGACTGGAATAAGCGCCTCAACGATGACGAGCGCTTCTTCATCTCCCACGTCCTCGCTTTCTTCGCCGCCTCCGATGGCATTGTCAACGAGAACTTGGTCGAACGCTTCAGCTCTGAGGTCCAAATACCCGAGGCTCGATGCTTCTACGGTTTCCAAATCATGATGGAGAACATCCACTCGGAGACTTACTCCCTCCTCATCGACACATACATCAGCGAGCCCAAGCAACGGACGTACCTCTTCAACGCCATCGACAACATCCCCTGCATCCGCAAGAAAGCTGACTGGGCCCTGCGATGGATCACCGACAAGAACTCGACCTTTGCATGCCGTCTGATTGCTTTCGCCGCTGTCGAGGGTATCTTCTTCTCTGGCTCATTCGCCGCCATCTTCTGGCTGAAGAAGCGTGGTCTCATGGCTGGACTTACCTTCTCCAACGAGCTCATCTCCCGTGACGAGGGCATGCACACTGACTTTGCCTGCCTGCTGTTCTCGCACCTCAAGAACAAGCCATCGCCACAGCTCGTCCAGGACATCATCACTGAGGCCGTCACCATCGAGCAGGAGTTCCTGACAGACGCGCTGCCATGCAAGCTCCTTGGCATGAACTCCGACCTTATGTGCCAGTACATCGAGTTTGTCGCCGACCGTCTCCTCCTGGCGCTCGGCAACTCAAAGTACTACAACGCCACCAACCCCTTCGACTTCATGGAGAACATCTCGCTGGGCGGCAAGACCAATTTCTTCGAGAAGCGTGTTGGTGACTACCAGAAGGCGGGTGTCATGGAGGGCATCAAGAAGCAGCAGGCAAAGAAGGACGGCGAGACCTCGACAGAAAAGGCACCCGTTATGAACGGCGACTTTGCATTTGACGAGGACTTTTAGACGATGTTACCAGTGGCATGGCGTTTTGGGATACGGGTCAATGGCATGGGCAACGGCGTTTCACGAAGGAATGGCTGGAACGGGGATTCTACACTGTGATACCTTTCCTCGCTCCTCCATTCGACAGCAAGGAAATAGTAAGAGGCGGCGCGGATAAAACGCAGCGCCTTGGATAGGCTTGTCTCATTATCATCAAATGAAAGCATCTGCATAACTCATCACGACTTCGCTGTATTTTCTTTGCCGAAGAGTTCCGTTTCCCGCGCAAAGATGACCTGGTTAGGGCGTGCCATCCCCGGCGGTCGGTGCTTTGGATTCTGTGCTGGCGGTGTGCTGTACGAGGAAATATATCACTGTGCGCTGACCCTCATCATAACATCCACCTCGTTCCCTCGCTTCGAACTCGATCACTCTGCCAAGCGAGGCGAAGTCACTCTTCACAAGCACGAAGCGGATTGGCACACTACTGCACGGCATGAGTGCATGGGTTCACGCGGATATGAAGGAAGCCAGCCAAATGACGTTGTACGCGGGCCTGCTGCTCGAATCCTACGCGTGTCATGGCTGAGCGAGCAAAACCGAGCGACTACGCCCAAGCATCCGGCCCTTCTCCTGGAGGTTTCACAGGCAAGGTGTTCCCTGCTCCTTCCTATTCCTATTTTACTTCACAGTTGGTTTGAGAGTGTTTACTCTGACTTCATTGACTGTTCTGGTGGGTGTTGGTGGATTGGAAAGACACGAGGTCGGGAGATTGCATTTGTAAAGTCCGCGCAGATCCGAAGTTATCGATTGTGAGGATTGGGGGGGATCATCAACGACACAGTCGCATACAAGAGCCGGTCCTCGAGAGGGTGTATTGGGATATCCGAGAATATGCGACTTCGATGATGAGGTGAAAAGGGAGAAGCCATCATTCCTCAACAAGAGCTTGGGTTCGGTTTTCCTGGACATGGCAGCAGCAGACGCTCTCCCGGCCATCACGCTGACGGATCCCAACAACCTCGACCAAGCGCCTTCGCCCGCGCAGTCGCCGACGAAAGAGTCGAACTATGGGGATTTGAATGCGTGGGTTAGGCCGGGGACGCCGAGCAGCAATGCGAAGAGCGGGCATGGTAGGGAGAGATGCATACATGTTGCGATGTCGTGAAGGAGGTGGTTGGACTGATACTGAGTACAGGCCGTACAGACTCAAGCGGCAACAGCGGCAGCGCATGGCCGTCACCGGGTCGCCTCATGCGGACTCTGTCCAACAACACACAAGCCCAGGCGCAGAATACGACAGCATCAAGCACAGCTGAGGGAAATAGCAACAATGCGGGCAGCAAACAGGATGCCCCCGCCGCCCCGGCAATCGATCCATTATCACAGGTAAATACATTCACAATCTACACTTCCTATTCGTATTGTTACGAGGGAAGTGCTCCTCCAGTAAGCACCAAAGCTGACTGTATCGCCACCAATGCAGCATATTCTCCGAAGAACGAATGCCCCTATGAACTTGCCTGCCAATTCTACGAACCCGCCGCGACCGCGAACGTCGGATGCGAATGGTGCAGCGAAGGAGGAGAAGCAGCAGTCGCAACAGCAACAGCAGCAGTCGCGAGAGCTGAACTCTGGAGAGCCCGTACAAGAGCCCATTAGCAGAACCGATACCCTCGATAGCATCTCCACACCCGCGAAAGAGCTGAAGAAAGGCGTCAAGGCTGTGTCTTTCCTGTCCCGACTCATGGGCGCCAAGAAAAAGGACATCGACGAAGACGCGGTGGAAGACGATGACAGCAATAGCGAAGAGCGGCCTGAGGGGAACGATGCGGAGGTCTTCACGCAGAAAGTCGAGGATGCGGATAATGAAGGGATGGGATTTCACCCGCGACAACCACAGCCTCCTGCGTATATCAAGGTGCGCGCGAAGTATAAGAAGGAGAAGGATTTCGATCGATTGTTCCTTGCGCAGGAGCTGAGTGGTAGCAAGAAGAGCAGAGTGCCGGGGGTGCAGAGGAATGGGAGCACGAACAAGCTGAGGAGAAAGAGTTCGGCGGGACCACAAGAGGGCGATCCAGTTTGGGCGATGGAGTTCAGTCGCGATGGAAAGTATCTCGCTGCAGCGGGTGCCCATATGGTGGTGAGGGTGTGGGCTGTGCTTGGGAGCTCGGATGATCGCCAGCGACATGAGAAGCAGGAATCGAAAGAGAGTGAGGAGAGGGGCCTGGACGCACATGTTGAGCATCTACTCGCGCCTGTGTTCCAGAGCGAGCCGGTCAGGGAGTACGACGGTCATTCATCTACGGTGCTGGATTTGAGCTGGAGCAAGAACAACTTCTTGCTGAGCTCTTCCATGGACAAGACTGTGCGGCTATGGCATGTTTCGCGGAAAGAATGCCTCTGCACATTCAAGCACAATGACTTCGTCCCCTCGATCTCATTCCACCCGAAAGACGACCGCTTCTTCCTGGCAGGATCCCTCGATTCGAAACTTCGACTATGGAGTATTCCTGACAAGAGCGTGGCGTTCGTCGCACAGGTCCCAGATATGATCACTGCGGTGGCGTTCACGCCGGATGGCAAGTTCGCCATGGCGGGTTGTCTTTCCGGGTTATGCATGTTCTACGAAACGGAAGGTCTCAAATACCAGACACAGATCCATGTCCGCTCCACGCGAGGTCAGAATGCCAAGGGAAGCAAGATCACGGGCATTCAGGCGACGTATGGTGCGAATGGAGATGTCAAGGTTCTCATCACGAGCAATGACTCTCGTGTCAGACTGTACAATTTCCGGGATAAGAGTCTGGAGGTCAAGTTCAAAGGCAACGAGAACAACTGCAGTCAGATCCGCGCGGCTGTGAGCGATTGTGGGCGGTACGTCGTCTGCGGAAGCGAGGACCGCAAGGCTTATATCTGGAGTTTTGGAGCGCCGTATCAGGCTCAGCAGCAGGAGAAGGACTCTTCGGGCAAGAGGGACAAGACGCCCGTGGAGATGTTCGGCGCACACGATTCGATCTGTACGAGTGTGGCGATTGCGCCGGCGAAGACGAAGCTGCAATTGAGCAAGAGCGAGGATCCGATTTATGATCTTTGCAATCCTCCTCCTGTGACGCTGCTCAGTCAGGCGGAGATCAATGGCAGCCAGGCGAGTTCGCGACCACCGACAGAGGCGGGGAGTGTACAAGCTACGCCTCACGAGGCGTACCATTTCGAGCGGCCTAGGGAGAGTGCGAGTTATGCGGCAAGGGCACAGCATCGTGGTGGGAATATCATCGTGACGGCGGATTTCACCGGCAGGATCAAGGTCTTTCGACAGGATTGTGCGTGGCAGAAGAGGTTCAAAGACGACACGGATAAGGGCAGTCTTTTCCGTGCGAAGAGGGGCAGTCGAACTGGATCCCTGGCTACGAGGAGAAGTGAGAGGAGTTTGCGCGAGGCTGCTGCTGTGGGCAGAACATCTATGAGCTCCGTCGCACCCAGCGAAAGGATATTGAACTGGAGACAAGGCATCGCCAGCACACCCAGTATATCCGATCGCGGACGAAATCACAACGTAGCTGGAAGTCAGTCTTCCAAAGGTACAAACTCGCGAAGTCGATCGCCTCGCAAGAGTCTCGAAGTTCGTGGGAGGAAAGAGGCGAGGACGTACCCGCCCAGCAAGAAAGACGCTCATCAAGCGCCGAAACATCCCCTTGCGATTGATAGTCTTGTGCGGAGTCCTTCACCTATGGACCGACGCCATGAAGATGCCGAGAGCCATCATGCCCCGCCCACGCCGGAGAAGCTGGTGCAGCACAGGGATACGGATGAGAACCCCCTCGGCATCCAAGGCGGCCGCAGCTACCTCTTCTGGGACGCGAATGTCTGGAAAGGCCACGCGGAACGCATGCATCGCATGGCGGAAGAACACGAACACGATCCTCCACCCAAATCCGTCTCTCCTTCGCCCTCGCGGTCTCCATCGGCAAGTCGCGGGGACATTACGAAGGCTTCCGTCGCTGGCGCACAGGATGATGGTGGCCATTTGGCCGTGAAGCCTACGAGGCCTGGGTTGAGACAGGTTCCGACTTATGTCAGTGCGCTGAGCGATGAGGTTAGCTCGGGGGAGGAAGGGGAGTTTGAGGAGGCGAGGGAAGATATTGGGAGCAGGGGCCGGTGATGGAGATGGGAATGCATGTGTGATGATTTTGATGAGTCTTTTTTGATATGAATGATGGGGGGGTTGTATAAACGGTGGACGGGGTGTGTAGGTGGGTGGTTTCTGGGAGGGGATGGGATGGCTGGGGCTTTTTGGGATAGACTGTACAGTGATCGGCTTTTGTATGTGTTGTTCTCTTCGTTGAGAATGTTTTCGCAAGAACAGCGAGGTATGCTTCAGCCTCATGCTTTGTCGAAGGATGTCGCGCGTGTATTGAAGAGGGCCAAGGCTGCTCTTCTCCTAAGGAGGTGTTCGGTGCCGTGTTTGAGGTGGATGGGTGAGAAGCGGAGGATCGTGTGTAGGGTTCGATCGAGATTCGAATCCGATGAGGCGGTGGGACGTCACCGCTTTGTTCTGAGAGAGAGTTCAAACCTTTACCATATCGAACATCGATCTCGACAAGATTGTTGTCAGCCGCAGAGTCAGCAACCGACCTGGTTGTTGTTGTCCAGGTCCTGCCTGCCAGCAACAGAGGCTGACTCTTGCTGTTCGTTTCGACTCGTGTGGCAAGGATCTCGCATGGGGAGGCGCAGTGGCACCCAAGGTAGGCAATCGATCTTCTTTCTCCGCCCATACCACGCCGATACTCTTCAACGGTTCTTCGTCAGCACTCGGCAAACACTCGGAAGCATTACAGCAACAGCAACTTATGTAAGAAGGAACGATATAGATCCGGTTGCAGCCAGCGCGGTGTTCCTCAAACACAGCAACCACCAACATGTTTACGTTCTTCGCGGGTCTTGCTACGCTGGCCTACTTCATCCTCTGGATTGTGCACATAGAAGCTGTGCAACATCTGAACGACAAGAAGTGGCCTGTTCAGACCTTCGAGTCCGAGCCAGGCTTCCATCCTCCTGTCCTCGAAATCACCGCCCCAGAACAAGCCTCGAAAGATGGATACCTCTTCTTCGCCCCAGGAGGCCCCCAAGCCAGCCAAACCGCACCAGTGATCATGACGAACAACGGCGAGCTCATCTGGAACGGACCGCCAGGCCTCTTCGCCTTCAACTTCGGCGTGCAGACCTACAAAGGCGAAGACGTCCTCGTCTTCTGGAACGGGAGTAGATTCCCCGAACCGAAAGGACGCGGACACGGGAACGTCTATCTCTGGAATCGACACTACGAACAGATCGCGAATGTCTCCCTCGCGGGGGAGTTCGTCGAGTTCAATGGGGAGAGTTATCCGAGTAATATCGATTTGCACGAGCATTATATCACGGAGAACGGGACGTTGCTGGTCCTGGCATATAACGTGACGCAAGCGGATCTGAGGAGTGTAGGAGGTTTGCAGGAGGGATGGGTGGTGGAGGGGCAGGTTTATGAGATTGATATCGAGACGAATGAGGTGTTGTTTGCGTGGAGGAGTTTGGAGCATTTGGATAAGCTGCCTTTTACGAGTTCGGTGTATCCGTTGGGCAGTGAGGGGTATGATGGCCGGACGAGGGAGAATGCTTGGGGGTATTTTCATCATAATTCCGTCACGCCGTTTCGGGAGGGGTATATTATTTCTTCGAGGTACTTTTGCAGTGCGATTGCGATTTCGAGGACGAGTGGGGAGGTACTTTGGGTGTTGCAGGGACGGGATGGAGGGGATTCTCATCTTCAAGGCGAGAATGGCAGTACGAGTTTCTGCTATCAACATGATATCCGCGTCCTGGAGGAGAAAGTCGATCAGGAAGGCGACCTTACGCAACTAACCCTCTCAATGCACGACAACGCCAACAGCCCCATCGACAAGAACAAAATCCCCACGTCCGGCAAAATCTTCTCACTCGACTTCTCCACCAACCTCGCCACGCAAACGCACCGCTATCTCAATACCTCCGGCCTCGTCTACGGCACCGCCCAAGGAAGCCATCAACGCCTGACCAACGGCAATATCTTCGAAGGAGCGGGCTACATCCCCATCATGGAGGAGTTCTCACCAGAAGGAACGCCCTTGTGTCGCTGGATCTTTGGCACGCCGCTCCGCACGACCGAAGGGGGATTTCTGTCTCCCGAGCCGGAGAGCGTGGTGCTGTCGTACCGCGCGTATAAGCAGCCTTGGGTGGGGTGTCCGCGAACTAAGCCGGCTGTTGTGTTGAATGCTTCGAATGGCACGGAGGGGATGACGGCGTATATTTCGTGGAATGGGGCGACGGAGGTGGAGAAGTGGGAGGTTTGGGGTCGGAGGGAGGGGAAGAAGGGGAGGGTTATGAAGGTTGTGGAGAAGAGCGGGTTTGAGACTGTGGTGGAGGTTGGGAGGGTGGAGGTTGTGTGGGTGAGGGCTTTGTTGAGGAAGGGTGCGCCGAGGGGGTGTGGAGGTGGGGTGTGGAGTGAGAGGGTGCGGGTGAAGGACGATGAGGGGGTGGATAAGAGGAAGGGAGGGATTTGGTGGTGATGGGGAGGGGAAGATGGTAGCTTTGTGAGGATTTACTTACGTCGTGTAGTAGGAATACATCCACAAAAAACGAAGTGCATTGGCGTTGGGAGATGATTTCGTCGTGTGACTTCGTTTATGCTCTTCCTTTCTAAGGGCCCATTGGCGGATCACACTGGTATTGAGTGGCCTTCGTGTCATGCCGACAAAAGCCGTCCGATCGCACCCCAATACCGCTCCGGATCCTCCAGAATCAACCCACAATGCGGCGCCTTCTCGAAAAGCCCCTCCTTGACCTCACTCCAGCCCTTCGTCCTCGCCTCCTCAGCATGGTCCTGCACATCCTCGTACGGGATCAGCGCGTCCTTCTTCGAGAACAGGTAGAGCCTTGGTGCCTTCGGATCGAAGAGACCGACATCGTTCCACCGCCGACGCAGTCTATGCACCATGCTCTCCTGCCGCAGGAGATCGCACCAGAGGAACATCGCGGTGCCCATGGTGATGTAGAGAGTCCAGAAGGCGAGCCACTTGGCGATTTGGGATTTGAGTGGGAATTGCATGGACATGGCCTCGACACCACCCCTCAGGCGAGCGTGGCTGGGAGCACAGTCCACGATGGTGTGCGTGAAGATGGAGTTGGGGTGGCCGGTGTCGTGGAGGTGTTGAGTTATGCGGGCAGCAGCTGTAGTGCCGCCGTTCGACATGGCGTGCAGGAGGATGGGACCAGGGCTCGAGGCTTTGATGTCGAGGATGGTGTCGCTGGCTAGCTTGGTCCGGGGCGCCTCGAGTGAGTCGAGGGTGAAGCTCTCCTTGAGGTTTGAAAGGATAAGGAGAATCGACGAGTCGGGGAAGAGCTTCTGGTATCCAGCGGCGTATTTTGCGACGATTTTGAGCGAGGCGCCCATGAAGGTGCAGAAGACGATGAGAGACGGGTGCTTTGGGTCCTTCTGGGCTGTTGACGAGGCTGTCGGACGGTATAGTAGCATGCTAGGTCCGAGTTTGTCGAAGTCTTCGAGTAGTGCCGCCATCTTCGCTGCTGTTGATGAGACACGTTGATGAGGGTTGGCCGAAGCTATGATCGTCGCGGTATTTAGATGACTTGAATTTCAAGTAGGCTATTGTCGTCCAGGGTACAATAGGTAAAATATTCGCCAGCACACACACTCTTCCACGTGCCTTGCCTTCCTCCCGACTCTGCCCTAGGTAGGATTCGAGTCCGAGGCTGCTGGAGATCCTCCTTTCTTCGAGCGTCGCCGTATGAGAATCAAAGAACAAGATCAAAGAAATAGCCCTTACCTTTCGAGACGCGTGGACTGCCGCAGAATGGATGCCTCGTGGCTGGTAGGACGAGGCGTACCAAGGAGAGCGAAGCGTCCAATCCGAGACCTTTGACTCGCGTCTTGCGGCCGAGTCCTGATGGCCGAACTAGGATGAAGGTTCCGTGTCGAGGCTGTAGGGCTGTATGTTGAGGTTATGATGGTGAGTCAGCCCGGTCTGGTCGTGCCTCTGTCAATATTATGCAGAGTGATTGTGCAGGAGTGGGACAAGGAGTGGAAGTTGAAGTCCATGTAGTGTCCTGATCGACGAGGAAATGGGCTTGATGGGCTAGGCTCGCTTAGGCGAGGGTTCGGTCCGCTGCCGTCCCAGAAGTTGATTTCGACCTCAGATCTTCTCGAATTTCTGGACCCGCTGCCTGCACATTTTACAGCCAACTATACCGTCTACCCAAAACGTCAAGATGAAACGCAAGATCGGAGCGCTGGAGAAGGTAGACGCCGATCTGCCGAATTTACAACACAAGATTCGAAACGATCCTCCTTCGTATCGCGACGACTTCGTGAGCCAGTACTCGCAGTATGCCTCGATGCTCGAGCTGTTCCTACAATCACCCACGACCACCGACGACACCGGCATAGTCCGACTACGAGACCTGATTGACTTCATATCCCACGTCGCCGACTGCTATCCCAAAATCACCGCCGATTTTCACAACGATCTCATAAAGCTACTTGAACTGCACCATAAAAGTCTGGATGTCGAGCTGCGGGACAAGATCGTGGGGAGTTTGGTATTGCTACGGAAGAAGGAGATTATCGATTCGAACACACTCTTGAACACTCTGTGGCCTCTGCTCATCGCTACTCCGTCGAAAGCGCTGCGAGCACTTCTCTTCCAGAAGATCGTCTCTGATCTGCGAACTTCAAATAGCAAGACCAAGAACCACAAGCTGAATCGCAATATTCAGACGATATGCTACAACCTGATCGCATCCGATCCAGCATCGTCCAAGGGACTGTGGGCTGTCAGGTTGACAAGAGAGCTGTGGAGAAGATCGGTCTGGACAGATGCAAAAGCTGTGAGCATTATGGAAATCGCTGCTTTGAGTCAAGATGCGAAAGTTGTGACAAGTGGGGCGCGGTTCTTTCTTGGGTCGGATCAAGAGCGAGAGGAGGCTGCAGAGGATGAGAGCGACGACGAAGAGGACATTGACATGCGCAAATTGAAGCACAAGGCTGGCATCAACAAGAAAAATGCCAAGCACGAGAGAGAGCTCAAAACTGCTGCTGTTAAGGTCAAACGCAAGGAGAAGAGAAAGAATGCACATCAGACACTGAACTTCAGTGCGCTGCATCTCCTACACGATCCTCAAGGTTTCGCCGAGAAGCTCTTCCAACAACATCTCCAACCTGCACAGCCAAAAGTGCGTCTCAACCTCGAACAGAAGCTCTACGTCTTGCAACTAGTCAGCAGACTTGTTGGTCTTCACAAGCTCACGCTCATCCCGCTCTACTCGTACTTCATCAAGTACCTTACGCCAAAACAGCCATCCGTTACCGCGTTCCTCGCCTACCTGGCTCAAGCCACGCATAGCCTTGTGCCACCCGATGTTCTTGAGCCTCTTATACAGAAGATCGCAAACGAATTCGTGTCAGAGGCTGCGGCATCTGAAGTGGCATCAGCTGGATTGAACGGCATCCGTGAGGTCTGTGTTAGGCAACCGCTGGCCATGACAGATACTTTGCTTCAAGACCTAGTCCAGTACCGCAAAAGCAAAGACAAGGGCGTCCAAATGGCAGCGCGGGGCTTGCTATCGTTGTATCGCGAAGTTGGTGCCCAGATGTTGAAGAAGAAAGACCGAGGAAGGGACGCCGCACTTGCTCTGAGAGATGGTCAGAACCAAGGCGCCAAATTTGGTGAGGTCGAAGGTGGCGGCATCGAAGGCATTGAGTTGCTCGAAACGTGGCGAGAGGAGCAAGGCATCGGTACTGATGAAGATGAAGAGGCGTGGAAGAATTGGGATGCGGAAAGTGACGACAGTATGAGCAGTGGCGGTTGGGTCAATGTCGAGAGTGATGGCGAAGAAATTGACATCTCCGACTCGGAAGACGAGAAGGACAAGAAAGCTTCCAAGAATAAGGCCACCAAGGAGGCCGAAAAGGAGAACGAAGCAGATGGTGAGAAAGCAGCGGAGGAGAAGGATCTACGTGATACTGCGTCTTTGGAACCAGAAGCTGCGGTGAAACGAGAGGAAGCTCGGATATCGAAGCTTGCCACCACACGCATTCTGACACCAGCGGATCTGGCCAAGCTAAACGAGCTGCGTCAAACAGCTGCGATCACTGCTAACATGCCGTCTGCGAAGCGACGAAAACTTCAACAACAAGCGCAGACCAACGCTGCTCGACATGCTGACGATGAGGTCACTGCAGACCAAATTTCCGGTCTAGCAGCTATGTCGCACAAGGCTACCAGAGAAGAGAAGATTGCCAGAGCAAAGGGTGAACCAGATGACCCCAAGAACGATCATCGCTCAACGACGGCGAGAAGGAAGGAGAAGAAGGAGGCAGAGGGCAAGAGTACCACGAACAAGGAGAAGGCTCGCAAGAAGAACTTCATGATGACTCTGGGTAAAGCGAAGAGGAAGGGCAAGAGGAGTTTGGTCGAGCATCGACGGATTCTCAAAGCGCATGTTGACAGAGGAAAGAGGGGTGGTAAACGTGGAAATTATTAAAGGCGATTCTGCGACGGCGTTCAACGCGTAAGCAGTATTGGGCGTAATCGATGTCTACGGAATGGCATCTTCCAACCCACTCTCTTCGCCATGCATCGCTTTGAACAACGGTTCCCATACCGTCACCGCCCTCAGTGTCTTGTATCCGTTCCCGGGCTCTGGGAGATTGTACCACCTCAAATCTTCCGCACTCGCCTCCAACGACTTGCCAAACATGCCAGTCTCATCGTCAACAAAGGTATCATGTGCCCTCAGAATGGTGGAAATCGGCGTCACACACTCCGGCGAAACAGCTTCCATCATCTCCATAGGCACAATAGGCGTTTGCACCATCCCTGGCAAAACCGTATTGATCAAAATATTCTCCTTCTGCTTCAACAACGGCGCCACCCCCCTCACAAAATGTATCGCCGCCGCCTTCGCACCGCAGTACTCCGGATAAGACTTATGGGGAAATATTCCTCCAATCGAAGCATTCAGAATAATCCTCCCTCCAGGCGTGGGATTATGCCGCATGAAATGCGTCGTCAACACAGTCCCATAAACCACCCCTTTATAATCCACATCCGTACAGCTCAAATCCGGCTCCGGCGGGACCTCTTCAACACCCTTACCCCGCCAGTTGTACAGGTATAGACTGCTCTGGTCGATGATCCCGGCGTTGGCGCAGAGGAGGTCGATGCGGCCCCAAGTGTCCCAGACGGCTTTGAACATCTCGGCTTGATATTGATAGGAGGATACATCGGCTTGGAAGAACCGGGCTTGGACTTCCGGGGTTGTGATTGTTGTGGCGATGCGGTTGCCAGCTTCTTTGTTGCGGCCTACGAGGGCTACGCGGTAGTTTTTGCTGTGGAGGTGGCGGGCCAGGTCGATGCCCATGCCGGACTGGGAGCCGTGGGTGTCAGCGAGCCTTGGAGGTTTGGAGGAAATGTGGTGGTGGGCGTACTGTGGCGCCCGTCACGATGGCGACTTTTTGGTCGGTAACTTCTTCGCTCTCGGGGCCGTGGCCGTTCTTGCCATTGGTGAGGTCGCTTGATGTCGCCATATCCGAAGACTTGAAACAATTCTGAGCTCCCACAACACAAAGAGGAACTACGAAGATACAGAGAGCTCAAAACACCACAGAAGCTCAAACACCAATGACGCTACCTACTGTGCCACTCGACCCTTACCCACGGGCACGAGCATTCGGCGGCACCGCCAGATTTTCCCGCGGTCCACGAAGCGATATTGTCTCGTTCTCATGACTCTTGCAGTTCGAGACGAACGTTAAGTCTTGGGGCCATGTCAAGTCTAAACCGTGGTGTGGTCTCGGCAAGAGGCGGTTTGGCGATCGCCTTCTGGGGTGCTTGTCTGCTCGTGCCGGTGGACAGGGGTTGTGGGCGGGTCGTTATCTTGGGTGCCGGAGTTGTGCCTGAATGAGCATTCAGTGGTGGTGGGGTGAAGCAGAACATGGAGAAGAGGCATTGTCGAAAACTGGGTGTTTTGTTCAATACCGCAGGTCTTGTGCTGGAACAACAACTAACGGAAACCAAGGTCTCCGTGGACGACTCAACGCTGACGATTTCCTCACAGAAGATCCGATGTCTGCTCTCAGTCGTAGTCCTTGATCACGGCACCCTTCTGCTTCTCTGGATCTGTCGCCTCCATGATCGCCTTCATTTCGTCGTCACAGAATTCGGGGATTCCTCTCACATAAAAACTCTCCTTGTTGATCTCGACCGCCAGCCCATACAGCTTCTCCTTTGAATACGTAGCGCCATACGCATCGACGAGATCCTCCTTGCCGTCAACAAGGTGCAAGACCGTCTTCGAGATCATCTCTGCGGGCGTGAACAGTCCAGGAGGGAAACCAGCCCAACCTCCCTCCCCTGTCAAGTTCGTCTCGACGATGCCAGGACAGATTATGTTGACGCGGATGCCCTCCAGGGCCATTTTGTTCGCGATCGCTCGTCCGAAGCCCAGTACGCCATGTTTCGCAGCAGTGTACATCGGGCTATAATGGCTTGGGTACAGCGCTCCACAACTCGCCGTAAGCACCAAACTTGCCCCCTGGCCTTTATGTGTCGACTGCCTGAAGTAATGCTGCGCCAAATAGCAGGTCTGCACCAATCCCTTCAAATCTACATCAATCGATCGAAGGTCCGGCGGTGGAGGCGGAGAAGTCTTCTGCTTCTTGTAGAAGTCTTGCGATTCGATGATGCCTGCGTTGGCGAAGACGAAGTCAATCCGCGAGTTCGAGGTTGTGAAGATGGTGTGGAAGACATTGGCGAGCTGGTCGTAGTTGGTTACGTCGGCTTTGTGGGAGGTGATTCTGGCTGAGGTAGATGCCACTTCTCTGTCGCTGACGTCGAGGACGTGGATATTCCAGTCTGGTCGGGCTGCGAGGGCTTTCACGACTTCTAGGCCCATTCCACTGGCTGGAAAGTCATGTCAGCGTGCTGATTCTGCAACGCCTCGGGAGAGTCTGGCTACTGACCTCCGCCAGTGATGATGGCTACCTTGCGTTCTCCAGTCATCTTGGCTTCTGCTTTTTGCTTGGAAGGGTCGATTGTCGACGAAATTCAAGTTTGCGAGAACAGCTCCGCTGTGATTGAGTAGCCGTCATGGCTTACCTGAGGTGTGACGGCACCACGGGAGCGACGAACGTTGGTCTGCGAGAGCGAACGGGGAGATCATCGACAAGCTGCTATCCCTGAAGCTCCCAGCACCCATATCCCAGTAATCCCGAGAATCGGACGGACTTCAGGATCGACATTAAATATCCCACAAGATTGAGCAAAGCCTCGCCTGACATCACGCGAACTTAGCCGTGACTTTTTCCCAGGACTTCACTCCGATCCGAGAGGATTTTTTTCCAACACGTGCTCGTGTCTTGGAAGTCTAAGCTAAGCTTTTGCTACTTCTTGTTCAATATCTGTGCCGTACGCTATCCGGACAGCCTGGCACCCAAACTAGGAATCAGTTCCTTCAGTTTAAGCGACGTTAACAACTAACGCAGCACCGCAATAGGAACAAGTACCAGTCATCGAGATGCATTCACTCACTCTCGAACGCAACCGCCACCATTCGACTCGAGCTGTCACTTCGACAAGAACCACCGGAGACTCCACGCAACGCTGAATTTCTTTTCGTAAAATCAATAGCTTTGCAGACAGTGGAGAACCACACCCCACCGGCAATGACGGAGGAATGAAGTCCACATAAGCTGCCTTAGTGGCCTGTCAAACCACGTGCCGACTTCGGTATACAAGGATAACTCGACGTTCCGTCTACAGGCTCTGGCAAGAATGATATGAACCCCTGCTAGTTTCTCAGCCTTTATCTAGCTATATATGGAAGAATAAGTGGGTCACCACTTTGTATGGCCTCCTTCAGCATCGATTACTGCCTGACATCTTTCCCTAATACTCTAGCAGATCCTTAATATATCAGATGTCGACAGCCTTGTCTATTCAGTCTGTACAGCCTGAATAACCTCTGCCCTTGTTGTAGGGAAATGAAGCCTAACCCTATGCTTTAAAAGACTCTAAAGATTCTTAATTAGATTAAGATCTAGTGAGTTTGCTGGCCATGTAAGGAGCTGTATATAACAGTCCTTAAACAAGGCCAATATAGCCTTAGCCTTGTGAATAGATACGTTGTCTTGTATCACTAAAGACTGCTATTAGAAGATACCCTCTTGTTACTACTTTTGGCAAGCAGCCTGTATTAATAGAACGATATTCTGACGGTAGATATCCCTATTAATTGATCTAGTATCGAATACAGTATATTCCTTCGGTCCATCTGCTAATATGCAGCCCTAAATCATACAGGCTGAGTACTTGCGGAAGCGTAGTACAATGCAGTCTGTATAATAGGCTTTATTAACCGTTCTTGTTACATAGACCTGTCCGAAGTAGCCACAGCGAATTGAGGCTTTATCAGTCTACAAAACCCTTAACTACTGCCTATCTGTCCAGTCGACGTGCTCTTTTGCCCATTGTAGCCGTGCTGCCTTGTGTTTGTCCGTAAGCTATAGCTTCTTCCTTGCTATATATCGTTAATAGCCTTCTTTTACAAGTGCTGCTCGAATCGTCCGGAAGTTATAAGAAAGGTCCTCAAGGCGCGTGATTTAATCCAGTCTAAGCCGCCTATGATAGGTATTAGTAGTCAGTCTGTTTACAAGACGACGTCGTTTGCGGGTTGTAATTACAGGAGGGCGTCCTCGTCGGGGTAGTGTACGTAGTTCGCGTTCTAGGCGTGTAATAACCTGAGATATAGCATGTTTTGAGGTATCCAGTTTCTCAGCAATCCGCTGAAGTGGCCAGTATGCGTGCTTGTGAAGGGCCCATATCTGGCCCTTCTTAAAGGCTGAGAATATCCTCTTTGGCATTACTGTATCGAAGAATGTAGGAATCAAGACGCGTACAGCGTGTTTTGAAGCAGGCCCACAATAACAACCATATATAGTTAGCAGAAGGAATACCACTAGCAGGGGTTCATATCATTCTTGCCAGAGCCTGTAGCCACCCGCACGCCGGTCGACTTCACGCATTCAGTTCTGCACCCGAATCACGCTTCGAGCTGCGTGTGCAAGACGCAGGAGGTCTTCACGCGCCAGGAGAGGAAGCATTCTCGTCAGGGCTCGCGAGGCTAATGCCAACACCATGAGAGCCACGCCACCAACTTTAGCCAGTTTCAACTTATCGGTTTTCTGGCCTTGCCCGAACGATTGGCTCCTGCGATTGGCGAGTCCTGTTCCTGATCCGAGGGCGTGTATGAACCTGGTGTTGGGAGTGAGACATGTACATGGCTCTTTCGTCAAAAAGAATTTGATGTTGCGTGTCTCCTATTTCATGTGAAAGGCCTGCTCTTCTGTTATACTGGCCGCTTGACTGCGATTCTGGTATCTGCGAACCCGCCCTGACGACTCGAGGACAACATCCATTGACACCGGACGATTCGAGAGAACTCAACATGTCGACGACCGACACTTCCACATTGTTCGCGGAGGTCTGGGCAGAATATGGCATCAGCATATGCACCCATTTTCTGCGCTTCTATGCCAGATGGAAGCTTTTTGGCTTCAAGAACTTCGACATTGGAGACGCCTTTGCTGGCCTCGCCATGGTTAGTAGCATCAATGTATATACTTTCTTGACCATGTCTCACGCTTGGCCAGATATTTTACACGCTCGAGACCGTTGGGATATATTTACTCAGTACGTACTGCTATGACGGCCCTCGAGGGCGGCACTGTCACTAACAACCCGTAGCGAGCTATGGCAACAACATTGGACTTAATGAAGAGACAGCAATGGCAGTGCCGGACAACAAGATTGCAGATCTGACCTTGGGCTCGAAGTTGGCGTAAGTATTCATACATCAGAGAGCTTGTTGTCTCAGGTACTGACACTTTATAGCTTTATGAACTGGAAGTGGTACATCAGCCTGATCTGGTGCCTCAAAGGTGTGCTGCTGACGATCTATGTCAAGCTCGGGTGAGTGTCATTCTGAACGATTCAGTATGAGGAGTTGACTGACCATGTCCAGGACCGGCGTTGCGAGACAAGAGCTTGTTGTCAAGTTCATGTGTCTCTTCACGCTCTCTACATGGATCGCTTGCATCTTGACACATACGCTGATTTGCATTCCTGCACACAAGAGCTGGCAGATCAAGCCATATGCAGGAGGTATGTTGGCTCAGGCTCCAGGTCTCACGTCGACATTAGCTAATAGAGTGGCAGACAACTGCACAGTGCGCAAGCCGAACTACATCGTCATTGCGGTGCTCAACAGTCTTACTGATATGGGCATCATCATGGTTCCAATGCCGTTGCTGTTCAAGGTCAAGGTACCTTTGAAGCAGAAGATTGCGCTCATCCTCCTATTCTCGCTCGGCTTCTTCGTCATCGTTGCGACCATCCTGCGAGCGTACTACTCCCTCAAATCGCTCGATACTCTCATGATTGCCCTCGGATGGGCCAGTCGCGAAACCTTCGTAGCTACGATCGTCGCCTGCGCCCCCGGTATCAAGCCCCTCTTCAGCAGCCAACGCTGGAAATGGGGCACTTCAGACCATTCTGGCAACAAGTCGAGCAGCAAGTACTATCACTACGGTCTATCTGGAAAAGGAACCGGCAGCGCAGCAGACCCGAACATCCACGTCTCTCGATCAGTGGACGTATACACTGAACACGGCAAAGCATCTCCATACGACTTTGAGATGGGTAAATGGAGGGGCAATCGACCAGCAAGCTCCACCGAGAGCGATGAAAGAGTGATGATTGGGGAGGACCAGTCTGAAAACAAAGGCGATGCGGATAACAGAAGTGGTGCGCTCTTCTCAGCTGAGCACGTTGTGAAGCCAAAAGCCCAGGTATAGACATCTACAGCCTTGCCAAGCAGAGCAAGCCAACGCAGTCAAACTGTACGAATACCACGACACCTTCACGAGTGCAATTTACGCGATTTCTTTCAAATTTCGTGACTTGGCGCGCAACTGTAGCCGAGCAACTTCAGAGGGACGACGACTCTCTCGATCTCGACGAGAGACGTTCTTGTGCACGTGGGTGGAGCATTCATTCAATTGCTACCCCTGCCAGAAGTGGAGCAGGCTCCAAATCCTTCAGTCTGGGGGCCCTTGCTCCCGGGCTCCACCCAGCCCCTACTAGATCATGGAACGGCTCGAGGGACCAGCACTGTGCTCCCTAGCAACGTAGCTTCCGCTCGCCCTCCTTGCAGACATCGGCGGCGATGCCTCAAGTTGACTGGACTTGTTTCAACGCGCTCTCCGCTTAAGCAACAGCGAGTCATGTTGGCGATGGCCTTTTTCGCTGCGGCTAGAGGCTTGGTGTGCAGCTGTGTTGTCGCTCGACCTGCGAGCGAAAGCCGATTTCCAGAGAGGAGTTGACGGGGTCCTGACTTCTCCGTTTTGTGACTTGTCTCGCTCGCTCGCTCGTCCTTTGCTTTGTCTCCATCGCCTTCCTTTTGTGATTGCGATCAGTCGCCAATATGGCTACGAAATTCGATACGCCAGCCTCGGACCCTGTCTTGACTAAGGGCATCGAGGACGGGGAGCCCAATGGCAGCAACAGCCTGGAGAAACAGCCCGACGCAAGCGCTGGCACGCCGACTAAAGAGGTGTTCGACGACGGGGCAGAGCCAGTCGTCACCCTCAAGACTTGGATAGTCTGTACCGTACGCGTCCTCCAAATCTATCACTTCTCTCCCAATCCGAAAGTCATCTGACCCAGATCTTCTTATTCTAGATTCTCTCGATCGGATATGGTCTCTCCTTCTGGGCTGTCCCTGTCGTCTCAGCCATCGGCACATCAGTCTCTGCTGATCTGGGGGACCCCACGGCATACAACTGGTACGTTCCCGCCTGGACCATCGCCATCACCGTCTCCTTCACCTGGTTCGGCCCGCTCACGGACACGCTCGGTCGACGATGGTTCTTGGTGGGCGGCAACTTGGTCACTTTCATCGGACACTTGATTGTGGCGAGCGCGAAATACAACACATCGAATGGAGCCTCGCAGATCACGGCTGGACTGGCTATTATTGGCTTTGGAGGTGCCAATTGCCAGATGGCCGCGTTCAGTTTGCCGGAGCTTTTGCCCAATAAGTGGAGGCATATTGGTGTCGTCTTCGCGGATCTGGTCGTGTACGTCACTGTGATTGTTGCGCCTGTGACCGCTCGATTTGGATATCAGTACGGCAACTGGGAGGTGAGTATTACCTGTGACTGCGCGCAAATGTGTGCCAATAATGACCGCGTGCGCAGTGGAACTTCTGGGGACTTGCCATTTTCCAGTTTCTGTCTTTCCTCGGTCTGCTCCTGCTTTACTTCCCACCAGCTCACCCGTAAGTTGCATTGCATCTTTTATGACTCTGCAAAGCTGACAACAATACCAGTGCTGGTGAACCACTGAACCAAGTGATCAAGCACATCGACTATGTTGGAGCCTTCTTGTTCGGCGCCGGAGCCGTTCTGGCTCTCATGGGCATCGTCTGGGCCGGAATGTACGATTCAAGCGATCCCCATGTTGTCGCTACTCTCGTCGTTGGATTTGTCCTGATCGCCACTTTCGCTCTGTGGGAGCACTTTGGCAAGCTGAAGTACCCTCTGGCACCTACGCACATCTTCACCTCCTCGAAGGGACGCGACTTCACTGCACCAGCTATTGCACTTGGTGTTGTCAACATGTTCTACTATTCCAGCAGCATCCTCTGGCCAACCATGATCACGAAGTTCTACACCAACGGAGGCACCGAATGGAGGGAGGCGGTCATACTTTCCCTGCCACAGGGCTTTGCTATCCTCACTGGTGCGCTTGGTCTGACGTTCTTTGGAAGCAAAATCAAGAACTGGCAATGGCAGTTGACGGCATCTTCCTTCATCATGGTTCTCTTCGGTTCGCTGCTCGGCATGGTCACTCCGACCAACAAGGGCACGATGATCGCCTTCTTGTTCCTTTCGCAAGCTGGTTTCGGATGGGGCTTGTATTTGGCTATTGCTGTAACTCAGATGGGTGTCGAGCATAAGGATCTCGGCATTGCTGGAGGTATATCTGGCACTTTCCGTTATGCTGCTGGAGCAAGTAAGTCAACCGCCAGGTTCTGATGTTTGATCTTCACGTACTGATAAGATCAACAGTTGGCACAACCATCTACAACACAGTCTTCAACAAGGAACTCACTTCAGCAACGACGAGCAAAGTCACTAAAGCCGTGCTCGAGGCCGGCCTGCCACAAAGTGACGTTGCTCAACTGCTCTCCGTCGTTAGCACGGCCGATTTGGCCACATACCCGGCAAACATCGTCTCAGCTGCCAGCGCTGCGCTCAACGACGCTTACTGCCACGCCATCTTGTAAGTCCATGTTCACTAAGATATTTGAACCACATTCTGATAACAGCAGTGTCGTTGCCATGGTTTCAATGGCATTCGGAATCATTGGACTGATCGCTTGTGCATGCTGCAAGGACGTCGACCACAAGATGAACAACCAGATCGAAGTGTACCTCGAGAACGACCGTCTCGCGGATCGAAACAAGTTCCACTAAAGGTGCATATCCGCTTCGATGAATCGATTTATTCTCGTCGAGTCAGAAGCATCTTCTAGAGTTAGAAATAGATACGCCAAAAATGAATATATTGAAGAGCAACGGTCCAGACTTTGCAGTACCAGTCGTTTCATTACAGCTCGGCTGCATAATACGCTACTGCGCTCACGTTCTTCTTCCCCATGCACTATTCAATATCCATCTCAATGCATCGAAGTTGCTCGGTGCACCCCGTCCTCCATCCAAAAGTCCCATGCATGTAACCATACAAATCCGTGCTGAAATGTCATGGTCCTTTCCATCAAAGTCCGTCATCACGCTTTCATAGCCCACGTCTCAGCCTGTATCTGGTTTCTGAAACTGCTTTGGTTCCATAATCGCTCTTGATCTGCTGTAGTTCTGGCTTTCTTGCTTGTGATAGCTTGCTTGGCAGATGTGATGATGCTTCGACTTCTGTTGTAATTGGATTTGGAGTCTCTCCAGGAGTCAACGATGCTTGAAGACTCGGAATCCGCTGACGAAGTCGAGTCTAGACGCAAGGTCTCTGTGTAGGTAGGTGGAGGTGACTTGGCTGAACTGGGCATGTTGGCGTTGTGGCGTCGTAAGGCTGTGAGAAGGAGAAGGCTTTGTTTGGATCGAGTTCTGGATCTTGGCAAAGTAGAGAGTTTCCTACGACCCTTAGTAGCCACTATATATGTAATCGATCGGAATATGTCCTGGTGGTCTTCCACGGTCATCGTTGTTGTTATCGTTCCGCTTCTCGGCATGAATTCCTAAAAAGGAAATATCATTCCGCTCAATGCCGAGTTGAGCGCCGATGCCGCCGCACTTCACTCCTCAACAATCACCACATGAAAACTATGACTGGCGGCAGCATCCAGGGTGCGGCTGACGCAAACCATGACGGAAGCAAAAGTCCAGTCTGAGACTTTCATCTTTCAAAGATCTGACCGCCTTCGTGCGCCAGATCCTCCAAACCTGAGCCAAGACCGTCCATCGCGGAATGGAATAACAGCAGTATGTCTACCGGATTGAGTCGTCGGAATGGCAAGGCAGCCTCGTGCGAACCATGTCGCAAAGCCAAGATCCGATGCGATCACCAGAAGCCCTGTGGCCGGTGCACAAGTCGTGGACTGACCGCAAGGTGCATCTACCATCCTGCTCCGTTGACTCGGCCTCGAAGACCGGGCAGCGGCCAGATCCTGGACTTTACCTCAGCCACATACCAATGGGATGTAGGGAACAATCCTAGTCCGACGGGCCACGAGGCAGTCAATCATCCTATCACTCCGGCGAGTGGTTTGAGTGATGGCCTGCCTCTCCGGATGACATGGCCATCCAGAGCGGTTCCCACATACCGTCAAGGCCAACAGCCACCACAACTCCTGAACACCATTTCAAGTGATGGCGCAGAGGCTGAGAACCTCCAGACCGTCAAGTACGTGCTATCTCAGCTGCGACACTTTGGATTTCTGGATCACTTGATTGTCGAATATGGCTACCATGCTCAAGCAATTCTTGTGCCGAGCCCTATCATCCGGGCGATTGTAAATGAACTCCGTACTACTAGCGCCTCTTTGGCCATCGAGGACTTCGACGACCACAGTGAAAAGCTCAATAGTTTGGCAAGATTGGTGCTATCCAACTCGTCCAAGCCGGTGCAGTATCCCACCCGGGACTTTGGAGTGGCCGAGTTCGTATCATTCTATACTGGGGAGAATCTACGGCTGGAGACCATGGGCCTGATCTATGCCATTACGGTGCGAGCTTTCCTTCTTGGTCTCGCTGGCGACGACCATAAACGAGAAGACTTCGTGCATGAGATGTGCACGACAAGCTTTGTCTGTCTGCGTCTGGGACGAGAGTTGTGCACCGACATTAGCGACATGCAAGCCTTTCTGTCATTTGAGGACCATCGTCGTACGTCAGTGACGGAGGGAGACGCCAGTAAGCCTTGATCAACTATTGACAATTGACCATTGACATCGTTGCTGACCGATCAATAGCACCAGCAGTATGGCGCAAACTAGGCGAAGCCATTACTGACATTTACGCCGCCGGCATACACAGAGAGAAGAATAACTCCAAATTGCCATTTTTCCTCGCCGAGTGTCGGAGGAAGGTCTATGCACACTTATTCAGAAGCGACAAGTTCATTGCCACTCTCATGGAGCTACCTCCTCGGATGATACGTCGATACTCTGACACTCGTCTGCCACTAAACTTGACAGATGACGAGCTACTGGCAGCTGCGAACGAGCAAGAGGCTCGACGAATGCTCACGCCTGATGGCTGGAACATAGACAATGTCCACATGCCTACAACATGGACACGAGCTCGGTGCATGCTCGCCGAGAATCAAGAAGAAATTCTGGATCATCTCAATCGGCCCATAGATGCTGGCAGTGCCGCCAGACTCCAGTGAGAGATCCTCTTCCCCTAGTTTTTGAACGGCTTCGAAGAACTAACAATCTGGCAGTGGCGTACTCGACCAATCATACAAACGCTGGGATTCTCTTCCCGAACACACACATTATAGTCGCGAATGCTGGAACAATGGCATCTCAATGCCGATATGCCTGATGCTCTCCACGCTCCGACAGGCCTTCCTCCAAGGAATCTTCTCCATCTACAGGACACTTGAGCCCATTGAGCCGAGCTGCTCTGCAGAGATGTTGAAAGTTTCCATGGATATTGTGATGACTGCACACGACGTGGGGAGAAATCTTAATCGGGCTATCTTCTTGCGTTACGATTTTCCTTACGTTGTGAGTCTTATCAAGCCAATGAATTCAATCCACGCTGATTGATCACAGGTACTATATTACGGCCTACCAGCTGCAGGAGTACTGGTCAACGCTCTCCTCGAGGTCGCTCGAAGTAAAGGCACGCAGTCTCTACCAGACGGACTCAACCGAGCATTCATCATACGACAGCTATCAGTCTTCATATCCCATCTAGAGAGCATTTACAACCCAGGCGATCCGAACTATACCATTTGTCTGAACGCCGCGAAAGCCATCTCGCGCACATTGGACGATGCACTGGATATATCTTCTGCTGCAAGCACGACGGTCAACTCAACGGCCGGGCCACAGACTCCAGCTTCGAATAACGACGTGGGCGCTACACTGGCTTCTGCTATGCCACTTATGCTCAACAACGAACGAAATGGAATGGAGCTCGACATCCTCTCTAGCAATGGCCTTGATGGCTTTGACTTCGCCACGTGGATGAAAGATATTGACTGGACTGGCACGGGCGGCGAATGGAGTAATCTATAATTTATCTCTACTAGCACCGAGAAAAATACACTATCACTCTAATTCTAGAGACGAACAGACTGCGACCGCTCAAGGGCATCCTGGATCCGCGAACATAGGAATCGGCCCATTGACTGGATAGCACCCCCCATACTTCTTGCCACACGCATTCGTGAACCACTCACACGTCTCCTCCCTCTTCACATTTCCCTCCTCGCCACAGCCCGGATCCGCAATCAGCGGAATGGGCCCTTCGGCGGGATAGCAAGTGCCAAAGACCTTGCCACAATCATTCTTGAAGTACTCGCAGACAGTCGTCTTGTCGCTGACGCCGTTGCAGGCCGGGATGGGGAAGTCCTGGCGGGCTGTGGCGCAGAAGTCCCAGCAGCCGCCGTACATTCTGTGAAGGGGTCAGCGATAGCGCAGAAGGGGTGAATAGAGATAGGAGACGTACTGTCCACAGTCGTTGGCATTGTCGATGCAAATCGTGCATCCATCACCGTTACCCTGACGCTTGTCAAGGGGTCCGGCTAGGGACATGCCCAGAAAGCTCGCGACGAGGACGAAAGACTTGAGATCGAACATGACGAATTGGCAAGAACTTCTTCCAGATAAACCGATCGTGTATAGTTGTCGTTATCGCTGTTGTCTGAACAGGACAATCCATCAAGGTCAAAGCGAGACCTCCCCATCTTTATACCCCCAACTCCAACCCTCCCCCAAGATCCCCCATCCCAGTCCTATGACGAACAAACAACCGAAACAACCTCTCTTGGCTCTGCTCGTCTACTCGTATTACGACGTCGCAACGTCGAAACTCTAAGAACTGTAAGTTAGCCTTTCGCCGCAGAAACTCTTGGGCGTTGCTATTCCAGAAGCCAGCCTTACTGGGGTACCCCTTTCCGCCTGGGGTTTGAATTCGCCGGGGCCGTATGGCTGGCTTGCTACTTCGGATGGCGACCGATGGGACTATTTCATTTGCTCGAGACGCTCTTGGTACTATCTTGGATTTTACGTGAGAAGTCCGTTTCATGAGACGTCCGTTCCATGAACTTGGTCCATCGCTATAGCCCGCCAAGCTGAAGAAACGTATTCGTATTTGATCTCAGGACTACTGACTCTGGCGCACAATTGCTGTAGAGATGAGTAGCTGGACGGCATCGGGGAAAATCAAAAGTTGAAGTGAAGTCTTGACATTCTCATCACCCTACAAGCAGCCGACTGACGACATCTACCAGAACCCATCCTCCCTCGCATTTCAACAATGAAGACATGAAGCATTCCCATCCCATTTTCGTGCCATGCTCGCCGATCTTATTGCTCGCCTTCGAACGCCGATACGAGAAGCGCGCAGTCAGTAAGGGCAACGTAAAGGTCAGAAAGGACCTAATGACTGCAAGTGCCGCTTGACGCAGCACGAAACCGTACAGTGAGAGTATGCTATACAACAGTGGTGTCGAAGAGGGTGGCCATACTGGTGCGGTCGCAGCTCGCATGCTTGAAATGACAGTGGTGAACATGACGCAAGGTTGATTCGGCCGTGTCGTCGATATTTTCGGCCGTGCTCGCTCGTGTGCACAATTCGTGATGCAGAAACGACGCTTTTTGCTTCCCTCCCAAATGCAATGCAGATAGAGTCGAGGTAGGGAGGGCTGACCTAGTGCGTCTCTTCCGCCTAGGAAGCAATGGCTCTGCCTCCACCACGGCGGTTGTTTTTGGGTTTGGCGGGCACAGTGCTCCAGCCATCTTCTTCCAGAGTGTCCGCGGTGTCCTTGGGAGTCTGCGCACCATCCGCGGATACGACAGGCTCGTTTGGCTTGGTCTCCTTGTCGCCAATGATGGTGCCGTTCGCGGATGCATCAGGAGTGTCCAACGTGCCTTCCTCACCATCTTCAGCATCCCTCTGAAGGATGCTGAAGCTTGCACGAGCCTGCTGAGCAGCTCCTTCTCCATTCTCTTTGGGCTGTCCCTTGTTGCCGTTGTGCTGACGCGATGGACGACGGTCACCACGTGGTGGACGCTCGCCAGTAGGCGACGTGACCTTCTCACCCTCTTGCTCGGCCTGGCCACGGTCTGCCCGATCGGCACGTGCTGTTCTTGCGGCAGCCTCCTTTGCGGCCTTCTCCTCTCTCGCCTTATCATCTGCCTCTTTCTTCTGTCTGATGGCCAACTCGCGTCGCTCTTCGACTTCACGCTCTCTGGTGGCAGTGTCGATGGGGCGAGCAGCACCAAACGGCGATGCCTTGGAATCTGCCGAGGGTGTGGTCGCCGACTCTGGCTGTTCGGCAGTCGACACAGTCCGCTTGGAAAGGTTGAGCCTCGGTCGCTCCTTTGGGGCGTCTTGAGCTGGTGACGTAGGGGTCGATACGTCTGGTGTTGCGGCTGGCGAAGCGTCTGGCTTCATTCTTGCGCGCCACTGGTTGTCCATGTCTGCTGCTGTAGGCACACGCTCGACTGGTGGACGTGGCTCGAACTCTCGGCGTGGAGGCCTCGACCCGGCATCTGATCTGCCCTCACCCCACGATGGGCTTGGTCGTCTCTCTCCACGTGGTGGACCGCCCTCTCGCATTCTGCCGCCCTCTCGTCCGCCTGGCTGGCCTGGAACCGGAGACAAAGGGCCTTTGCGCTCCCAGTTGGAGAAGTCACGTACCTTACCGTCATTCTCGAAAAATCCAGGCTTTCGGCCGCCTGCTGGTCCCCCACGCTCGCTACCGGCATCGGATGTGTTGTCGAAATTTCGGCTGAAGCCTCTTGAAGGCTGTCGAGTGTTTTGCGGGAGATCTGGAAGTGGGCCTTTGCGGCTCCAGTCTGAGAAGTCACGCGATGAGTCCATGCGATCGTTCTTGGCTGTGAAGGGTCAGTACAGGAAGAGACTGCTAGCGAGGAATTCTGCATACGTGGATCAGCAACGCTGATCTTGATGTTCCTGCCCATGAATGGGGTCTCGGTCTTGTCCAGCGCCGCGCGCAGACCCTCTGGGGAACCGAACTCGACATAGCCGAAGCCCTTGGGCTTGCGGTCGACCTTGTCCTCCATAATGCGCACGGTGGTGACCTGGCAGTCGGACAGGAATTCTTCGATATCTGTAGAGGTGACATTGTAGTCGAGGTTGCCGAGATGGGCGGTATACGGGGGCTTGGTAGGGAAGGGCACTGCCTCACGCTCGAACCGGGGGCGGTCTATTTGATATTAGTATGAAGCCTGCAGTAACTTTGACTGTGATACTTGCCGTAGCTTGGTCCTCGTCCACCCATACCACCACTCATACCGCCTCCCATACCGCTGGGAGCACGGTCGTTGCGAGCCGTCTCCCATGCTGGCTGGCTGAAACCGCGTCTCTCGCCTTGATCGCGGTCGCGTGCGCCGCCGTAGCCGGAGGCCACGGCCGGCACTGGCACCGAGTCCATCTCATCTGCCCATGATCCGAGCGCTGCATCACCGCTGTCAGTATGTCTGTTCTTTCTCTGCTTCTCTCGGCTGCCGGTAGGTCGTGCGAGCGTCGAGGCCGTGCGGGGAGTGGTGATGCGTACATTGGTTGGTCAAGAAGTCGCCCAAGGCCATCTTCTCCTGCTTCTTTTTGGGAGCTACGAGTCTCATGTCAGCCTCGCCGTTCAGCCATGGCCATGTAGTACGGCAGCATCGTGTCGATGCGATATGCCTCGCACGGGGCGGGCGTTCATACCCATGATTGCGGTCGTGTGCGAACCACGCGGTCGTCGGCGCGGTTCTGAATTGGAGAGAGAGGCGATGGATTGGCCTCTCGAGTGTCGTCGGGTAGGGATTGCAGCGCTGTCGGGGACGCTGCGTGGTGTGGATGTTGTCGCTGGCGGGAAGATTTCTTTGGGCGGAGACGACGACGTTACTTCCCTCAAAGTGCGTGCGGCTGCTCCCGCTCAACAGGGTTCGGCTTTGAAAGTTATGCGCTAGTGAAGCCTAAAGTCCGACGATGAGATCTCGCTCACATGTCTGCTAACCTCCAACATACACATTCCATCAGCTGGGTGGATGTAAATGATGGAAAGAAGAAAGTCGCCACCAGAAAATGCGTTCTCAGCGGCCATTGAGCCAGCACTGAAAGTTGGTGCGGCGTGTGGTGAGTGCTTTCCGTCTCTCCTATTTCCGCGTTGAGCCCAATATCGTCGTAAAAGATCTGTGCAGGAAGAGCAGCAAGAGAGAAACAAGAATTCACAGTCATTCGCCTGTGATTCGACAGCGTTGCTAGACGATTTTTGATCTTGCACGTCCGAAGATGGGGAGCCTGATCTCATGACCGCAAATCTCATGCCCAGCCCAGCATCTATCCACGTCTTGCGATATATGATATTGACAACTGCTGACGGCTCTCACCAGGTGGTGCTGGATTTCTCTTTGGTGGAGCCTCTGGCATCGTTCGTGGCCTGCCTGCTGCGCTCTCGGGCGGAATTTCTGCAATTCAAACGTTTACGCTCGGAACGACCTTTTCTCTCCTCCGCACTGGTGTAGTCGCCGCGTGGACTGTTGATGGCAAGCCTCCAGCACCGCATGACCTAACCAAAGCCAGTGCACTTGCTGGTGGAGTGTCTGGAGGGGCTGCTGGCCTTATTTTCCGAGGTCGTTCCAACGTCCTTCCTGGAGCTATTATGTTTGCCATTTTTGGCGCAGCAGGTCAACACATCTACAATAGATATACGGCACCCAGAGATGTGCAGCCTCGAGAGAACTTCTGGAAGCGTATGAGTGAGAAAAGCTGGACGCCCTTCAAGGTTTTGTCTAACGAAGAGTACACCGAGCTCCTGAAGGAAAAGATGTTGAAGGTCGAGGTTGAAATCGCTGTGCTGGATGACAAGATTGCAGCTCTCAAAGAGCAGCGAGGGAGTCAAGACGTGCAGGAAAGGCCGACCGGCACTGGTGATTCCGCGCCTTGAAAGGCCGAACCGAATCCGGCAGCGCAGCTACCGAGCATCTCTCTCGTGTGAACGATTTGCGCCACAAGATCAAGAAAGCCAGACGAATGACAAGCTCCAGTGACAGCATCGCCGAAGCGTGAGGATGGCAATTCCCATCAAGACGTCCATGCTGGTCCCCAGCGCAGCGGTTGCAAAGTCATGCATACATAGGCGCTGAAGATTCGGACACCGCAGAGTGCATGCAGGTGGTGGAAGTGGTTTATGGCGGGTCTTAGCATTGAGAAGTCGGGACGACCAGGGCGGTATTGTGAAAGCGGTGGACAGTGTAGTAACAATATGCTGGATGGCAACTGGACCGAGTGAACTCGAGGCGAGCAAAGTTGAAACCAGACGAGACGAGACGAGGGGGCGAGTGAATGTACGGTTGCACCGAGCAACGTGGTGTCAGACTAGGATCTTGCAGCGTTTGAACTGGCGTTTGCAAGCCGCCACCACAAACGGATTCTCATCTTCACACCTTTCCGCCGACACACATCCACCTTGCACCAAGAGGTTTCTCGATAAACATGGACCTGTCCCCCAGTCACCGCCATCGTCAAACTCCATCTGGCCCTCGGCACCCGCAAAGTCTCACAGAAGCGCAGATGCCTCGTACCTCGCAATCCGCCTATATTGCGACACCGACCCAAGAGGAAGGCTATCCAGAGATGGTGCAGATATCGAACAGGTCCGCACTCGTGCCCTCGACCTCTATGCGGCATTCACGGTCTCGCCAAACTGCACCTGCATCTCATCATAGCGCTCAACCAACAGTGCGAGCGGTACCGGAAGCCGAAAGCGCAATTGCAGTCAATTATCATCCCCCATCATCACCAGCACTGTCGAGGCCCAGATACACGAGCTATCCCGATCGCGATTATCCACATGCGCCTCCGCCTGCACGTCACCGAAGTCGAAGCCCAGCGAACAGTCCTCCTCCAGCTTCTCGAATGGAGGCCCAATCCACCACGACCAGCCACTCGCACCGCCAACCACCATCTACTACATCAACCAGCCAACAGCAGCGCCGAACGGAGTCTTCGCACACGAGAACCCCATTCCAGCCGGCGCAAGCCTACCACGGACAGCGCCAACAAGATCCACATCGTCTCCTTCCTACAACAGGCGGTGCCCCTCGCTGCTTCAGCTTCGAGCTCGCTCCTGCCAACAACGAGTTCGTATACACACCTCCACGCACGTCCGATAACGAGATCATCTCGTCGGACCAGAATCGCCGACCACAATTCAGACCAGTCCTTCGATCAGTGCCCGACACGGTTCGCGACGTGTCAGCAGACCACCTCGCCCTGATATTTGCGCGACCGGCTGCATTTGACGAGTCGCGGAGGGTGCCAGAGAATCTGCCTGAGGACCCAAATATCAGGCAGGAGTTTGCGGAGGGCTTCATCTACGAGACTGGAGTGGACTACGAGACTGTGGAGGGGAACATTCCGAGCAGTCCGCCGGTGTTTGACCAGTACATGCTGTTTGAGGAGGGCCGGATGGAGACTGATGAGGGACACAGTACCACTCGGCGAGTCTCTGAGGATGATGCTGGCGACTTCAGCCAGGTCGAGATGCCAGGGATGTGGCGGTGATGTTTGGGGCAATTGGGAACTTCAGGAGACACTCGCGCTGAATTAAAATCGAACGACTCAATATGCGCTCTGTATCTATACTATCGAATGCCTGTTTTGCAAACCCAACAAGAACGAACCAAGAGAAGTGAAGTCCAACAACCTCGACGATCGTCAAACCCTGGACTGGAGCCTCAGGCATCAACAGCGCCACCAAATGTTGGCTTCTCTGCCAGCTCACCTCGCAACTCCTGCTCTTCCTCCATCTCACTCGCACACTTTCTTCATCGCCCCTTCATCTCTCACCTCTACACCTGCCATCGTCTGCATCGTAAGGCGTCCAAACGATAATCATCTGCTTGGCTCGGATAGTCACCGCCGGATGGCTCTCCACCTCGGGATCCTCCTCTTTACTCCAATGCTAATTCGGCATCACATGGGCGATCCATCGACCCATTGCGGTCACCTTACCTGAACAGACCTCATTGCAGCATCCATCGCACAACAGATTCAGGCACGGGCACAGACTTTATGCTTTCCCCTCATCGCGTTGCTGCGGAGAGCAGCAATGCAGGACCCATGATGTCAGTTTAGCTCGACCGGATGTCACCTTGCCTATGCTTGAGCTTGTTTTCTTCGACATGTTCTTATAGTAGCTTGGGTTTCTCGCACTTGAGAGGTAAGTCTTAGGCTTCCTGTATTTGTTGTTGCCCTTCTTAGCCAGCAAAGATGTTGGCGAAGAGTACCCTTCTGCCATTGCTAGCACCGCTCGCTGCGGCACAGCACGACTGGTCTCAATATGTCAACCCATTCATTGGAGGCGAGGGACCCATTCCAGGCCAGGCATTTGGAGGCGGTGATATCTTCGTTGGAGGTGCTCGTCCATTTGGAGTGGCCAAAGTCGGCATCGACACCTACGAGACCAATGTCTCAATCTCCACCATCAACGGAGGCTGGACACCACGAGGACTTGTCACAGGTGTTAGCATGATGCATGAATCTGGAACTGGAGGTCCAGCGAAATATGGCATTATCTCTCAGATGCCTCTTACTACCATCGACGCTCCAGTCAACCTCTTGGACAACAGGACATACTGGCAAGAACGAGTAGGCAACGACAGTGCGACTGTCGGTTACTACGGCGCAAAGCTCGAGAACGGTGTCTCTCTACAAGTTGGTGGAGCTCGTCATAGTGGTATCCTACAATACGACTTCCCTGCTGGAGACAAGTACATCTTGGTGGATGTTTCTCATTTTCTGCCAAACGAAGGAGGCTCCAACGAGGACCAATACTACGCTGGCGGAGCGATCGAAATCGAACCGAGAGGCAAGCAGTACACTGGATGGGGAGCCTATGGCGGTGGCTTCAGTGATAGCGCACCAGCAACAACCTACTTCTGCGGTGAATTCGAACAAGCGCCGGCAGAGGCCCATACGTTCCGTGGACGAAACACAGCTCCAGTTCAGAGGCAGCATAACCTCGCAAGCGATACGATTTCTCACCCAACCTTCCGCATCCGCAGCCGTGAAGATTCAGGTCCTCTTACTGATCGTGTGGGAGCCGTCTTTGTCTTCTCGAACTCGACCGCAAGGACGGTGAAGTCTCGTGTCGGTATCTCATTCATCTCCGTGGAGAAGGCCTGCGCCTACAAGAACCAAGAGATCAGATCGTGGAATCTCAATGATACAGTTTCTGCCGCGGTCAAGGAATGGAACCAGGACGTCTTTAGCAAGATTCAAGTGGCCACTGACTCGACTCAAAACCGCACCAACCTGGTGCTGCTGTACTCGTCTCTATACTTCATGCACCTTATGCCATCTGATCGCACTGGCGAGAACCCACTCTGGGACTCCAAGGACTCATGGGACGACTTCTACACCATGTGGGACATCTTCCGATGCACGGTGTCTTTTTACCATCTTTTCCAGCCAACGTACTACCAAAGCATGATCCGGGCGCTGATCGAGATTTGGAAGTACGAAGGCTACATGCCGGATGGTCGAAGTGGGAACTTCAACGGGATTGTACAGGGCGGCAGTAATGCTGACAATGTTCTGGCTGATGCGTACGTCAAAGGCCTAACTGGTATCAATTGGACAGAAGGCTACCAGGCGATGGTGAAGGATGCTGAAGTCACACCATTCAACACTTTCAATCTGGTAGACCCAAGCAACGGCATCCAGCAAGGACGCGGAGCTCTCTACGACTGGATTCCACTAGGCTATGTCTCTGCCGACAAGAGCACCCGAGCTATCTCACGCACGATTGAGTACTCTGCCAACGACTTCTCCCTCGTCCAAGTTGCCAAGGGAGAGGCACCACAAGATGTCCAGAAGTACCTGAACCGCTCCGCCAACTGGCAAAACATCTGGGCTCACAATTTCACACACAAGGGCTTCACTGGCTTCCCGGTTCCTAGACTCTCGACGGGAGAGCTCAACGTCACTGACTACAACCCTGCTCTTTGTGGCGGCTGCGAGTGGCAGGACATCTCGTATGAAGCAACGCCTTTCGAGTATTCGTTTACCATACCGCATGACATGCAGACCTTGATTGAGTTCATGGGCGGCAATGCCGAATTTGAGCGGAGACTGGACTACATCTTCCAGCCCAACACTTCGGAGCAGAGCCTGGGAGCCAATGGCGCTGGAATCAACACGATCATGAACATTGGAAACGAGCCAGGTAAGGACATGATCATCCAGAAATACATTCAGCACTAAGACTGACCTTGTCATAGACTTCGCAACCCCCTACGAATACCACTACCTCAACAAACAAGCCAAATCCGTCAACGCCTCCCGCTCCCTCGGCAACGCCTACTTCCACGATGCCACCTACGGCGTGCCAGGAAACTCCGACGCAGGCGCCCTAAACTCCTGGATGCTCTGGCAAATGCTCGGAATCTACCCTGTAGTCACCCAACCCGTCTACCTACTCAACTCACCCTGGTTCAGCGACATCAACATGACGATCAACGGCAACAACACCCTCCGTGTCACCGCGACGAATCTCGACAACGCGAATAGCTATTTTGTGCAGAGTGTGAGGATTAACGGCCAGGCGTGGAATAAGAACTGGTTCGAGCATAACGATGTTATGAAGAACGGGGGCACGATTGAGTTCGAACTGGGCAGTGAGCCCACGTCCTGGGAGACGGGTGATGTCCCACCTAGTCCAGGGCATTTCGAGAAGCCTAGACCCTAGAGCTACGAAAGCAGATGGAGGAACCAGAGGAAAAGTAGATACGATATAATGAAAGCTACGCTCATGATTGGTAATGTTCGCCAGACACGGAAGGTGTTTCTGTTTCTGAGATGGAGAGGCATTGAGCCAAGACGGCCTGCCGCACAAGAGTACGCAAGCTCTTCGTGGTGGTGTTGAGAGGCATTGGTGGTGTATGCAGGTACACGAGGCGCTTCCGGCCAGGCAGCGAGATATCGCTGAAGGATTCGGACGGCACCTCGAGGTAGTTCAATGCCTCGTCCATCGGTCGTTGGGCTTGTTGCCAATGTCTCTGTTTTCAATCGTTGTCTCCCGCGATTTCCTGGTCAACTGAGAAATCGCGGTTGTTAGTCTGCTTGTGATGTTGGAAAGTCACCCACTTGAAGGATCCAGTTCAGCCTGAGGCACCTTCCACGCCCCTGCTTCCAACAATGGCCGCCAATCCCGAAGAAATCACCTTGATCGTTGTCTTCTCGCCTGCCGTAGGCAAAGCAGACAGAGTAGGATGAATCCCCCATTCGCCCTACAAGACTATCAAGCTGACTCCTGAAATTTGTATCCAGCTCCGCACCCTAACCGAAGCCTACGCCGCCCAAGTCCACGCCCACGAACCCAGCACGATCCAATTCCAACTACACATCGAAGAGTCCGATTTCGGGTTCGGGCAGAGGTGGTGTGTTGTGGAGAGGTGAGTACTGCCCTTCCCACCAAATCCCCCTCATCCTCCTGCCGTCTGCGAGCCGACGTTGACACTTAAGGGTAGATACCCCGACCCGATTTCCATGCACCTCCATCGCAGCACGCCTCGCTATCATGGCTTCGCGAAGACGATCAAGGAGGAGAGGCTTGTGAGTGAGCGGCCGGTGGTTTTTGCGGGGAAGGCTGTGGCCGGGTTTAATTGGATTCATTGACTCGGGATGGAGGAGGCGGTTGCTTTAGGATCGCTTTTTCTTGATTGAACGAGAGGGATCGAGGCGATTGATGAGTATCCTGAGGCTTGAAGGACGAGAAGACCGTTGCAGGAGTAAAGAGAATAGCTGTAGCCTTGCGGTCTGAGTCGTCAGTATTGATCATACACCTCGCTTAGGAAGTATCGGACGAATTTCTTGTGGATGTTTGTCACGGGGATGTCGGGTGACATTGCTCTCGTTGAGTTTGGGATTTCCTGCGACGTGTCGTCCATTGCTCTGCGCTTGGAGGGCGCTGGTGTACACTCTTCCTCTCTAGACTTTCGTTTTGTCGCTCTTGTATGAGTCGGACACGATTTCTCGCTTTCCAGCTGTTGCGAGCTTTCGTCGGAGTCCTTGTGGCTTTCGAGCTTCATTCGTAGGTCCGCAATCTCTCGTTCGTTCTTCTGTATAGTTTTGGCGAGATCCGCTTTTTCCTTCCGATGAACTTTCTGCAGCCTCTCCATCTCATCCTTCTCATCGATTTGAAGCTGCTGTTCACTGAGCCGCGCTGAAAGATCAGGCTTGTGAACTCGCGTAGCCCAGCGCAGCATGTTGCTGATGATGGCGTGGAATTCCAAAACGGCCCATGTAGAAGTCAGCTCTGTCGCCTTGATGCACACCATGACCTATTGTGTGTTAGTCCTATGTCGCGTAAAGACCTTTAACATTCTACCATACATGAGCTGTCTGGCCCCGTGGGACACGAATCGAGTATGTAATCCATATACGTACTGACGGTCCGATACAGGTAAAGGCGAAAACCGCCGGCACATGGTGGTTCTTCGGATGCCGGTTGCCGATATGATACACCCTCTCGAGAATGGTCAATGCCCTCGAGGATCCATTGGCGGCCTGGCAATAGCAGAATTGTCGTTGCGTACCGTCGACGGAACCATGCTTCATCTCAACGACGGCGAAAGGGAAGCACGTCCGGTTCTTGGTGGGTACCTTCCGTGATAGATGGAGCAGGTTTCCAACAGGAGAACATACAAACTTCACATCTAGAGACCTCTTTTTTAACCTCTCTAAGGAGAAGTTTAGCGACAGCTCACTCAATTCCAGTCCTTTGGCGGGCCTCTTGCTGAAGTCGAAAAGTGGAAAGCCGAAGTATAGATCGGGCTTTGGTTGTTGTAGGTCCGGCGTCCATGTGCTGTTCTCTGACGGCTTTGTTGGAGCCTTCCACTGAACGTTGCTGCACCTACTACATGTCAGCATTTGAATGTAGCAACTGTTCAATGCCTAGGCATTGACTGACATTTCGTCAGTGTCAAATAGGCTGTCCCTCTCAGATCTGTGTCACGTAAGCCACAGTTCGAAACAGCATGCGAAGTCATACTTCTCAAACGGCGAGAGTTGTCGTTCATGGTAACGCCCGAAGAGATCCCTCTCCAAGAACGACTGCCAATCACACTCGGAGGCTCGGTCTTTTCGAAGTTGCACGGCTTTCCGAGCTGTAGTGCGAGCTTCTTGAAAGAGCTTCTGGTATCTTTCTTTGATACGGTGTTTCTCGTTCCGTGAGAGGGCTGCGTATTCCGCATCATCATAAAACGCTCGTTTTGGGATGTCGTCTAACTCGTCTTTTTTGAGGTCCTCTACGGAGTAGGTAGGGAGGAACGTCCTAATGTCGAGGAGCATGTGCTTGTGGTGTAGGACGTGGGGAGGATACTGCCACTGGACCATAGGTTCAATGACATCTTGCAAGGGATTGGAAGTCATAAAATCTGCAGCTCGCCGATACACGTCGTTATGACTCCGCCGGAGACGGAAACTTTCGCTGAGCTTGTCGATGTCGTTGGTGTAAAATATGCCATTTTCTTCAAGCGCTAGGCGGTCGAGCCTTGCTTTCTCCCTGGCCTCAGTCATTATTCTGCTCATAAGCTTGCAAGTCCAAGTTGAAGACCGAGATCAGGTTCAAGTCACCACAGGAAAAAAAAAATAGAGGGCGATACGGAGCGGGCGGCAATTTTTGAGCGTCTACCTGTTCTTAGACGCGTGAGCAAAGCCTTCAGCAAAACTTGAGCGCGATACGAAACAACTGTGCCGCAGTTGAAACTATCCGTCGGCCTCGCCAGCCCATCCGTGGCCAATGGCCATGCAGACACTTTTCATTCAGGTGCGGCGCTTAGGCTGATGTCCAGACTCGAACAGACGTATGGTCCTCAATTTAGAAATAGTTGCCGCCTTCTGCCGCTGTGGAGGTGCTTTCTACAGCCGCGATTGATTCGAGTGCGCCCATTGATAGAGGCTGTTCAGGTCCAAGAGTGGATTTGGATGAGGGTTCGCCTCGCCCTGTTCCAGCTTCGCTCCAGGCCTCCATTTCCACTTCCTCTCAATCTCAGGGCTGAGCTTTCCTTCGAGCATTTGGGCGATATATTTCCCAATCACTGGCAAGAACTTGAAGCCGTGTGCTGATCCACCCACAGCCAGCTTGAGGCCAGCATGCTCCGGGTGGCTACCAATGAGGAAGTTGTAGTCTGCCATATCCGCATCCCAGCAGATTCGTGTCTCGAACCATTTGCGGTCTGCGAGTACTGGCGCTAACTCCCGAAGCCAGTTGCGGAGGTGATCTTCGATAGGCTTGGGAATGTCGTCTTGCGGGTTATCTGAGCGGTAGCGTGGGAGAGACAAGGTGGGATGTGTTGGTGCGTAGTTGGTGACGAAGTTGACAGCGCCGATCTTGATGATGCCGTCTTCCTGTGGTGGGAAGAGGATGCCTGGGCTGGTCAGTGTTGGGCTGGGACTGTAACTTTGGTGGCCTCACCTCCTTCGAGATGGTCGACGATGGGCATTGCGGCATACTTCTCGACTTCATCAGGCCTGAGCTGAATATGCCCAACAGTGTGCCCCTTTGCAGCTAACTGGCCCTTCATATCCAGTATGCTTGCTGCTGCAGCTCCAGCAGCCAGAATGATCTCGTCTGCGAAATGGGACGTGCCATTCGCACTCTTGGCTCCAACGCACTTGGCGGCATCTTCAAACAGCAGTCGCACAACATGCCCATCGGCGCCAGTGATATATCGCACGCCAGCTTTCTCAGCAGCATCAGCCATGCGCCTCAGTGCCTCTCGAGCATTTGCCCATCCCGCCGAGGAGTTCCAGTACGTTTTCCAGCCTGGCATTGTGCCATCGTAAGCCGGCCACCTGTCGTTGACCTCCTGAGAAGTCACCGGCTGGGCTTCCTCAGAGCCATGCTCACCAGCCGTCTTGATCGAACCCTCAATGAACGGGAGGCTCTTGTCTCCAGCCGCAATAAGCCAGCCGCATCTATGGTATAGTCCCGCAAATAGACCATTAGGATCCTGCCACTCGTTGATGCTCTCAGTGGCCAGGTTAGCGTACAGAGGCTCGGGATAGTCTGCTCGAATCACTTTGTTGATGTCGTTTCCAGCTGCTTCTTTTGACGGCGACGCCCATCTGTCAAGAACTTTGACATTAGTGTAGCCTTGTTTTGACAGATGGTAAGCGGTGCTCGTCCCGAATGTTCCTCCGCCGACGATCAAGATAGATCTCTGCTTTGAAGACATCGTTTTATTGTCACTCTTCGCCGTCGAATACCGTAGCGATAGCAATTTGGGGATATATCTGTGACTTCGTGAACGTGGCTGCAGTATTTTCCATTCCAAGAGGGCAATCCTATTCCAGCTCGCAACTGAAGCTGGTGGTTGCCGTCCTCGGCGAAAGGTAGCCAGGCTTGTTGGCCGCGTCAGGTCTGCCTATCTCTTCCCCAGTGCTTGCAGAATCGAGCAAGATCGTCTATCTGCAGGGTTGTTATTCGCCGCGGGCTGCTATCAACTGTCTCAGAACTGTACAGTCGCAGGTAGAAGTCAGCATTTCATCTCAAGAGTTGCTGAACTGTTCTTGGTCATTTTCTTCTTCGACAGATTAGTACACAATGGCGGACGACATGAAGAAAGCAGCTGAAAGTCCAGTTGTGGAGCCGATTCAGGACGGGCGGTGCGTTGATATTGCCATCGGCTCTGTTGAAGATGCAGATGGCGAATACAAACGCAGCTTTACCTCACGCCACATCCATGTAGGCAAGCATCATCGCGAACTGCAACACAGGGCTGATTTTGATAGATCATCTCACTCGGCGGCCAGATAGGAGCTGGTCTGTTCATTTCCACTGGCAAGAACCTCCGCGATGGTGGCCCAGCGACGCTTTTCCTGGCATTTGCAACGGTCTGCACATGTGTCTGGGCCGTCTTGAACACGGTGTCGGAGATGACCATTGCCTTTCCAGTATCTGGCAACTACATCGACTACGCGGATAGATTCGTAGACCCAGCTCTGGCATTCGCGGGCGGTTTCAGCATGTGGCTCGGCTGGACGGCCATCGTTGCGAGCGAAGCAACATTCTTCTCGGTTCTCATCAACTACTGGGCAGAAGATCGTGTAAACGCCGCGGTTTGGTACACCATTTTCTTGCTGGTGATGCTGGTCATCTTCGTTCTGCCGAGCAAAGTCTTTGCTTGGTTTGAATACGGCACTTCGATAATGAAGATCCTCGCCTTGTTCATCTTCATCGTTGCTGGTCTCGCGATGGTACTGGGAGCTGGTCCAGACGGATACGTCCACCATGGCGAGACTTGGCACAATGGCCTAGCTTTCCGTAACGGGTTCAAAGGGTATAGCAACTCCGTCCTGTTGGCCATCCTGGCGATCGGCGACAACACATTTACCGGCTTCCTGGCTGGAGAGGCGAAAACACCGCGATTTTCGATAGCACATGCCGTGATCTTGATCCCAATCCGAGTCACGGTGCTTTATCTGGTGTCGATCGTCTTCATCGGCCTTCTTGTGCCTGCCACAGATGAGCGTCTGCTGGGTGGTTCCGGTATTGCAGCATCGCCCTTCGTCATTGCACTCGACGAAGCTGGCATTCCAGGTCTTCCAGAGCTCCTAAACGTGGTCATCATGTTTGCCGTCGCAGCAATCGGCGCCGAATCCGTCTTCGTTGCTTCGCGGATCCTGAGAGCCATGGCTCACCAACGATTGATACCGGCTTGGGTGGCCAAGGTCGACAGGCGAGGAAGACCAAGAGTGGCACTTCTCCTTACGTATGCAAGTGCGGTGGCCTTGACATACTGCAATCTCAGCGCAGGTGGTATCGAGGTGTTCAACTGGCTTGCGCAGATAGCTACCACCGGCTACTTCGGCGTTTGGGTCGTGATTGGCATTACAAGCTTTCGGTTTCGAGCTGCTTTGAAAGCGCAAGATGATCCTTTGTTCAAACAAGAGTACGCCTGGAGCTGCAAGTGGTGGCCGATTCCTCCAGCCTGGCTACTGACATGCTGCGCTCTGTACACGGGGTGCTCTTTCTACTTGGCACTCTATCCTATTGGCTCTGATACCCCATCTGCGTACTCGTTCTTCAAGTACATGATAGGACTGGTCCTCATCACAGGCTGCGGCATCGCCTATAAATTGATATTCCGCACTCGGTTGCGGGATCCAAGCAAAGTCGACCTGCAGGCCGGACGGCGGTATCTGAGCGCGGAGGAGATCGAGATGCTGGATGAGTATTATGGCATGCCGAAGTGGCGGAGGGTGATGACTTTCTTGCAGCTGTGGTAGTCCGTACGTCGTCGAGACAATCCTGCCGAGTCAGACGACCCGAGGCTATCAAAATGTAGGCTTGCACCGCGCGTTGTTCTTAGCTTGGTCGCTGGGGGAAATAAGCTCCGTGTACTGCACTGGAAGTAATTTTCTGATGAGCCGAAAGTAGAAAGCGAGGTGTACTGCGAAACCGAGGAGGAGGTAGAGAAAAAGGTGGCTGGGATCTTGGCAGGCCCCCCTTTCCTTCCGCCGCTGACGACACCTCTTCACGTTGACTTTGCCTTGGAACAACAATTATCAACGCTTCATTTGAACAACATCAATGGTATTGTCATAAAAAGGAGCATCAAGGTAATGGCGCTGGAGTTTGTCGACAATTCGAAGAGACTTGAAAGACGCATATCTCGTCCCTCGTAGGATTCAGTACTATGGAGACTGATTTGTGCTACAGTCCAGTCCAGCTCAAACCATCAAGTCGCTCTCGAGTTCGCGAGACGATCTACAAGGTGCAAGGTACCACACCCAAGCAACTTAGACGAGCATCCCAATCATCACGTTCAAGCATCGGTGACCCCGCAGCTCTTAGCTCGGTGTTCTGCAAAAGACCGCGCAGTTAAGTAGCTACTCTTTGAGAGCATGTTTATGAGGGCTGCAAGAAAGGCCGTTCTTCTTCGACGAAATAACTGCTCCCGTACTTCGTCAACATCCAATTCTGACCATTAGATCTTGCTCCTTCACCGACACTCAACTCTCACAAACCATGGCACCCAATACACAGTTCAACAAGAACGTAGCAATCTCACACGATGCAACTTTCGACCCTGAAAACTTGAAGGGCAAAAGTGTGATCGTCACTGGAGGAGCAAGCGGGATTGGCGAGGCTGCTATGCGTAGCTTTGTGAAGGCTGGCGCTTTTGTGACATTTGGTGGGCATTTGACGTGAACCGTATGCCGATCAGCTAACGACTTGTGATAGGTGACCTGGTCTCAGATAGAGGCGAAGCCCTTGTCTCAGAACTCGGGCAGGAGAACGTGGCCTTCGTGCCATGCAACGTTTTGACCTGGAACCACCAGCTGAGCTTGTTTAAGACCGCTCTAGACAAGTCACCATCGAAGACCATCGATGTTGTCTTTGCAAACGCTGGGCTCAACAAACATGACGAGTAAGTCGAGGTCAGCATACTTTCACGCAACAGGGTCCGCTTACACTACTTGTTTGTGCCCCAGCATTGTCCAACACGAAGCTGTGACACACGATGGGGACCCTGTAGAGCCGGACTTTACAGTTCTCAAGACAAACTTGCTCGGTGTGGCGTACACGACGAAGCTGGCGAATTTCTACTTCACCAAGCAATCAAAAGGTGATGCACGAGACAGCTGTCTGATCATTACTGCAAGCATGTCTGGCTACATCGATCATCCGGGCTCTCCCCAATACAATGCTTCGAAATGGGCAATAAGAGGATTGATGAGAAGTCTACGCCACACTGGTCCATCTGTGGGCATGCGTGTCAATGTCATCGCGCCATGGTTCATCCACACTCGCATACTCTCTGATGAAACTGCTCGCCTCCTCAAAGACGCTGGCTTTGACTTTGCTGACATTGACGATGCTGCCGCGGCTGTTCTTCACTTTGCTTCGGACAAAGAGATCAATGGTGAGGAAAAACCCGCAATAAGGATGAGAACTCTACCTAAGATATGGCAGGTCGAACATTTTGCGTTGCCCCCAAAGCAGTCTCTAAGCGCGGATACTACGACCTTGAGAAAGACGATTGGAACCCGGATGACAGCATAACTTTTTGGCAAGAGCTAGCATTCAATCTAGGTGCTAAAGTGCGAAGGCCAGATCGAAGTGGCTGAGGATCTGGAACACAATCTGCCCACGGCTGTTCTTTGTTCTTGCATTACTGCCCTGAACATTCACTCAGATTCAAGACCAATTCGGCAAACTTTCCTGTGCCGGTGGGTGTCATCTCTCTATTGTCTTGCGTCCATTGATGATGTTGTCTTGCAATAATAGGCCCACTCTAAGAGTCTCATTCACTCACGATTCTGCTAATGACTGCTATTGTCGAGACGAAACAATGAAGATGGCCGTAGAAAAGTCAGCTCCGATCAAATGCGGACGTTCGGTCTTTGTTCAAGCACTCTTTCTATACCTTTACAGACTGTGCTAGCAACTTAGAACTTGTTCCATTCACGCGTGCAACATGGCCAAGGAAACTACTCGTCCGATGATGAAGGGCGGCAGGATCGTGAGGGAGCCGGTCGCAGCGGAGACTACAGCCAGCGCCAATCGCAAGACTGCTGCGTCTGGCGCCGGTGCCACGAACACAACTGCCCTTGCCTCAGGAAGCATTACTGTCACTGGCGGACGTTCCACTACGCGCCAGAGCAATCGAATTCGAGGCAGTGGTCCCGCAGCTATCGAAGGACTCGACAAGGAGAGCAGGCTCGGCAGAGAATTGAGCTCCCAGCTTATTCAGAACCCCGGAGCAACCAGGAAAAGAAGAGAGAGGGAGGCCAAACAGAATGGATTGAGTGGTAAAGGTAACGCCAAGTACGTTCAAGTCCCTTTGTATTATGATATTGAAAAGTTCGTCCCGCTGACCGACCATAGGTGGATGGGTGCATGGGAGCCTGAGGTCCCAGATGACTATGATGACGAAGAGAGTGATGAAGAGGCCGAACGACAGTCCAATGACACACCGGCAGATGCAGGCGGGAAGAAAGGTGCAACAGGACGGAAAAAGAGGAAAGCTCCCACAAGAACGGACGCGACCGAGTCATCGAGACCAAGCAAGAAACCTCGGAAGACTGGACCTTCTCGGAGAAACCAGAACAGTGGCGAGACTCCACCAGACGATGGCGGCGGCGGAGGTGATGATGATCCCGATGATAAAGCGCAGCGTCCTTCAAGAGGGCCTCCTCGCAACCCCGACGAGAAGTTCCTGCGCGACTGTATTGAAGAGTTGCAGAACCTGAACCCCAACAACGGCACTCGCAGACAAGCTCACATCCGGAACGTCCTTCCCATTCTTAGACAAGTGAGGCAGCCTATCGACGATCGCATACAACACTTTGCCAACATTCTCCCCGAAGAGGACCCCGGCAGACCTGACTGCTACATTCTCGATGCCGCGGAAGCGAAGCGTCTTCTGGAGAGCAACGTGGATGTCGAAGCGCCAGTCTTGGTGCCTAACGGCGCTAGGGAAGGTCTCTTCACAGGCAGCATGGCGCGGCCCATCGAGCAGGTCCTGCGCACCTGGTATCTCGATGCAAACGAGTCAACAACCCTCGTCGACAGCCTCGAACTAGAAGGCAACGGCAGAGAGCGAGAGATGGTCACAATTGCGCTTGTGCGGCAGCGCTTCCTGGAAAGAGAAGCTGAGAGACTTCACCCTTGGAACTTGCCCGACATGCCGAACCCAAGACCTCAGCATTGCGTACCTCACTTCATGCAGTCTCTCAACTGCAACTTTCTGCAAGATGTCTTGCGGCGAGCACTCGATGACACGGCCGAGATCTGTCCAGAGGTCTGTCCTGCTGCGTTACCAAATCGTCTGGGGTGCTCCAATGAGACGCACAAGCTCACGCACAGGGAGTTTCACAAGTTGAAGGAGAACAGCGGCTTCTGGCAGGGCACGGTGATGCTAGCGGAGCCTGGCGCTATTACCACTAGTCACTTTGACACATGGTCAATGGGCACCTGGATCTCGTGCCACGAAGGGCAAATTGGGCTTATCTGGAGAAGTCACCCCACAGACGACGAGATGAGGAATCAACTTGTGAACGACGAAGACGCTGGATATCACCTCGAAGGCACATCGATCTACAAAGTCCTTCGGCCGGGAGATGCTGTTTACATGCCCTCGGGAACCATTCACACGGTTTTCCGTAAGCCCAGCGGAAAGCAGACGCTGGGATTGGCAGGGCATATCGTCCGCAGGTCAGCTGCGGCGTCCTGGCTGAAGTTCCTCAACATGGATGCCGAGGACACTGCGGATGATTGGCTAGAATTCAAAAATGATGATTACGAGTTCGTGGTACCTCCCCTAGCGAGAGCGGTTAGAGCTGTTTTAGATCCGGAGCAACAACGAGATCAGAGAGAATTGTTTGGTGGACGCGGCCCATGGACGCGAGCGAATAACCGCTCGGAGACTTTGTTGCGGACAGCAGAGAGACTGCAGACAGTTGCGTTTGACAATCCGTCGAATAGTCCGGCAAACAGTCCGCGGGGCTCGAGGGGGCCAACATCTCATGCGGAGGGACGACCAGAACAGCAGCAGGAAACACAGACAGGAGATCAGCCAGATGCAGAAGAAGAGCCAAACACAGACGTGGAGCCGGGGCCAAATGCAGAGGGTGGGCCAGAAGAAGAGGAAGAAGAGGCTGACCAGGACTCCATCGAAAAGCCGCCAAAGCGCCGTAGGACAAGAAAAGCGACCGAATCCGAGACAGTCGCCTCATCATCGGCGCCAGCGGCATCCAAGAGGCAGACCAGAAAAGGCAAAAAGGATTACATTGGAAGCTTTTGATTTGTAGTACAGAGCGTTAGCCGTAGCTTTTGCAAGTACCACCTTGATGAACACAGCCTTGCCAAACTCTCACCAAACAGCTTTTTATGAAAGTCACTTCCACGCCGTGCTAAACTCGTCGAAATTGCCACGCCGTCCATTTGGGGTTGGGATACCCGTTCGATCACTGCTGCAGGGGTTCGAATTGTTTCTTCGTGAGTGTGCCGATGATGTGCGGCAGGGTATCGTAAGGCCCTTCGCCATCTCCCGGACGCAGATTCACCTCTTCCCACTCCCCTGCTTGGAGAAGCCACTCATCAGAGGGCCTTGTCACGTTGCAGCCATTGAAGAAATGCGGCCAGACGTAGTCGATGATCTCTGCAAGCACACTTTAGCCAAGCACAAAGTGCACCTAGATAGCCACTTACTCTGCCAATAATCCACAAAATCACCCTGATACTTCGTCTTGACATGCTCATAGACCAACCACCGGCCACCCGGCTTCAACAACGGATACAATTCCTTAATGATCTTCTGTGGCGTCGGAATACTACAAAGACACTGCACCGTCACAATCGTATCAATCGTCCCAGGCTGCACACCCCCTTTGGTACTCAACTCCTCCGCGCCACACCCAATAACCTCATAAACCCCTCCCAACCCGGCCTTCTCGGCATTCTCCCTCAGCGCGCCATGCAGCGCAAAATTCGGCTCCACGCCATAGATCTTCGTGATATCCGGGTTTTTGGCCTTGGCGAACATGTACAGCCACTGCCCGGATCCAGGGCCAATGTCGAGGCAAACGCCGCGGGCGTTGTTTTGGAGCAAAGGCATGACTTTGGGTTCTGCGTTCTCGCGGGATTTGGGCCCGAAGAAGGCCCAGAAGCGGGCGAACCATTCGTCTTTGAAGGCTTCGAAGCTGAAGAAGGGGTTGAGGTTGAATGTGATGAGGAGGTTGATTATGGTTGGGATGGCGTAGAAGGCGGAGTAGCTTATGAGGAGGAGGGGGCGGAGGAGATTTAGCGGCCCGGTGGGGTGGGTAGATGGTGGTGTTGACATTATGGTTGTTGTATTGGGAGAGGGAGAGGTAAAGATACAATGTGGTCTGGCAGAAAGCGTGATAAATACTCATCTTGGCCGAGAGAGGGTCTACGGCAGAGTGGGTAAGCGGAGCTGCGGAGCCTGAGGGCGAGGCATTCACAGATAGCCCCGCTTTTCAACCGACGGACCATTCACATACCAGGTCGGACAAGAGGATCGGATTAGGAAGTTAGTCGTGATTCCAAGGGGCATTTTGCGACTTTCTGCTATGAGAACCCAAAAGCCATGCGGTTGTGTTCTGACTTTGCCCTATGTTCTTAGAATGCAATTGCTTGAGTCAGCCTGCTTGGGAGGAGCGAGTAGAAGCGGTTTGACTTCAAGTCGTAAGAACTTGCTACTCTGTGAACGGACGATTTGAGAGGAGTCCGACTGCAGCTGCTGGTGTTGATCTTGGTTCCGCTGTCTAGTCAATGTTGACCATGACACCGCCGAACTCGCGGACAAAATGGCTAAAGGCGTTTCCTTCGGCTGAAGGAACTACGGCTATGAAATGATGAGTTGCTGGCCGGCAGCTTGTGCATGCTTGAATATGGCCCTGGAAACACAGTGCAAGTATCTCGATTAATGCAATGGCGGTGATGATGTTGAAAAAAAGAGGCTGGGAGTTTAAAGGTGAAGTGGGTCCAAGAGCGGACTCGGCTCCGCGGCAGCCAAGATTTCGGCTTCAATTTTCAGACGAGACTCCAACTTCACCTCATCGTCGTCTGCAACTTCGATAAGGCGCCATGGCGATCCAGAAAAAGGTCAGTGACATATCTGATACTTCCAGGCGACTTCGTAACTGACCCTCACATAGCACGCCAAAGCGCGCTTGGACAAATACTACTACCTCGCCAAAGAGAAGGGCTACCGTGCTCGTGCCGCCTTCAAACTCATCCAGTTGAACAAAAAGTTTTCCTTCCTCCAGAACGCGAAATGTCTCATCGATCTTTGCGCCGCTCCCGGATCGTGGCTTCAAGTCGCCGCCGAGACGATGCCGCAGAAGTCGCTCATCGTCGGAGTCGATCTCGCCCCGATCAAGCCTATCCCCAAAGCGATCACCTTCCAGGGCGACATCACGACCGATAAATGTCGCGCGACGATCAGAGGACACCTCAAGACGTGGAAGGCAGACTGTGTGATACACGATGGTGCGCCAAACGTTGGTACTGCATGGGTGCAGGATGCGTTCTCACAGAATGAGCTGGTATTGTCGAGTTTGAAATTGGCGACCGAGTTCCTTGCGCCAAACGGAGTGTTCGTGACGAAGGTGTTCAGGAGCAAGGATAGTGCGAAGTTAGAGTGGATCTTCAAACAACTGTTCGCAAAGGTGGAACAGACCAAGCCGCCGTCAAGCAGAAATGTCTCAGCAGAGACGTTCTACGTTTGCAGAGGATACAAGGCGCCGAAGCATTTGGATCCAAGGTTCTTGGACCCGCAGCATGCCTTCGCAGAGGTGGAGGCTGCGGCAGTGAACAACGAGGCCAAGGTCTTCAACCCAGAGAAGAAGAAGAGGAAGAGAGAAGGTTATGAGGAGGGCGACTGGACACAGTTTCACGAGGCACCGGCGAGCGAGTTCATCCAGACGCAGGATCCGATCGCGATGCTTGGTAGTCTGAACAGACTGCATTTCAGGCAAGAAGTAAACGGCGATATTGCCCTTGCTGCGCTCGACAAGCTTCCGGAGACGACTGAAGAGGTACGGCAGAATTGCGAGGATCTCAAGGTGCTGGGAAGGAAAGAATTCAAAGTTCTGCTGCGTTGGAGATTGAAGGCAAGAGAACGATTTGGCTTCAGAGTGAAGAAGGAGGGCACTCACAAGAAGGCGGAGAAGACTGAGGATGAAGAAGGCGCTCAAGGAGAAGAGGTTGCCGTGGTGGAGTCCATGGATGACGAGATGCGTATGCAAGAGGAGATTCGAGCGATGAAGGATATGCAAAATAAGGTGAAGAGGAAGGAGAGGCGGAAGGAGAACGAAAAGAAACAGAAGGAGATTGTTCGAATGCAGATGGGCATGACCACACCTTCGGAAATCGGTATCGATGCTGGCGGACCGGACGACACCTTCCATCTGAGAGACGTTGATAAAGACGACTCTATACGACGACAGATCGTACACGGCCGCATGCACACACAGGTAGCGCCAGAAAAGCCGCAGGAAGAAGCCGTTGATAGCGAGGAAGATGAGGATGAAGATGGAGATGATCTTGAAAGAGAGCTGGACAATATGTACGAAATGTACAACGATCGTCGTGAGGACCGAGATGCGAAAGCCAAGGCCAAACGCGCTCGTCTACAAGCCAAGGACAATGAAGATGAGGAGTTCGAAGACTTTGACAAGCGCGAAGGCGAAGCGGATACAGACATCAGCAGCGACGAGGATCTCCTCGAGGACGATGACGATGATGTGGACAGTGATGCAGGGGCTGGAGAAGGGTTCACGACTGATCTTCTACCAAAGACTAAGAAGGGAGAGCTCAGCAATCGAGCGGCGACTTTCTTCCAGCAAGACATCTTTGCCGGAATAGATGGTCTAGACGAGGAAGAAGAGAAGATTCAAGCGGAGAAAGAGCGGGATAGTGGCATCGATGTAGACTCCCCCGAGCTCAAAGCTGAAGAAGCCGCTGATGATGATGGCGAGTATGAGTCTATTGAAGAAGATGAGGAGGAGGCTGATTCTGGGCCCGAGGAAGTCGAAGCTGAAGAGGAGGATTCTGACTGGGAAGAAGGCACCCAGAAGAAAGACTCGAGGGACGGAGAAGGCCGTCCCAATATCGACATCATCACCGCCGAAGCCATGACTCTGGCGCATCAACTGGCCACTGGGAAAATCACCAAGCACCAACTCGATGACGAAAACTTCAACAAGTTCTCACATCGCGACGTGGACGGCCTGCCCGAATGGTTTCTCGACGACGAGGGCAAACACTCTCGTGCCCAACGCCGCATCTCCAAAGAAGCCGCTGCAGCCATCAAGGAGAAGCTCCGCGCCCTCAACGCCCGCCCCATCAAGAAGGTCCGCGAAGCCAAAGCCCGCAAGACGATGCGCGCCGCCCGTCGTCTCGAGAAGCTGAAGAAGAAGTCCGAGGGCTTGATGGAGGATGGCGAAAGCACCGATCGCGACAAGGCGCAGACTATCCAGAAAATGATGGCCAAGGCTGCCAAGGGGTCGAAGAAGAAGAAGCAGCCGGTCAAGGTTGTCAAGGCTGGTGGCCAGAATAAAGGTAGTGGGAGGCCGAGAGGTGTTAAGGGTAAGTATAAGATGGTGGATCCGAGGATGAAGAAGGACGTGAGAGGTTTGAAGAGGGCGGAGAAGAGGAATAAGGGGAAAAAATAGAGAGAGTATTGGGAGAGGTAGGATAGATGGAAAGATATGGTTCCTTGATTCCTCAGTGCACGAGGTATTGTTACATCGACTTACATCCGACGCCTCAACCTTGCTACCTCTTTTACACCATCAAACCTTCTCCTCATGCACCACCTCCCCAACCTTGCCATTCCCACTCCCCACACTCATCGACCTCATCGCCGTCTCCCCCGCATCAGGAACCCCCGCCTCATCCCCATCGAAAATATTCGCAATCTGCTCCAGCGTATGCCCCCTCGTCTCCGGATACCAGAAATACGCGGTAATCCCATATGCGATAATAATGCCGATGAACACGATGTAGTACTTCCACCCAATGTCCTCCATGGCGATGGGGTTGACGAAGATGTTGAAGACGATGGAGAAGACCACGCTGACGCCCATGACGGTTACGCCCCGGGAGCGCAGGCGGTAGGGCCAGATTTCGCAGGGGTAGGCTGTTACGAGGGGGGTTCTGGGAGGGGTGGTTCGTTAGTTGGGTTTAGGTTTGGGGTGTGTGGGACTTACAGGGAGATGTCGTAGCCGGCGAAGAAGATGAAGATGAATGGGATGACTGCTAAGCCGGTGCCTCTATCCGTGGTCTTTTCGAAGGTTCCTGATAGGGCGGTGGTGATCACGTAGCCGACGAGCATTATAACTGCGGAAGAGAGGAAGAGGAATCGACGTCCGAGGACGTCCACGGATAGGGCTGCTGCTACGGCGAAGATGAGGTTCCAGACTTGCATGCACGCTGAGATGAGCGTTTGGTCGCGCGTGCTGGTGATGCCAACTGCGTCGAGGACCATGGGGAGGTAGTACGAGATCACGCCCTGGCCGGCCCACTGCGAGAAGAAGGCGATGGAGATGGAGATGAAGAGCCTGTGTCGATTGCCCTTGGTGCGTGTCATTTCCATGTAGCTGGCGCTGCTGGTGGCTTCTTGCTCCGCGCGCAGGGTCTCGGTGATCTCAAACATTTCGTAGTTGACGAGTTCTGGATTCTCGCGGCCGCAGATTCGCTCGAGGACTTGGCGGGCTTCTTCGGAGCGGTCGACGCTGATGAGCCAGCGGGGGCTTTCCGGGGTCAGCATGAAGCCTGGGAGGCTTACGAGTGGGAGGAGGATTTGCAGGATAGTGGGGATTCGCCAGCTCCAGTCGCTTTGGTAGTTTCTTGTGCCGAAGGTGACGAAGGCGCCGATTGTGCCGCCCACGTACCATCCACAGTTGTAGAGGGCGTTTGCGATGCCTCTGTGTGTCGGGTATGCTATTTCGTTGATCAATAGTGCGACGGTTCCAGAGAACCAGGCTGAGGCACAGCCTATGAAGAATCGCTGCAGGACGAAGTAGTAGTCGTGATCACCGGCGGTTAGGGCGACGCCGAGGACCAGGAAGAAGTAGCCGACGTACACACCAGGTTTGCGACCATACTTGTTGGAGATCCAGGCTGAGATGGGGTAGTTGACGCCGTTGCCGACCCAGTATATGGCGTTCATAAAGCCCAGCCAAGCACCAGTTGGGTGGTCCATGAACTCCTGCCATTGATCGAGAGCTTGGAGGCCGTTCATCAAGCTGGATAGACTTGTCAGTTCTGTTATATTTGAAGCCTAGGTGGGTAGTCCCTCACCTGCCGTCGTAGCCATTTGCGGAAGCTGAAGGATGTAAGCCAAGAAGTGTGAACTGATTCACTGTGGTTCTTACAGAACATGACCAAGGACAATATGGACAAATTCAAGACGATCAGGTGTCGCTTGGTATACCATGGCTTCGAATCCGTGGGCAGCACTGCCAGGAGGCCATCATCGAGCCCTTTCGGTTGCGCCTTCTTGATCCCCTTGATTCCCATGCTGAGCTCGTTGTCCAAACAATCGATGCAGTCTCCGAGACGTGGAAATGTATTTCTTTTGTGAAACGTTGTCCAGCAGCAGTAGCACAGAGCATATGCCTCGATCTTATGCAACAATCCCCAAGGTCAACGAAGGACCTGCGAACGGAGTACCGGCCCGTCAAAGCGTTCGCGTACAGACGTAGCCTGCAGTGCCATGTGTGGCCAAGACGAGCCCAATATATAATTTTCGCGCCATGTCCACTGATTCATGTCAAGTTGGGGGAAAATCGCGGGGGGGCTGGAGAATGGCCCTTCTTCGGCAATTGGGCGCCCAGACCACGGCTTGCGGCATTGTGTTTGAAGGGGCTAGCCGGGCTTCGCATTGCGTATAATGTTGCATAAAGGCATGGCTTGGATGAGACGATGGCACCGCCATGTTGATGGAGAGGGCAGACGGGGTGGAGTGGTGAAGGGTCGGCCTACTTGCCTGCTTTCGCCGGAAGACCTTTTTGGGAATGGCTGGAAGAGCCACGTGACAGGGTCTGGACATTGGCTTGGCGTGGATGCAGCCGTTGATCCACCTTCGTTCCAGACTTCTGCCTCTTCTGGCTATACCTTCAGTAGTCGCCACTTTCATGTCATGCTGCTCATGTGGAACATATGGAGGTATAGCACCCCATACAAGACTTTGCGCAAGTCTCAGACTTCGATATACAGGCGCCATTGTGATGTCCACAGTCCAGATCACGCTCTCGTGGAGACTGTCCTAGGACTCAGAAGGCAGCAAGACGACGAGACGACATGAGTTTGGGCCTCTTGTGGACGCATTACTGCGACACCGTATTTTTTCTTTTGTCGTTGAACTACGGCTTCAAAATGAAGCGGCCAAGGCCGGCTCCAGCAATGACCAAGGTGGGAAACGAAGGATTGACTTTCTCGATCAGCTGAACTTCCGCCTCACATCAATCACCACCTCCTCTGCCCTTCACGAAGCCCCAGATGTTCCCCATAATAACACCAGGTATGGATGCGTCGGACTCACAAGTAACAGCCAAACGCCTCAAAGAGATCTGCGTCAGCTACATCGAAGGCTTGAATGCCCGCGACTTCGATCCCAACTCACCTCGCTGGCAGGAGACTCTCGCCCCAAACTTCCGCCTCCTGGTCACGAGCGATGCTATGTTTGAACACCTCACCCCGAGCTTAGACGTCGCCAACGAGAACACCAAAGACCTAGACATCACAGCCATGTGCGAAGTCCTGCGGCAATCCGCCGAAGAGAACCCCGGATGGCGTTCTCGACTCATCGACGCGGCTGTGACGGTTTATCGCGACCAGAAGGCTGGGTTCGTCAAACAGCGGCCCAAGGCTGATGCGGAAGTTTGGTGCAGTTGTGAACATTCGGGGGTTCCGGAGGGAGTTGCGAGGAGTGCCATGTGGGTTGGATATTTTGCTGTCTTAGATGGGGAGTGGAGGCTTGTTGGGGCGAGACATGTCAGTGGGATGGGCTCGCCGGATTTCATTTGAAAGTTTTGAGGGGAATAATCAACAGACTGCATATTACATTTGGTCAGAGATGGGACTCTTCATACCGAACGCTTCGCAATCCCTCGAGGACGGACCGCGGGCTTCTTGCGTTCTACAAGCCAACATGACTCGATAGCCAGTCCAGTCCAGCGACGGCCTCTTTCCACTTACTGCCTTGATCGGTGGTACCGACGCTTGCAACGTGGTCGAACAGATGGCCCGCATCGTCAACCAGCCTAACTTCGCTCTTGACACCGGCATCTTTCAACACTTTCTCGGCCCTCTTCACAATCTCGACATCTCTCCCGGGCACAAAATCATCCACACCATGAATGATCATAGTCGGCGGCCACTTCGCATCCACACGAGCCATAGGATCGAGTGACACAAAGTCACCGTCCGGAGAAAGATGGCGCGTCCATTGCCCACGTTTGAACACACTCGCTTGCCAGAGAACCCTCACAGGGATTGCTTCGCCTTCTTTTCTTCCGAACACGAAAGGTGCCGCAGAGATCTGTTTGCCGGGAGGACTGATCGCAGCCCGTTGCTCTTCCGTGGGCGTGCAGTCAGGAATGCCATCAAAAGGAGGCACACTTGTCGGAAAATGTGCTGTGTTGTTGGGATCGGCGAAGAACAGTGCTGGACAAAAGGCTGTCACCGCCTTGACGACATCGATGTGCAGCGATCCTATGTGGAGAGCCAAAGTTCCTCCGGATGAATGACCCATCACGACAACTCGTTTGGGATCTATTTCCACGCCATGCTCGCTTTTCAAGGCCGCTGGAATGATCTCTGTCGCCCATGAGTACGAATCCTCTGCGTCCTGGTAGATTTGCTTTCCGGTCACTTGTGGCAGCAGTCGATACTCGGGAACCACGACTAGGAAGCCTCGATTTGCGAGGTATTCTTTTTGGACTTTGGGTGTGGTCTCTGCGTCTCCGGCCATGAAGCCACCAGCATGAAAGACCAGAGCTATACGAGTCTTGGTCAGCTGACAGTAGTTCAAGCTCGTCTTTCAACTCACCTATCGGCCTCAGGCTTGATCCTGAAGTTTTGCTGGACCAGTAGACGTTGGCGAACATGGGATTGCCGAAATCATCGTTCTTGTACGGAAGGCGGATCGATTCCATCTTGTTGATGTTAATGCGTGGTTTTGATAATTCAGTGATCTGAATCTTCACTGAGGTGTCCTTTTCTCAAACCTTACATGTGCGATTCCACACTCCTATTATCATCTACAGACCCTGGCTGAGTTCGGCACCGATTCGGACAGATGTTGTCGCGAGTGGCACTGCACTTCTTTATACGGATGATACGTCCGTAGCAGTGGCTTGAAGCCTTCGGATGTAAGACTCGGAGAATACGGCTCCTTCGTTCAAAGTGCTCACTTTGGAAGGTGTGCCATCCAGCAACGATGGGATGACTCAGACCAACGGATGGAGGGTTGAGTCGAGACAATCATACTCAAGACTACCCTCTGAAGACGATTTTCCTATATTCAGGTCTCATCCGAGAAGAGCAATTTTTCACCTTCCTCGGCCATGATTCTTTTGACGCTCTCCAGCTTTTCGACTTTACGAGCAACTCCACCGTACCTCGGATACTGTCCCATGTCAACGCCGATCATATGGCCCCATCGATAGAATGTATGCAGATACACATCGACGACAGTCAACTCTTCGCCAACCGCATGCTCGCCGTCCACCCTCTGATCGATCCGGTCGAAGCAGGACAAGACATTCTGAAATCCCTTCGCCTGAATACTTATATGTGCCCCCTCATCCGCAGAAAACCTCGCCGGCCTCCAATAAGCTCCAAACCCATTCCCATGCAACGATCCACTCAACCAATTCAACCACTCATCCACCTTGGCGTTCTGCATAGCCGTTGCTCCCAGCAGCTTCCTATCAGGTGCCAAGTTGGCGATGTATCTCAGAATAGCTGGATTCTCCGTTATGACCTCACCGTCCACTGAGAGCGCTGGCACGTATCCACTCGGATGCATGTCACGGACGTACTCGGCGTGCGTGAAGCTCTTGTCTGCTGCTTCGTATCCATGTGGTCCTGGCGCCATCTGAATGGAGGTGAAGGGAATGGCGAGCTCGGTGAGGAGGATGTGGGAGACCATGGAGCAGGAGCCGTTGCGGCGGTAGAGAGTGAGTTTTGGTGGCATTGTTGGAGCTCGAGGAAGTGAGAACCCGTTGATGAGAGGTTTGTCACCAGCTCAAGCCTGGTATTTGTGCGAGCCCCTAGCGATGCTTGCCAAGGCTGCGTAGCAAAGCAACCGTCCAGCAACGCCACAACCCTACTTATCTGTGTAAGCCAACATATCTTTAGGTCCGACTCATTGCTGGTTGAAGCACTCAATGGGCGCAAAGGTCATGACAACCGGCAGGAATTCCGCACAGTGCGGTTTGCGATTACTACAGCAGTCTTGAATTCTAATATAGCTGTGCAGCGCTGGTCTAGGGCACGCGGAATCTCGACGCAGCCCTACATGGGCTTGCAGGAGTCCATGGGCTGCCCTCTTCAGATGCACGACACATGGCTCCTTTCCGCGTTGTGACCTATCTCATGTGCTGTCTTCGCTAAAGTGTCGTGAATATTTGTGGGATCACTATCTTGTCCCGGCGCGTGCTGCAGGAAGCAAGGAGACTCCACGACTGCGATGCCTTGCCAAACTGCCACAGATAAGCAAATCACCAGATCAAACACGCGTCTCCGTCTGACACATATTCTCTCGCGAAAGCGAGCCAGGCTGCGTGGTTCTGGTTCACCTTAGTCTCTACTGTCCACCAAGCTTGTAGAAATCGCAAGACATTACGGGGATTGTCCGATCCCATAGCTGTGGCAACTTTCTTGATCGTCTGCCCTACCCATTGGCGTACTATAAGAGGCTTATGCAGGAGGCCATTGAGCTCTGCACCGGGGTACAGAAGAGTCTCCAGAGTGGTATATTTGACACTGGTCCGTTGCATCCATTTCGCGAGGAGGGCGTGATTGCTTTTCGGAAGATGGTGAAAGATGCTCTTCGCGAGCATCTTGAGCAGGAACGTCAGGCTGGCGGAGAGCTGTGGCCAGCAAGAGAGGGAGGAAGCTACAATATCAGTTCATCAGAGTTGCAGTTGTAAAAATCCCGCCAGCAACTTGGCTGTAGGAGGTGCCGAACCACAATCTTATACAGATCTATTTCAATGATATAGGAGTGAATTCACGCTGCAGCCATGCTCGCCTTCTTCTGCTCGTACGCCTCTTTCCAGACTCCTTCAGGATGTTCCACGAGCCATTTCGCTATGCCATCTTGGAATGAAGGGTGCTCTCTCCAATACAGATTCTCGCCGCTTGCCTCCACGATCTTGCCACGGTGTGTGTCCTCCTCAAGCAAGTATTGGTACGCTCGCATCATAGTCTCCATCGATGTGCTATTGCCCGATGCTCGAACTTTCTCAATCAGCCCCGGAGGACCAAGGCCTGTGTCTATGAAAGCTGGCAGGATGGCGTTGACGGCGATATTGTCTGATATCAGAAACGTGGGGCCAAGGCTTCTCACCAGCCCAACTAATGCGTACTTTGCCGCGCTATAGATTGGGTTCGTTGTGAATCGGTAGATGCCCATTTGTGGCGATGTGACGATGAACTTCTTTTGTGGAGTCTCATTCTCCGGTGCTGATTCGGCTTTCTGCTTGCGTGCATAGTGGACGAAAAGACGGAGTCCATAAAGTACGCCGTTGAAGTCGACATCGAGGGTCTTGAGATTTGGCTTGCTTGGTTCCGAAGTGGACACTGTCGAGTACATGTCGTCGCTATCGGATATCCCTGCATTCGCTGCGTGAACATCGATTCGACCGCTGTCGGCGAATACTTGCTTGAACAGAGCTGCTTGAGACTCCCATGACGACACATCGGTATGGATGAATGAGGGTGCGGGTAGCTGCCTGCCTGCTGAGTGCGGCGACTGATGAGGCTACGGTGGAGCCTTGTGGTGAGATATCGGCCATGTAAACCTTGTAGCCAGCTTGGTGGAGTCTCTTGGTCAATGCGAGTCCAATACCAGATGCAGCTCCAGTCGCGATTGCTGTGGGAATCTTCGTGAGCGCCATTTTGAGATGATTTGCACGCAGCCAGGATGTGATGTTCAAAAGCTCAAGCAGCCGTCATGCTTCATGTTGGCTCCTTTTGTGCGTTTGGCACAATGTCACTCCAAACGAAACATAGGTCACTTCCGACTCCGATTCAAACTACTTCGTCATGTCGGTGCAGAGCGTGAGCCCGAGAGCCGCATAGATGATCTAGGTTCGGCTGAACTCAGTCGTTGAGCCGAACTCAAATTCCTTGAGGCAAGGCTGTGAGCCTGTTGGTGATATAAAGCCAACAATCCTGTCAGCTTCCTTCTCGGTAAACAATCCTTTGTAAAGATGTCGCCATTTCAGTCAAGAGACTTATCGAGTGCAGCACTGTTCAGTGTCCGCGGGAAGGTGGCTGTCATCACTGGCGGAGGAACAGGCATTGGGGCGTCGATGGCGCTTACTCTTGATGCAAGTCATTTGCTGCGATTCAAAACTTTCACTAACGGGTCTCCAGGCCAATGGAGCCAAGTCGGTGTACATTTTGGGTCGACGTCTTGAAGTCCTGGAAGAGACTGCGCAGAAAGCAAAGAACGGCAGCATTCGACCCGTGGTAGCCGATGTCGGCTCCAAGGAATCTCTGATCCAGGCGAGAGAGCACATCACTCAACAAGAGGGCTTGGTGGATGTACTAATAGCCAATTCTGGAGTGACTGGTCCTAACGGCGGCTTCGACAAGCTTTATGCAGACGGACAGCAACCTTCGCTCGCCGAGCTTCAGCAGTGCGTTGGGGCGATCGACATGGCTGAGTTCACGTCGACATTCCATGTCAATGTCACAGGCGCATTTTTCTCAGCTATCGCTTTCCTCCCCCTACTGGAAGCAGCGAACCAAACGCGGCCCCCTTTTGCACCTCGGGCTCAAATCATTGTCACCTCGTCCATCTCTGCGTTTAATCGCGCTCCATATCTCGGATTTGCGTACGTAACATCCAAAAGCTGCCAGTATTCACATGGCAAAAGAACTGGCTACTACACTTGCACCATATAAGATCCGCTGCAATGTGATCGCGCCTGGCTTCTTCGTCTCGGAGATGACAGAAGGTCGATGGGGCAACGGTAAGGATCCTACAATTGAAGGAAATGTGTCTGGGACGGATGTTCCCTTGGAGCGGACCGGAAAGGAAGACGACATCGCAGGCATGGTACTGTTTCTTTGCAGTGCAGCAGGGGCATACGTGGATGGATGTGTTCACTTGTTGGATGGCGGGAGAGTTGCCGTGGGAAACTCAACGTATTAGTAAAATCCACCAAAGATGAGAGAAGACTTGATTGGCTAAGAAACACTGCAAAGGGAACGTTTTCGACAATGGGATTTGGGCAATTTTGTGTACACTGGTCTATAAGGAGCGTAATATGGATCTAAAATCCAGCATGTACAATCACTACGATAAAGACACTGCCACACATGAACAAACTCCTACCCGCGCGTCGCTCGTCCCAAAACATCCACTTCACGAACAGCCCGAGCTTACTTGTCGTTGGACTGGATCTGTGTACCACACTCCACCGTTGTCACCCAAGTTGGCTTTCCGTCCTTCTCGACATTCAGTGGTGCAGCACTGGTAACATCGCCCAAGGACGCGCCCCACTGACCAGAGACCTCGCAGATGACGTTTGGCACCGAGGACGAGACAAACGAGATGGTGGAAAGGACCTGGTTGATCGAGATGGGGCTTCCAGTGAGAGGAATCTCCTGCTGTCTTGTGGTATCGTCAGGGGTATTTGAGAATGCGAGCCGAACTGTGGCACCAGGGGCAGCGGACACAGAACCCACAGAGCCCGTCGAAGTAGCAGCTGAGGCGGTCGAAGTGCAGTCCGCGGTCTTGGTGAGGGTGATCAGCGTAGTAGCAACAGGGGTTGAGGTCACGACAGAGCCAGTCGTGGTAGCAGAAGCGACAGAGACACTTGAGGATCCTGAGCCAGAAAGTACACCACATTCGACAGCAGTGACGAGAACTGGCGCGCCATGGTTTGAGATGTCGGCGTCAGAGTTGGCAGTTGCCAGTCCTACGACCTTGCCACCCACGGTAGCGGAGCATCCGATCTTGCTGATATCTGTAGCACCGTTGGCAACGACGAGAGATAACGTAGTGAGGTTGACCGGGGTTGCTCGTGAAAGGCTTGTTGTCCAACGGCACAGTGACTTGTAATGTGAAGTCAGAATCGGAAGCTGATGCGCCTGCAGCGGTGTTCTCATCCTTCAATGCGAGGATAACGCTGTCGCCTGAGGTACCGGCAGTGATCGACTGGGAGCTCGAAGACGATGAGGTAGTGGAGGTAGAAGACGACAGGGAGGCCGAGGTTGACAGAGAGTTTGACAGGGTGGTCGAGGTTGATGTCAGGTTCGACGTCGATGTAGAGTTGGAACAGGCGGCAGGAACTGGGTCGTTAGGAGTAAAGGTACCGCCCTGGATAGTCTTGCCTGGGACGTTTGCAGGGGCCTTGGCCGCGAGCTGGGCGAAGGTGCATTGAGTCTTGCTTGGATCAGCAGGTGGGTTGATTACAGCCACCATTCCAGCTTCTGTTGGTCCAAGCAACATTAGTAAACATGACTGACATGTGACAGAGCAGCATCTGAGTGTACTTACGGCAGTGCTTGGCTTGGGCACAGTACAGCCAGTGGGGCTTGGTGTCTTTGATCTCGACGGTGAACGATCCAGACTGGATGATCAGTTGTCAGTATGCGTGTACAAATCCGGTCTTATTCCCTACTTACGCCACCAACGTGAAAGCCTGCGAAGATGCCATCGTGGAGGGGAACGCAAGGGTTGTTGAAAGACGATTCGACGACAGTATGGTTCTTCTGGAGGAAATTGAACGAGACGAGGTCGCCAGGCTGAGCGAAGATTGCGTTTGGGTTGTAGACAAGATCGGCACCTCCAACGTGAATGACATGGACGCGTTGGGCTGCGATGACTGCTGGCAGGAGAGCGACGGTGCTGGCGATAGTTGTGTAGCCCATTTTGTAAGCGATGGTATTCACTAGCAAAAATTGCAGATAGGACCAAGGAAATACAAAGGAAAAACAGAAGGAAATTCGTAAAAGGGTTGTTTGGAGTCTTGTTGTTGTTGCGAGGCGATGTGTTGATGATGTTTCTCAGATGTCTTGGTGGCCTCACTCTTTATACAATTGTTCCCTACCGCTAGAACACAGCTGTCCCCCGAGTCGAGAACCTATCTGCCTCTGCCCGTTGTTGGCTTACGCTCACCGTTTGAAGCTCAGCCATCCTGTCTGTCCCGTCCACCAAAACGCCTCCCAGCCGCAAAGTTCAAAGCAGCAAGTTTGTCCGGATTTTCACTAAACGGGACCCAAATCTCCGACTTAGGGTATTGCGCCCGCAGAAATGCGACTATATATATAGTTTGCGCTAGGACAGTGGTTTGAAAGCACATTAAATAGAAATGTGGCTACACTAGAGGACTTTAGCACCAAGCCTTTGGCCGTCGACAAGCTCATGCTTCTCGATGAAGCTTGAGTCTTGGAGCACGTGGCAGCTGGAAGCGTTGTTGTTTCAGGTAATCTAGACGTGGCTGGTGCACACTGGTGCATCTTGTCTCTTCGGAAGGATGCGAACAGAGATGCAGTGCAAGCGTGGTCGGACAACAGTGTCACGCGTCCGTCGTCAGGCTCTGTGCACGGTGTTAGCGGTCAAGACCAATTGATGATCATGAAGTGATGCCATAAGCTCATCTATTTCAGCTCCATGGTATTGTTATGCCTTTATCAGCAGACTGCTTCGCCAACTCAATGACGCGGATAACATTGCGGGACTCTTCTGGCTTGACCGCGACATCTCTTTCACCTCGAATCGCGCGAGCGACGTCCTCGTAATAGTCATAGTACGACCCAGGTAGACTTTCAAATGTCCTGTCAAAGCTAGTCGACGCGTTTTCGGGCACTGACTTGCTCATGACTCTCGTCGACAAGAATCCATGAAAGTCGCGAGGCTCTACACCAAATGTCGCAGTTCCGGGACGCAGGCCACCCATGAGATGCTCAATCTGCTAGTCACCTCCCATCTGCTCAGAAGTCAACATACTGCGGTAAGACGCCGTAAACCTGCACTGCGAGGATGCGTACCTTCATGAACGTTCCCTTCGTTCCGCGAACGTGGAATCTCAATTGCTTATTCGCTGGGCCGCAGCTGACAACGGTTGTCTTGAGGGTACAGACAAGGTCCTTCTTCTCACCAGCGTACTGCAAGGTGACAGTGAACGCATCGTCGACCTTGCAGTCTTTTCTCAAAGAGCGAGTCCAAGCCGTGACCGAAGCAGGTAGTCCGAATAGCTGCAGTGCTTGGTCTATAGTATGACCACCCAATACATATAGCATTCCGTCGCCTGGCACTGGCTTGTCCCAAATCAGCGCTCTTAAGTCGTCCATATCATAGCGGCTTTCGAATTCGGTGATCTCCCCGAGTGTCCCGTTTTCCACCAGGTTTCTCACTGTTCGGAAATCAGAGTCCTACCGCCGGTTCTGGTACACCGTCAAGATTTTCCCGGCTAGCTTCGACAAGGCAATGAGATCGTCTGCTTCTTTGCTGGACATAGTAAACGGCTTCTCGACAACAACTAGAAGCGAGTCAGCTAATCTATTCTTCTCAGATGATCAGCAACTGCGTACCGTGTTTTCCAGCCCGGAGAGCACGCTCCGTCAACTCAGCATGCATGTCGACATTGGTGCAGATAACAACTAGCTCGATCTTGTCGTCGGCGAAGAAAGCCTCTGATGTCCTATAATGCTTGGAGTCCGGGAAATCGATGGTGCAATGCACGCTCTGAGCGACGCCCGATCCCTTGGGGGCCTCTCTCCGTTGCAAGAAAGCATGAATGTCTAGTTCTGGATTTGGCGCGATGAAAGGCAAGTGGTATGTGACCGCCGAGCCTCCATATCCAATAATTCCAACCTTGATGGGCTCCATGTAGTGGTTTTACTCAGGGGTTGAATAGGTACAAGACCAGAGCTTGTATGTAAAGTTGGGGTGGATCTGAGTGTTATATCGCCTTCTCATCGAGGGACAGCAGGCTGTCCATCTCAAAGATCCTACAAGATACCATTCAACATACGAAATACGAATGAGGGCAATCAGGATTGCACATCACTTGTCCGCCGTCTGGTCTCGGCATGTTGTTCGGCTGTGGTCGGCGTACATGGGAGAATACTTCCAGAATTCTCTTGCGTTTCGGTCTGTGGCCTATCAGACTATGAAGGATGACCGGAAAATCGCGTCCTTGCCTTCCACTTTCGAGGCTGCAGCTCTTCGGGGCCCAGAGACCATCGGCGAGCCCTAAGACCCGCTTAATCACTGCACCCTTAGCAAGCTGAACCAAACTTCTGCCAAGCGATGACGAGGTCGTCGGCCTACGGTCGTAATGAAAATCATTCTTCCTAGTGGACAGTGACTAATATGTCCTAGCCGCTACTCAAAGGAACATCTGTGTCCCATTCTCTTGCGCGAGCTCAAGGACGACTTGGGACATCATTCTTCACATTCTTTGTAAAACCATCAACTGGGGCTCTTCGTAACGAAAACAGGGTTCTAAAGCGGACTTGCAAAATGCTTGGAACACGGGATCGCAGTCAAGCAGCCAAGGATCGGACCGGTAATGCATGTGATTGATGCAAGGCCAGAAAGACCCGATGCGTCGGCTGGCCATCGGTTCCTTGCCAATACTACCGGGCGAAAAGGCTGCCTTGCAACTACACTCGAACGGCAAGACAGAGGAAGTACAGCATCAGCTTACCCGACACGTTAACGTCCCGGTCTCCAGGGTGGCAAGGCCTGAATGACGACAATAGCGAATTATCCGGTGCGGCAGTCACCGTGGCCCGACAATTGGCGTCGACGCCATTGACCGCGGACCAGTCGTGCCCTGACGAGTCGACATGGCTAGCTCTGGGCAACTTAGAAGGTCCATTTCTGGCTGCCGATTCTCATAAAGCGAGCACGTTGCTGAATCCGATTGATACAAGTAGTACGAATTGTCCTCGCCAGATGACATCCCAGCTGCAAAAAGCATTAGGAGTACCGGAGCCTACACTACAAAAGCCTCAATGGGAAAGCGATGGGTGGTTCGAGATCGAACCTTTGGCCTTGCCCGAACCGCCACCTCGGAGGGCAGCAATTAGATTCTTCGAATCCTATGCAAGATTTATCGGAGGCCTGTTCCCCGTACTGTCTCGTGCAGAGTTCATCGACACCTTTGATCGCGTCACCGATGCTGCATTCCAAGCCAAGAGTCGAGAGGAACGTTTAAGTGCGTGTCAGACACTCATAAAAATCGCGCTTGGTATGTTGTATTCGGTCAATCAATGGACCAGTCATGCAGGGCCTCCTGGACAGGAATTCTTCAAGCAAGCCCTTCGATTCCTGCCGCAGCCCCATGAAGGTGGATCTGTCACATTTGTACGCTGCTTGTTGTTGGCCAGCTACTTCATGCAGATCTTGAATTGGAGGGATAGCGTTACATCACATCTTGGATTGATGGTTCGAATGGCTATCTCCTTGGGATTACACAAGGTTCACAACTCACTTCCGTACGAGGAGTGCTACGGAAAACACTCCCTTTGGCTGGTAGTATACACCATGGATAGGTGAGTAGTCATATGTTGATTTTCTTGCCGTGCACTGAGTATATACCGTAGAACATTGGCTACACGATCTGGCTACGTCGACGCAGTGTCCTACGAAGATGTGCATATGACACTACTTGAATCAAATGTGAATCTATGTACATGTGGCTTGTCAATTGCTAATCTGTCACAGCCGGAAGTGATTCCTATGAGTGCCACGCTTCACCAACATGCAACGTTGGCCAGGATTTTCGGCAATCGTAGTAAAGATATAACTGCAGTCGACAACTAGTATTACTTTTTGATCATAAATTGTAGATATCCGCGTATCCCATCGAATGCTGACGCAAAATCTGTACCAACATACGATGGAGGTCCTGGAGGAGCTTGAATGCTGGCTCAAAGGCAAACCGCAGCTTCGAGAGGCTGATTTGGAGACAAACACTTTGACGCCGGAAACAACAATGCTCATGCTCCAGTATCATGCCTGTGTTGTAATGGCTGTACGACCACCGACACTTCGCGCCCTTGAACAGAAGCTTAGAATCAGCTCTGAAGCAAATTCGTTGCGAATTGATTCACTGACGCAACCGATCAGCTACGCCGTCGGCGCAGCCTGTGCAACTGTGCGTACTTTGAGGCGCCACGCTGCGGCTCGTGGGCTAGGTACGTACTAAAAGTAAAGCCCCTTTGATCCTGTTTAATGCTGACATGTTGAACAGCTGTCTACGGCTTTTTGGACGGCGAACAGGCATTTTCAGCCTCTCAGCTTCTGATCATGACCAATGCGGCCGTACCCTCTTTGCAAATTTCTCAGAGCATCATCACGTACTCACTGAACGTTCTTGCCCATATTGCAGAAAGAGGGAACGATGACACTCGCCAGCAGATGGAATCATTGATCCGACTTTGAGATCGGCTGCGGCTAGAAGAAGTTTTCAACGACGACGCTAGCTCTCTAAACGTTGAAGACGGTAAGAATGGCTGCGGCGAGAAGGCAGTCGGGACGTCCATTTCCATTCCGTGCTTGCGATGGATATGAGCGAATTTGGCAGCGGTTTGGCGAAAAGCCTTCAACCTTGGATAGAAGAGTCGATGCAATGTGGGCTGCAAGGGAAGAAGGTACAGAGAGCCGGAGACGCAGCACACTGCCAGAACACATTCAGCGAAGAGCATCATGAAACTTCTCTGTCTATCATTAGCGGTCAACGAGTCGAATATTGTTGATGCATTTGTACACAAAGCAGACTCATGTGACGTCGAACTTGCCCACATTGCTTTCGGGAATATGATGCAATCCTCCGAAGGCTGATTGTGACAGAGACCCGAAGCTATCGGCTGGGCTTGGCGTCAGCCGACTTCTATCAGGCTGTGGGAATCCGCAAAGCGTCATCAGATCGCTTACAATGGCGACATGCAAGGTACCAGCAGCGTGTAGACTCAAATCTTTCAAAATGTCATCAGCAAGTTCCGACTTTCGAACATGGGTAAGAGAATTGCAGGAGGCGGGAGACATTCAGCCGATAGACACCTCTGTGGATCCACACCTCGAGCTTGCCTCCGTCACTCGAAGATGCTACGAGAATTATGAGCCCGCTCCACTCTTCAACAATATCGTCGGTCGGGAGGGCAATGGTCTCTTCCGTGTCCTGGGTGCGCCGGTCGGGATTGGACGTTCGGAAATTCGCTACGGTCGCATCGCGAAGAGTGTTGGACTTCCATCAAATGCTTCCGCTGAAAATATTGTCAATCATCTCGTAGAAGCGAGAGACAGACCACCAATTCCACCAATTCAGGTCGCCGGCGGTCCATGAAAGAGAACATATTGAAGGATGATGATGTCAACCTCGAGGCTCTTTCGGTGCCCCTGCACCACATGCAGGACGGCGGCAAGTACATACAGACTTTTGGAATGTTTGTCGTTCAAAGTCCGGACGGCAACTGGACGAATTGGTCTATCACTCGGGGAATGGTGTGCGGAAAGCGAAAGATTGTAGCCCCTATCATGCCAAAGCAGGACATTGAGACAATATTTCAGCTTTGGAAGGATATTAATCAAGACATGCCATTCGCTTTGGCATTTGGCGTGCCTCCAGCTGCGATCATGGTCAGTGGAATGCCCATTCCGAAATGGACAGACGAAAGTGAAAACATCGGCGCGGTCACTGGCAGGGGTGTCGAGGTCACCAAATGCGAGACATGTGACTTACTAGTGCCCACGTCGGCTGAGATTGTTATGGAGGGCACTGTATCCAGGTTCGAGACTGCGGCTGAAGGGCCCATGGGAGAATACCACGGAATGACGTTCCCAAGCCAAAGCCACCAACAGCCGGTTTTCAACGTGGACGCGATCACATATCGGGACAACCCAATTCTACCGCTCTGCATAGCGGGTCGAGCGCCAGAGGAGAATCACACCGTTTTTGGGTTGATGCAATCCGTTGAATTGCTCGCGACATGTTGAAAAGCCGGTCTTCCAATACGTATGGCGTGGTGTCCTTTCGAATCCCATGATTCGGCATTCGTCCTCCAAGTCGATCACACTCGACTTGTGAGGATGCGCACCTCTATGAAGGCCTTCTGTGAGCTAGTTGGTCATGCGGTATTTCAAGACCCGAAGATGGGCTGGTATATCCCGAAGCTGTACATCGTTGGCGAAGATGTTGACCCCTCAAAGCTAGAAGATTTGTTCTGGGCCGACTCAACTCGATGTGAGCCTGGAGCATCTGAGTTTCTCTTTCACGGACTTTCGACTATACCGATGGTCCCTTATATCGCGCAATGTGATCGCATTGGCAAAGGCGAGGCTGCCAAAGTCATTCGATGCTGCTTACTTCCTCAGAAGTTCACCGAAGAACATTTGCCCTGGGTGGCGGCCTCGTTCGAAGGGTCGTTCCCTGAAGAAGTCAAAGACCGCGTGAACAAGCGATGGAAAGAGTACGGGTTTCGGTAACGGTCGATCTTTACCCGCGATCGTTGGCGCAGTAGCCTTATCCGCGCTCGCGAACTTGAGCCTCACGTGTGTAAACATTTGGTTAAGAACGAAGAGTGTAAATGCTAAATTTGTCTTTCAGTGTCAGGACAGTTGAAGTATCGGAACCAAAAAGTCAACATGTCTCACCTTGTGCTCAGCCGCGGTGTGACCATGACTAGACTAATGGCTAGCTTTGTCCGATGCATGCCACGGGCTGACAGTCCATATCAAGCTGTTGACACGGGCCCAGCTTGGCTTCTATTACCTTAAACGGTAGCACAAGGTGCGGGAACTAACCAAGTAAAGATTGATGCACGCAAAGTCTTGCCATTTGCAATCAATGACCTATTTCAGAATTGCCCTTGACTGTCTCACGATATCGCCTGACCATGTAACAAAGAAGACGTTACCGTCGGCAAGGCCGTCGTACAACCATGTTGCATCGGTCCATTCTCTGACCAGCTGAAGGGCGCCTTACGCAGAATATATAAATTGGAACGAAGTACCATTATGATAGGCATACACAGAGAGAATCTCAAGCGGCATCATGTTCAGTAAAGCCATTACCACCTCTCGACTTGCAAGCTGTGCAACGTTTCTCCTTGCGTTGGGCGCGAAAGGAGCCTTTGGCGATACCGCCATCGACAATGATACATTCCAGAACGATCCAGCTGGTGCAGCCATTCAGGCGGCTCCATTGTGGTTCTTGCCCACCAGTACTTGCTTTCGATCCCCAGCAGAAGTGAACGGAGAACAGACCAACGGAAACGACCCTGACAACTGCAACATCAACAAGATCGATAACAACTGCCCTCAGCAGCCTGATTGGCAAGGAGCTTATACCAAGGCCAATTCATTCCCGACCTATTACTACGTCAAGTACTGTGGCGATCTGGATCAATGGCGTATTCTCTACGATGTATACTTCACAAAGGACACAGGCCATAAGAGCGATTGGGAATGGGCGGTGATAGTACGTTGGAAACGCTGTGCCAACATGTGCGAATCCCAGAGCTGCACGCTAATTGAGTGTTTCATATGTACGTGTTCAAGAACAATGGCAACGGCGGCTACAACCGTGACAGTGTAATTATGGAGCAAGAAGGCAATCACGGCTACTCTGCGTGGTCTTCAATTCCGGAAGCATTCATCGAGTAAGTCACGGCATCGTCCAACGCAAATATCTACGTCGTTCTCATCAAAACATTGTAGCAACATCTACAACAACGACGGCTCGAACGGAAACCATGCCAAGCTCTACGTTGCGAAGTGGCATCACTCGATCCAGACCAGTCCTAACAGCAGCTTCAAGAGTACATGTCCTCCAGGTTTCAAGGACGATTTCCGTGCAAACGACTATTATTGGGTTGCGTCAGACAATCTGGTGTCAGACGACGTGATTGACCCAAGCTGGGTTTGGGGCAAAGCAGACTCGTTCCCTGCTAGCTTCCACGACGGAGGAGCTCACGACATCTGTCGTAATCTCTAGTCACTTGTCGTATTCTTTATGTCCTATTTGTTCTTAAAGTTGGTAGCATGAGTTTGACTCGAAGAGATTGAAGGCAGATATTGAAATGAAAGAGTAGTTTGGGGCCCCAGAAAATCAATTAACAGCTGAAAGAGTGACATGTGGACTCTATCCGCCAACGACTGTCTTCCACCAACAGACTTGTAGTAATCGCCACTAGAAACAAAGACTAGCCTCTGACGTACTGAGTACCAGTGACCTGCCAAGCATCGTAGCTGCCATGTCCAAACCCTGGCAGATCGGAAAGGTACGTGCAGACATTGTTCTTGTCGCACACAACCTGTAGAGTCGAATTTTAGCTGCTTAGGCCACCAGATATGACTACAACAGGCGAAAGCTGACCAAGTTACCCTGGTTGCCGGCTTTGCGGATGCAATTGGTATTTGGCGTCTCTCGAATGTCGTGAGGTGCCACGCTTTCGCTGGTACACACGCCACCACAGTCATGGGTGTTCGAGTTGAATTCTGTTAATCATGAATCGTCAGCTGGCTCTGGTCAGTACAGAATCAGCCGTTGACGACGAACGATCGCAAGCTGTAAAGTCAACGGCTTGAACAGCGGCCAAAAGGCCAAAAGTGGCCAAAATCGTAGCAAACTGCTTCATGTTGATTTCGAGGATGGATAGACTTGGGTGTTTTAAGTCTTGATGGTTCGATCTTGCTGTGGAGTTGACTTCGTACCGAAGACTCTGGGGCTTTATATACACCCGGAGTCTTTCGCGACTGTCGAGCTCAGTCTGTCAGTCGGAGAATTTGACATCAGAAATGCCAAGACGTGACATGATTTTACTGAATTCCCAACATTTGACATGCCATAAGAGCAGCTCTATCATGAGGACACACTTGTTGATACAAGGGCTTATGCTGCATGAGACGATGTAAGGACGTGCTTGGGCAAGCTATGCATTCAAAACAACCTACCACTGCAACATCTTGAGCGATACGAGACGCAGTTGCATCGTGCTAAACTTTGACAAATGCATAAGATAATCCAAGCTAGTGCTCGTAACATCTTTGTTTAGGGTCGATGGATGAATTGCTTTCGAGTCTCAGGGCTAGTGTCGAGATCGCGGTTGCACTAATTGATGAGAAATCAAACGCAGCTTGTGTATGGGTCGAGAAATCTTCGTTGCTTGGTCTTACCATGACTTAAATGAGAGCTTCATTTCTCAACTCTTACATGCGCACAACACTATATCGGTATCTCCTGCTGCCAGTAGACACTCATTCATGTAATTTATCCGGAGATCTGCCGGCTAGCGCCAAATAGAAGCTCCAGCAGCTAAGTCAGGCTGAATCTTTGGATTTGCAGTCGAATCTAACGCCAAGCTTTCATCCAACTTGACTCTCCACCATCACTCGTATTCATGTCCCTTTATCAATTTATCACCATAATTATCCCATGCCCTAACGCCCGAAATTCTGTGCCCCGTCCGACGGTCCACGATCTTGGCGAAGGCAGGGTTTAACACGTCTCAACCCATAATTACATACGGAGCAATCTGGCGACTTGATGGATTCGCCAGCTCCGCTGAAGATTGATCAAATATTGATGCTACGTTCTGAGAATTGTGACTCGAAGATGCGCCTATCAATGTACTCTATTCTGCCATGTACGGGATACCAGTCAGCTTGAACGTTCGCTCATCCAAAGCAGGCTTGTTGACTGGCTCCAAACGATTGTGGGGATCATCCTCCTCGCCCCTTTTAGCAACATTTGAACCAACGTGGCGCGCATTTGGCCAATGTGTGGTGCCCACAAACCGCTCAAAAGCATCCTTCTTCCTCTCCAAATCCTCCTGTGTCGCATGCGCCACTGGCATATAGCACGTGTACGCTGCGAACCGAGGCTGCTGCGTCTTCGAGCTAAGATTGTAATGCGGTGTCCGCGAATCCCAGACAAGCAAGTCACCAGGGTCGGCGCAGACTTTCTCCCACTCGTATCCTTGTATCTCGAGCCACTTCATGCCGTTGTCAGTGAATCCGAACCATTCGTTCGTCCAGGCGGGGATTCTAGGCTCATCCTTAAAGACTCGGTGGTACTCCTCTGACACGAGATGGGCGCCTTTGCAGACGATGAGGCCGCCGTCATCGGGACCATTGGGGAGAAGGTTGACTAAACCTTGGAGGCAGCGGAAGCCGGGCTTCAAAGGGTCTTGGTCTTGATGTGGCCAAGGGACGTTCTTGGGGATGTCGGTGCGGCTTTGTTACAGATCAGCGAACACACTCAAAATAGGGACGTAATTATGCGTACTTCGGGAACCCAAAGTTGATTGCATCGAAGGAGACTATCAGATCTTTCGTGTCGTAGACCTTCTCGAAGGCCGCTACCACGCCAGGTTCGCCACGAATGGCCCATGCGAAGTCCTCATGAGTTACCGCATACTGGAGGCACATTCCTTTCTGATCGATCCAAGGCAAATTGTCTCTGTGCACAGTCGACAAGTCGTTTCGATTGAAGCCCAAATCGCTGTTACTGAGATCAGTGCTGCTTCCCGGAACTGCTGTCTATGCCACGTACAATCCCTCCAACCAACTGAACATGGCATCGGCGTACTTCCCTGCTCGCTCCTTTGGAACTGCGCCCTTGATCACGGCGTATCCATCTCGAACCAAGTCGTCCCTCCAGTCGCCGTACTTTGGGTCAGTTCCGTCGATTTTCAGACCTTCAGAAGTTGCAACTACCGTCAAAGGAGCCACAGTGTTGGTTGCAGTGACAGACATATCGGTTTGGACGAGCACTTCCCTTTTCTTGGTGTATCAGTCTGACTACATGGAGTAACAGACGAGAATAGAGCCAATAAATGACCCACTGTGGTGTGCTTGGCTTGGGGTCAGTCGGATTAGTCGAATGTCCACCAGTTCCGAGCCTTGGGTTGTGGCAGGGCTGCCACTTGCTCCGCTCCCACATTCGCCGAATCCTTCTTCGCCCACAACACCCGGCTCTTGCGCTCACGAAATGGTGTAGATGGAGACGATGTCTTCGTAACTATCCCCATGTCATGCCCCGCCTCCACTTCGATCCATGGTCTACAGCTTGTGGGCAATGGCGGAAGTCACATGTCAAGATGTACTGGGGGAGGTTCTAGCCGCACCACCGCACCTACGGAAGGACTTTTGTCTCTCATCTGGACAACTATGATCAACACAGCGTTGTCAAGAACGATCACGATTTCAGTCCTCCTCTCGGTTCTAGTCCTAACTCAGCCGATTCGAAATGGCCTCGTCAACTCAATTCCAGATCATCATTGTGGGAGGCGGTATCGCCGGGCTGTCGGCCGCCATAGCCTTGCGAGCACCAGGCCGCCAAATCACAATACTCGAGCAGTCGCGACTTCACTCTGAGATCGGTGCGACGATCTCGCTGCAACCCAATGCGTCCAAAATACTGCGAGACTCCTGGAAACTTGGCAAAGATGAGCAAAAGATTGCGAGAGGAATGGTCGATCGAGGATTCCGAGTTTATAATCCCGAAGCCGAACTGGTAAACCATATACCATTACTTGAAAAGCAGGAGTATGGTGCAGACAGAATCATGTACCACCGACAAGACCTTCATGAAAGCTTGAAGCAGGCAGCAACATCTACTAGACGACATGGACCACCAGCAGTGATCAGAACATCTTGTCGAGTGACAAAATGCGACTGCGAAGCTGGCGTTGTGACGCTAGCAAGCGGCGAAAAGTTGAAAGGGGATCTATTGGTGGGAGCGGACGGTATTCACAGCACAATCCGACAGTTCGTGCTAGATCAGCAAATCGTTCCCAGGCCGACTGGTCTATCTGCATATCGTCTCATGGTCCCTAGCGAGATTCTTGAAGAGCAAGCCCCGGATTTCTGCAAGAACATCTCTCCCCGAGAGCCTTTCACTTCGATGATAATGGCACACAGCTGTCGACTGATCATGGGACCTGCTCGTGAAGGCGACATCTACAGCATGGTGGGCCTTGTCCCGGACGAGAAGATGAACGAAGACCCTGACAGCAAGCAATCGTGGGTCTCTCGTGGACATTTGCACAAGATGCTGGAGACGTATCACGAGTTCCCAGAGTGGATCAAGATCGTATTTAAGCTGGCCCCTGAGATTGGACTCTGGCAGCTTCGCGATACTGATCCACTGGAAACCTGGACGAAGGGCAAAGTAATTGTTATCGGAGATGCCGCACATGCGATGTTGCCCACGCAAGGCCAAGGCGCTAGCCAAACCGTTGAAGATGCAGAGGCTCTAGGAGCTTTCTTTGAGGACATCGCCGACGTTCCAGATGCAGATCAGATTGCAAGCATTCTAGGACAGATCTTCCGTTGTCGTTTTGAGCGAGCCAGCTTGATTCAGAAGTACAGTCGAGATGTAGCCAAGCCAGCAACTGAGAAGGGCAGCAATGAAGTCAAGATGTAAGTTTGATACTACTGTCCCTGGTGCAAAGATAGCTGACAGTTCGGCAGGCGGACAGATGAGTTCATGGACTACAACTGCTTGTACTGTGGTGCCAAGGAATGGCAGAAGGGGCAGATAATGCAAGCAAGTGCTTGATGCACATGGTTGAGTTCCTCAGAGTCGTACGCACAACGTTAGAACATATTTATGCAGCTGAGGTACATTCACGAGAAGGAGTACCATATTGAATCGTTGATGTCCGGATTCTACACGACAACGTGGCCGCCACGAAGGACAGATTCTACGACGATTGTTCAGGATGGACACCTGGCGCAACTCATTTGGCGCCGACAACGCATCCAACATATGCACAGTCATCAATATAGGGGTTACTTACCGAACAACTTAACATCGCTCGTTCAGATCTGAGAAGTCTATACATGTTGGGAACATGAGGCAAAGGAGTCGCTAATGCCTATGTTCTTGATTTCGTTCGCTATATCAAATGGATGGTCGCATTCACGCGCTATCAAAATACAGAATGGAGCTCACTCCACAGATCGCACTTGTCTTGTTTTATCTTTGTTCAGTATGCTTCTACAGCCGCCAGCTGAAGCACTCTTTTCGTGATCTCTGGCTTCTCCCGCGGCTCATACCGGTTCAATGGATCTTCCACGCCGTTTCTGAGAGGGGGCCCTTGTTCATGAATATTGCTAGATGTCGTTAGTATGCGTGACCTCTTACAATCGTTCTTGTTCTACTTACCAGTGGGGCCAGTGAGTAGTGCCATGCCATCGCTTGAATAATGCAGCCTTGTGCTCGAGATCCTCCTTCTTCGCGAACTTTGCCGGCGTCATGCAAATGTACTGCACATGCCTGATACGGTCGCCCTGTGGGAAGCAAGCATAATGCATCGTCCGTGAGTCCCACAAAGCAAGGTCACCAGGCTCGAGGTTTGTCTTGATCATCTCACAGCCATGGTCTTTGAACCATTGCACATCAGACTCCTTGAAAATGAACAAGTCCTTGAAGTCATAGTCCTCCGGTGGTTTGTCCTCGTGGTCGTCTTGCTCTCTGCTCTCGCTGAAGAACTGGTCAAAGAGCTTGCTGCTCCCCTTCATAATGATCAAGCCTCCATCCTTGGGTCCATTGGGCTGGTAATTCAGCAGACCCTGCACGCACTGCATGCCCTTACGCTGCGGGCTCTGATCGCAATGTGGCCATGGGCTCCACTTGAGGTCCTTCTGTCGTGGCAGAGTGATATTCATGCCGTCAAAAGAACACAGCAACTCGTCAGTCTCCCAGAGCTGTGCGAACGTCTCCTGTACTTTGGGTTCCGTACGTGCCTCCCAGACGAACTTTTCATGAGTGCTGGCGTAAGCAAAGTACATGCCGCCCTTGAAGCTGACGGGAAGATGTTCTTGAGTCCAGGTACTCTCATCGCTGGGGTCGAAACCAAGATCGAAAGATTGAAGCCATTCGATTTGTTTGTTGCGATAGTATTGTGCTCGCTCTGGAGTGATGACGCCTTTCACAATGGCAAAGCCGTCACGATGGAAGTCATCACGCCAGTCTCCATATGTGGTACCGTCGTGCTGGATCAAGTCGACGCCAGAATCCGGGATTGGCTCAGTTGCGTGTGGGACCATCTCGACTTTTGACTGGAAGAGATTGAATAAGAAGGTGAGAGTGACTGGTATGCGGCAGGGAGTGTCGAGTCAGTGCGCTTTGGGACAGGATCTTTTTGTTCTTTTGAAACTGAGCTAAAATATTCGCGATCACTTCGAGATGCTGAATATCGCTTGGAGTGCCGCCCCACCGTTCCGAGTACGTGCGACCCACAAATTGAGGAGGCAAAGGTGTTCCGGGTTTAAGCTTTCGTGGGATTCATTCACTTACTTGGATCGGAATTTGTGGGCGCCAATCAGAAGCCAGCCTCGGGGCAGCTCGCGGCGCGTCTTCCCCAGACGCGAGAGTGCTTTCCTGCGGCAGTCATCCAGCGGCATTTTCAAAGATGTCTGGATGACTAGAATGCATTCACCTGAAAACGGCAAGAGGTCTCCTTGTCAGGAAGAAGATTCAGTCTTCCGCCTTCCTCACTTCTTCCCCCTCTGCCTGCTGTCCTTGCCCACTTGAAAGCCCTACCATCATTCGTGGACCAAGCAAGTTCTGCAACAACCGAAAGCACAGCTTTTTGAATCAATCATGCCAGTACCAGTACAAGTAGCATACAAGCCAATTGGCAAGCCCGAGATCGGTGTCAACAATTACCAAGGCTTTCATCCCGGCAAGACTGAAGTTCTGCGAAAGGGATGGAATGGATACAAGGCCAAGGCGCTTCAAAGCGACATTGTTGTTGAGCACGATGTCGAGATAGTCGTACGAGACGGTTGCCGACTCTATGTGGACATCTACAGGCCTGCAGACTCCGACGAAAACATCCCAGCAATCATTGGCTGGTCCTGCTATGGCAAGAAATACAGCGCCCTTTGCATGCTCCCCATGACTGTCTGGAACTGCTGTGTCAACGAGAAAGACTTATCTGGAATCGAGAAGTTCGAGGGAGTGGACCCACGGAAGTGGTGTCCGAGAGGGTATGCTGTTATCAGCGTGGACTCGCGAGGCACGGGCAACAGCGATGGGCAGATACCTATCATGGGGTCTCAAGATGCAGAGGATTCACACGATGTCATCGAAGCTCTGGCACGAATGCCGTGGTGTAACGGGAAAGTCGGCATGGCAGGTAACTCAGCACTGGCCATCATTCAATGGCACACTGCATCACTACAACCGCCACATCTAGCAGCCATTGCTCCTTGGGAAGGCTCAGGGGATCTATTTCGAGAACAATTCTGCCGCGGTGGTGTCTTCTCTATGAGCAACTTCGACCTTATCACAAGAGAAATCATTAAGGGAAACTCTGGGGTAGAAGACTTCGCGGAGATGTACCGGCGTAGCCCTGTGGCCAACGCTTACTGGAACGACAAGCGCCCAGACATGACGAAGATCAAATGTCCTACATTCATTTCTGGCTCGGACTTCAGCTCCATTCACACCATGGGTGCTGTGAGAGGGTACATGGAGATCAAACACGACAAGAAATGGATCAGGTGGAGCTCACACCAGGAATGGTATGAGCTATATTGCGATGATCACGCAGACCACGAGCTCCGCAAGTTCTTTGACCGCTTCTTGAAGGGCGTATCAAATGACTTCGAAGAGGCGATTCCAAAGGTGCGGTGGTCAGCTCTGCAGTTTGGCGACCGGGAAGCAATTGACAACATCGAGTACTCCGACTTCCCGATTCCAGGCACCAAGTATATGGAGTTCTGCCTCCACGACCATACTCTCAACACTTCAGCTGCGAAGGAGCCGACAATTGTGTCTTACAATTCTGAAAAGGCTAGCGACTTCGCCGAGTTTACTCTCAAATTCGACGAGAAGACCCGCCTCATCGGTCTTCCAAAGGCTGTCTTGTACATATCATGTGACGATCACAACGACATGAATGTATTCGTGCACTTAAGGAAGAAGGACAAAAGTGGCCAGCCGCTGCTGCATCTCTGCTTTCCCTTTCATGCTGCACCAGTCAACTCCATCGCTGAGATTCCAGAGAAGCAACGGCAGAGCACAAATCTTCATACTGGCTCAGTCGGTGTGCTTCGTGCATCTCATCGAGCATTCGATCCGCAACGCAGCATCCACCCTCAATTTCCCTTTCATCCACATGAGAAGGAAGAGAAGATCACACCTGGTGAGATTGTAAAGCTGGAGATCGGAATTTGGTCAATGGGTGTCGACTTCGATGCTGGAGAATCCATCAGTGTTCAGGTAAGCAATAAAATTTCGGGCTTGGACATTGATTTGCTTGTTGCTAACATGTGTATAGATTGGAGGTCAGTTTCCCAACATCGCGGAATACAAGGCCTGGTCAGAGCCTCGACCTGAGCATGAACGGAACAAGGGCGTGCATAAGATCCATATTGGGCCGGATCATCCGTCGAGCATCATTTTACCTTTTGTACCATTGTGAGATATACTTGGATTTAAATAGTTAGGACGACCATAACATGCTCTGTGAATCATATTATTTAATTCCGTACGACTTCACTCCTAGAGAGTACTGAGTCAACCAAGAGCAGCCGACATTCAGCAGATGATCAGGCGGGTGCAGTATTCTCCTTGTATGTGTAGACCAGAACGTCTTAAGTTGTAGTTGGTGAGGGATTGGAGAGGATTCTGGGCATTTGGTCAGTAGTACATTGAATAGGAGGCTCAAGTAGTGCCGCGACTACCTTTGTACAGTGTGCTCGGCGACCCAGAAAAGTCAGGTCGCCTCGGAATGAGTCGCTCTGCCAATGCAATGTGAAGTTGGAGATCTCAACGACTTTAGGAGCAAATACTACGACATAGCTAACTCGTATACACATGATTCCTTCTGCTAGACCAGTGACTCTCGTACAACATTGGCTCAACACACATTCCATCCGCTAAATAAGACATCTGGTCAAATATGCCCCATCCCGTAAGATCATCAGCACTTGTAGCGTTTGAATGTGCTTCTTGTAGATGTCAGTGCGACATCGACGGCCCAGAAGTCTCCTTCGTTACCCATCTCTCGGTGAACTTCCGAATCTGTTTACCATATACAAAAATGGGAATTCCGAGAAGTCCGAGTGCTGCAGTCAAGCCCCCATATGTTCCAAACGATCCATCGTATCCTGATGTCTCCACGAATTTGGCCACTCCATAGCTCGTACCGAAGCTGATGAAACCTCGCAGTGCTGTGATTACCACCAACACCGGTGCCGCTCGAGTCGGGTATGCGTCGAGCAGGTAAGTAATAGCAGCGATATTGGCACCAACGAAGGCGAAGTAGTATGCTGCGTATGACCAGACGATTGTAAACCAGTGATATTTGTCTGGATGCGAGCCTGCTTGTCCGTAGAGCACTGCTGCAATGACGCCGATGGTCACTGGAATCCAGAGCAGAAGAAGTCTGTTCTCTGGGTAGTGAACACCGCCATGCCGCTTCGCGCGCCACTTTATGACATAGTCTGAACCATTGCCCAGGAGAGGCAACGCAATCAGGGCAACGACGATTTGACCAGTGTTGACATACGACGCGGACTTGTCAGCCCAGTTGTACGGAGGTGCCGTGATGATGCCGGCATAAGTCGTGCCCAGGGCGATGTTCACGCCAATAGTAAGGCCGTTGAGCAAGAAAGCCCAAAGAACATTTGGGAAGAGAAGGATCTGGAATGTATGCTAGAAGTCGCGGTCAGTAAAGCTCTTGGAGTGTGGAAAGGCCAGAAAGGCTTACTATAAATGTGTACGCTCCCTCTTCCCAGTCCATCTCATTAACAAACATGCGCATGTCCGATTTGAGCGTTCGAGGTTGGTATCTTGCCAAATCCAGAGCTGGTCGCTCTGTGATCCGTACTGGCCGACTGACAGCAGCAGGATCGTCAGGGTCGGTGACCTGTCCGTATGCAGCCAGTGTGCGTTGATATTTTGACTCAGGTGCTAAGAATATCGATAGGACCAAGACCAAAGCGCTCAGCCCGCCACCAAGTATGTACCAGTTTCCAGGCCCAATTGATCCAGCGATAGGGGAAGCAAATAGGACGTATATCGCAGCAATGATCGTCTGGATTGCTGATTGCCACATCAGGAATGTACTCCGTTCGTGAAGGAAGTGGATCTCTTGAATCATCATTGGTACCAGAGCTTCACTCTGCCCGGCGGCCAAACCGAGCACCATCCGTACAGCCAAGTGGGCCTCGTAGGTCTTGACATAGGCTGCACCGATTGCAGACGCGACGAGCAGGGCGCAAGAGAACAGATATACGGGACGGCGGCCAATAGACATCGCGATTGGCATGAAGACGAGGTTTCCAACGCCCATGAACATGCTAGGATAGGTCATGAGCGCTGTAATGTCGCTGTAGGTAGCTCCACCTGCGAAGAAGATGTTAGCACACGCTCGAATATAGTGCCATCTTGGATGAAACCACGCACGAGCCGCGTACTCCGGGATGTAGAACTGGAGGAGGCCGCCAAAGCCTGAGACCAAGGCTAGCCCGAGGCTGGAGACTATCCCAATTGTCAGCAGTGTATTACGTTAAGCAAAAGGATCTCGTACATGTAGACAGCAGTAAGATGAATATAACCTTCCTCCATCTCGGCAAGTTCAGAGGGTCTTTGGACTATGGATCAGCTTTTTGCGGCCATCATTTCAGAGAAATAGAGAGGGCACCTCGAGGGTCAGCACTGGGTGAGGGGATGAGGAAGACCTCCTTGTCGTCTGTGACCTGAACAGCGCCGATAGCAGCATGTTTCTGGACCACCTTGATGTTTTCGTCATCACTGCTGGCGACTTCGTATTTATCCACGGTGGTATCGAATTTTTTGTCCATCGTCACAAGATGTGTTAATGAAGCAGGTTGTTCATCATCAAGAGATTGCTACCGATGCCCATCACAGGGGTATTATAGACATTGCTCGCCCACAAGGACGAGGCTGCCATGCGGCGGGGCATACTGGCCCAGACGTACCCCGGAATCCAATGCCACGAGGCCAGACTCTGGGTATGGGGTTCAAAGGCGTTCGGCTTTAGTGGGAAGTGAGGACGCAAGTACGAATGACATTTGCCGAGGGTATGATAGGTGTACGAAGCGTGCATGAAAGTGCGGAGGTGGCTTGCCCAGGCACCCACATCATCCGTTCAATGGATTCATATTACCCTGCAGCTTGCCCACTATCCGCGGCGGTGGAGAAAACTGCTCTCTGGTGTCACTTCAGCGATCAGGGCTCGATGGGTTCAAGTCCGAAACGTGCAAGGCTTTCGACAGTGGACAGCCCGTCACGGCCCCCACATGTCTGTCAGCTGTGTGACAAGGCCTACGAACGATTGGACCACCTCAACCGCCATTTGGACTCACGTGAGTGATTTCCTTTCTTAATCGTAGTAGAAAGCAGACGCGAACACAGGTGAGCCTTGTTGGAATCGTAGACTGACCGTTCGGTGTGACTAGATCGGAACGAACGCACCTTCAGGTGCTCGCAATGCCCGCAAGGCTTCAACAGAAGGGACTTGCTCCTCCGACATGAAGCGTCTCACGCCAAGAATGCTGCTAGTGCTCGCACTGGTCTCAATCGTGCGAGCGAGCGAGCTATCAAGGCTTGCGATGCATGTGTGATCTCGAAACTGAAATGCGACAATTCACGGCCTTGTCAGAGGTGCCGGAAGAGGAAGATAGTGTGCGAGACGAAGGCACTCGACAACGCCCCATCGAGTGGGATACCAACACCGAACTCAGATGCGCAGCCTCGAACAGCAGTATCCGAGATTCTGCCCGACTATACGTCTCCTGCAGCACGTAACGATGACAATAGACATTCATCAGCGAACTGGCACGAGAACTCGATTGGAGCTAACAGCCTGGCACAGCGGGATCTTGCTAAACCTTTTCCTATGCAAGAACCAGGTGGAGAGGGACAGTGGCAAATGGACTCATTTATTTCGACAACGCCATTTCCAACCTTCTTCGAGCAAATTATGGCACCGCAGTTTGAGGCTTCGTCATCGTTGTCGCTGCCTCCAGACATTTTCAACGCCATGCCTGAGCTCGATTGGTTCAGCGATACGACAGATATATTCGGACTAGACTTCACTCCTACAATCGACAATGCAATTGAACGCCAACTGAATGGTTCTTTTCCGGCTGAGGATTGCCAGAACATTGCAGCAGAGCATGACGGAACATGCGACAAGCATGTCAACGACTCTGCCAAGCAGAGACATGCTATATTCCAACGCTCTTTGTGGTTATGGAGGCCTGACGCAAATCAAAATGCATTTAGCGAGCACAACAATATACCGATGAACGAACGATCGATCGATATGGGTGCGTCACCACACCAGCCGTATTTGCCTTCGTTGCATATGGAAGATACGCTATCACAAGACTCACGAGATCGCATTCTACAATTGGTGGTCAAGACCGCCAAGTCGCATGTTTCAATCCCCAGCTTTCCTTCGACTGCCTGCTTAGATACTCTACTTAAAGTCGGCATTGCCAAGCGATTGGAAACAGATGCATGGATCCATCCGTATACGTTTGATTCAGAAAAGACAAGGCCGGAACTTTTGACAGCCCTCATAGCAGCAGGCTGTGTCTGCTTTGGCATTCCTCGGGTGTCGAAGACAGGACTTGTGCTGTTCGAGATTGTTCGAGTAGCACTCAATCAGCTGGCGGAAGAGGACAACAGCGTCATTCGAGATCTGCAGTATCTGCAAGCTTGCATGATATGGATCGATGTGACGGCCTTCTGTGGCTTTCAACGGAAGATGCAAATTGCAGAGTCCAGTCTCCAGCCTTTAGTGACAGCACTTCGGCGCACTGGAAAGTTTGACCATGTATCTTACACTAAAACTCGGCCGTGCGCTTCTGACCAAGGCGATGAGTTGGAAGATAAGTGGAGACGGTGGGTAGAGGATGAATCTTACAAGAGGTAAGTAGGTGATGATTGGAGTCAACAACACAAGGCTTACATTACATCAGGCTGGTTCACCACATTTTCGAACACGACATATATACTACCATCGCTAAAGAACGCCAACCCTTAATCTCATACGCTGAGTTATCAGTACCATTACCAGCAGCGCGGGACTTATGGCTGGCACCGTCTGCGGACATCTGGCAGCTTGTGTATGATACGAAACGATTTCCATCGCCTACGTCTGATACCATATCTCTGAGGGATCTTCTGGCCAATCCGGAGATGGTGCACTGCCTGTCCGATCTAGTCGATCTGCGTATAGTGCGTACAGCACATCTTTCTGGCCTGGCGGCACAATGTTGGGATTACTTCCAACAAGCGAAAGTAACGAGCAGCGTATTTACATCAAGCGAGGATCCATCGACTAAGCTTTGGATGCAGTCAAGACACCAAAAGCTGTAAGGAAGACTTCCGGTCAGCATCTCAGAGAGTTCGGCGCTGACTCATAGAATAGATACCAGTCACTGCAGTCTGCAAAACGAACCACACATACTGACGTGGCTGTGACGGAGCTGTTCGCAGAACTTCTAATGATGAGCTTGCATGTCAGCCTCGACGAAATCACCAGATTTGCTGGGAAGTGTGGTGAAGCAGAAGCACATCGAGCATATCAGACTCTTCAGCCATGGAGCCAGACAAAGCAGGCACGAATAGCTGTTTGGCACGCTGGACAGGTCATCCACTTCGCGCGAAACGTCCTTCCTTACCAACTAAGAGGCGCTGATGGCCTCATGGTGTATCATGCAGTCATGGTCCTTTGGGCATATGGGATGATGCAACGAGACGCCGCAAGACGGAAGGCAGATGGCAAAGAGCCGCGAGAGTCGACAACGAGCAGCGAACCCTCAACATTCCTGGACGATATGACCAATGACCGTACAAACGATTTTCTGCTCATGAACACTGGTAGACCGTGCCTTCGATTCTCCAATACTGAGTCTGGGACTGAATCACAGGCTTGCGATATACGAAACGCACAAGGTGTGATGGCTGTTGGGATAGCTGTCTTGGAAGGCAATCTTCCGAACGAGATCCGCGAGAATCTACCACAGCTTACACGCTCTCTGTGCGAGCTCATGAAGGCATTGGGAAGCTTGAAGTGAAGCCTCTGAGTAGGAAAAGCTTCTTGAAACTGACCTCATTTTGGTCAGATTTCGATGACTCGATGTATTTTAAAGCCTCCGATGCAAGGGATCACCTCAAAGCGCCAGAACGAGGCTGCCTCCCAAGGCTCAAAGCTTTAACAGCCTGGCGGCGTTCAGATGTGCAATCTTCTGAAGCCCAGCCTCATTCACCAAGCCGCTATCTGCAAGGTCTTTGAACCATTTCAACCCTACCTCATTCGTCGAATAGGGATAATCGATGCTGAACATAATTCTATCGATTGATGTGTTTCTGAGAATGGTTGCCAGTGGATCCAGACTCCACACACCACTCGTAGTAATCCAGATGTTTTCTCGCCACATCTCTTTGAAACTCCTCTTGAAGCCGCCGTATCGAGAACTGAACGCCTCAATTCGGTCCAGCATGAAAGGAAGCATTTCTCCGAAATGACCTAGCACCAGCTTCAAATTCGGAAAACGATCAAACACACCCGCGGCATGTAGCTGCAGGACGTGGGATCCAGTGTCCGTATGCCAACCCCAAGAGGAACCTGTAATGGCTTTCTGAGCTGGCTTTGATACTTCTTCGCTCGGAACGAGTGCTTGTATTTGGTGCTCTGCAAGCCAAGTTGGGTGCATATAGCAGGGCACATCGAGCTTCTCGAATGTCTCCCACATGGAGTTGTACTCTGGGCCTGTGTAATAAGTACCCTTCCAAGTCTGATGATCAATGAGGGCGCCTTTGAAACCCAACTCCTCAACGCAACGTCTCAACTCTTCACCGCAAAAGGCTGGTTCGGCAACGGGCAGCACGGCAAATCCGGCAATGCGATCAGAATGCGCACAAATAGCTTTGTAGAGATCGTCATTAGCTGAACGGCACTCGTTCAGAGTTCGTAGTCCCGGTGAGTGAGAGACCACTTGGACGTCGATCGAATGTCGGTTCATAGATGCAATACGGCCGGCGGACACATCTTGTAGATGCGCTGCCAAAGAAGGATCTCGTTGGAATAAGGACTTGTAGAGCCCCTGAAAGCGAGGCGAAGAAGCAAGAGTAGGCGATACCCAGTGTTCTTCCAGGGTGATGAGACGAGGCAGCTTTTGAGACATGTTGAGCTTTGGAATGTAAAGGAGAAGATGAATGCCTTCTTGTGCTCGAGAATCTATTTGCTTAGGAGTAATGAGAGTGTGGTGCATGTGCCAAGATTACCGGCCCAGGTACTTATATTTGTCCATGGATGCGGCGAACGCTATCACCAAAGAGCTAGTGGATGATGCAGCCTTGTCCTGCCCCGCACGAACCGCAGCTTCACTGTGATGCATTGCCAGTATCGCATGAAGCTACATGCCATCCATAGTGGCGAGCATCGAAAAATAGTACCAAAGTCAAGAAGAGCGTCTTGACGAAATTGGGTTCCCGCGAGTCGGACTTTCGAAAAATGCGAGACTACATATATACTGCGATGGAAGCTGCGGCTGGGTCGGGTAGAATGGTTCATGGACCAGGGTACCACAGTCGGGCGTGGGACCGATTCTGTACTTCCAATGCCAGGCGCTGAAGAGTTTCACAAGTTGTCAATGCGTTTGGTAATCAGCCGATAGCGGCACAGCCGCTATCGACTCCAGTGAGTTGCTCTTGAGGTCGCACAGGCGGCTCATCAATGATCCCATAAAGCACGTACTTGAGACCAACTGGAACGCTAAAATGAAGGCCAAGTTAGCAGATACAGCGAGTGTATTGTCCCACGTAGCCCCAAGTGTACTGTATCGGCAGAGACGCTTGTTAGCGGTGCTGGAAATACATGCTACACTGGCAACTGGAACTTCATGAGCACCTGAGCCAATATTCAACTTTTGGAGTAGTTGCTGTCTGCGGGCGAAGGTCCACAAGATGGGCGACTGGGGTAGTTAGAGCTATGAAGGCTGGAAGAGGGTGGATATATGTTACTGGCTGAACACTGCGGGTCGAGAAGAAGATCGTCAATGCTGTGGAAGATGCGATGAGGTTGGTGGGGGAGGATGGAACGCATACTTTGTAAGAGTTCGAGGGAGTCGGGAAAGATGTGTAAGAAGAATACAGGAGTGCTCATGAGGTCCGCCGAAGTTGCGAGTCCTAGCACGCGGTCAGAACATGGATCTTCATTATGACCGCACATGCTTCTCTAGCACATTCGGCCACAGATACGTGAAAATTAGGCATCCCGTCCGCTCTGCCATATACAAGCACGTAATCGCCTGATTAGTACTGTAGTGGGTGACCATACGGGAATACCGGGTGCTGAATGTTTTTGTCGTTTTGATTCTCTTTTTGCTAGTGGTGGAGTTGTGCCAAGGAGCGGCGGCGGTAAAGCCTCGGTGTTGTGGCGGATAAGAATGTAGGGCAGCACTGAAATTGTTGCGAGATGGCAAAATAAAGGTTTTAATAGTAGATCCAAATTGATCCTAAGTTGAGACAGTGAGATCTATGTTTGCTCTGAAGGGGTGTGTTCTCGTTGTTGTAGGAAGGAGCAAGGCTGAGCTTTTATACCCCTTTTTGGCACTCGGCAATTCTTTCCCCGATCGCGAAACTCAATCGCGCGTCGCGTCTTCCCGCACGCGTCCACATCCATCCTCTCGAGCAAGATAGCACGCGATTAACGAGACATACAACACTTTGAGCGCGTCAAAGTACAGTCAAACTCACCATGGATGAAGCAATGGAAGATGTGCAGCCGGAGACGCAAGATATCGAGCAGGAAACCCCCGCGGAAGACGTCTTCATCCCACCCTCGATCAACAAACCACAAGTGCTGTCGGGGGATAGCTATACGCATCATTCCGCAATACCAGCAACTATCAAAGATGATATGAGCACGGAGTGTGTGCTGGGAGTGGATGAGGCAGGAAGAGGGCCGGTCCTTGGTAAGACGCTACGCGAGTGATCACAGCAAGGCTAACATCTATCAGGGCCAATGGTATACGCCTTGTATTACCTGCCGCTCTCAATGCACCGCTCTTTGCTCGCAGACACCCACAAGTTCGACGACTCGAAAGCCCTCACGCCAGCCGTGCGCTCAGAGCTCATGGAGAAAGTGTGCACAGGCGGCACGGATCTCTACCAACACGGCGGCTGGGCGACAAGACTCATGTCTGCTAAAGACATCTCTTCGGCTATGATGCGACCAACTGGAACCTATAACCTCAATGCACAAGCCATGGATGCTACCATCGATCTCATCCAACAAGTTCTCGATTCCGGAGTCAATGTGCGGGAAGTGTACATTGACACCATCGGACAACCGGCGGCGTATCAGAGGAAACTCGAAAGGATCTTTCCAGCTTTGAGGATCACTGTTGCGAAGAAGGCGGACAGCTTGTATCCCTGCGTCTCTGCGGCGTCTGTCTGTGCCAAAGTGACAAGAGATGCTGCGCTTGATGTTCTTTACAGTGCATATGCAACGGCGGAAGATGATGGAGTGGTGGCATGGGGCTCTGGGTATCCTTCCGATGCACGCTGTTCGAACTGGCTGAAGGGTAACATGGACCCTGTGTTTGGATGGGGCAATGAGTGTCGATTCAGCTGGGGCACTGCAAAGGAGATGCTGGAGGCGAAGGGTGCGCTTTGTCGAGTGGATTGGCCGGATGGAGAAAATGAGACGGATAATATGAAGCTGACGGGATTCTTTCTGGGTGCCGAGGAGGACAAGGGTGATGAGCTTGGCTCGTGGTTTGGGAGGCGGGTGACTGAGGAGGTCTTCTGAAAGCTGCTTGCATCTGTCGACATCACTTCCTGCCTCCAAGGCGTTACGAGCAACTATCACTTCACCCAAACAGTTCATTGCGTCGAACGCGGCACAACGAGGTCATCTTCACCGGCCAATCATCCCATGGACCAGACTCGTCAAGCCCCAACTGTACTCCAAATACTCCAGGATCTGCAGCAGGTTCTCGGTCCTCCGCTCAGCTTCATTGTAGTCTCCCATCTTCGGCAGCGGCACTCGAGTGCTGTTCTTGCCGTCTTTGGGAGCCCAGTAACTCTTGAGGTACGTACGGGCACCCAGCACGCCGATCAACATGGCAGGAGAGATTGCTGAAGGGTCAGCTATGGTGACTGTATCGATGGGAATGTCAAGCATACCTATTCGCACCCACCTGTGGATTCCATAAGGGGATATGGTTAGAACTGACGAAGCGACCAAAGACGCAATGATCTGTGATGAGTTTAGCATAGAACTACAGAGATTTGAGAACTCTCGATCTCGTACCGCGACTGCTCCTGATCCTTGAGTGAATCTCGTCTTGCTCAACTCTGTCTCTGCCTGTTTCGACCATTCTGCCAACTTCTTTGCTGCTGCCTCGTACTTCTGAAGGTTTGTGATGGCGACAAATGAAGCCGCCGCACCATACAAGCTGAGCACAATCTGAACAACATGCTGACTTCGCAAGACCGTCTCTCTCAGTGTCGAATCCATGGCGATGTATTTGATCTGAAGAGTGAAGTGAATGTTGCTGTTCATCAAAGTGCAGTGATGTCAGTCCTGGTCGCGATAACGGCGCCAAGCCTTTCTAGGCTAAACTAAATATGGACGGAAGACAACAAACCCAGCCCAGCGACAAGCGAGTGTTGATCACGACACGTCCCGCGCATCACCACCAAACATCTTTCGCTGCCGCCCACATCGCACCCTTTGGATACCACGCGCATCAAACATTCACTCACCGCACACGCTGGCTATCGGCAAGGAAAACCGCCCGCCGCGCAACATGGCGCCTGCTGCGAAGAACAACACGCCAGGCCGGCGCAAGCGGACGGACAACCAGTACTTCGAGCCTGGCAAACGGGGGCGCAAGACGGGATTGGAACTGAAAGATTTGGGACAACGCGACGAGCATGGACTAGAACCGATGTCAGGCATCTTTTCGTCTCCGCATGAGCAGAATGGGGACAAGACGCTCACGAGCGAGGACATGGATGTGCAGAACAGTGTGTATACACAAGGTAGATAAGAAATAGCATATGACACTGACATTGCGCGACTGCAGGCTCTGCACCAGATATCCGACAAACGCTCTCTCAGCGAAAGACCCCCAGGTTCCCGCCTCCGCGACAATCGACGCCGCGACGTACAAACATTGGATCGCCGAAGCGCATGTCTTCTGCGAAGCCGAGGCAGCAGGAACAAGAGGAGGAAGATGATGATCGCTCGCAGTCTCAGCCCCCTGCCAATCGAAGACTGGACTTTGGAGGCCAGACGAATAGGAATCGCAAGAGCATACACACAGTCGAGACGCAGAGCCCCTTCAAACCCAGGCATGCGTTGCGGAGATCGACAGGACCCGGACGACCAGACGTGTTTGCGCTGCCCATTGCAGATGATGAGGACGAGGAGGTTGCGAAAACATCCATTGAACATCCCAACGATGTGGTGGACGAAGAGGACGAGGACGAGGAGATGGTCGAGCAATCAATCGAAGACGGGCCTATCTTCCAGGAAGACGGCGATGATTATCCAATGGAGATCGACCAGACTGCTGGAGATCTGGATCCTACTGAAGTCCGTCCTTCGTCCAATAGCCCCTTGAAGCGCAAACCAGGAAGACCACGAAAATCGGATCAATCTGTGAATAGCAGCCAAATCGATGCCAACGGATCTGGACGAAAGAAACGAAATCGAGCGAGTCTGGAAAACGATCATTCGCAAGCTGAAAGTAGTGCACAGGGTGCGATGAACCCTCCTGCGAGAAAGAAGAGATCCTCTGGCGCGGATAAAGTCGTTGTTCATCGAGATGGCGGAGACGAAACCATTGATCCTTCAGAAATTGCGCATGGCGACCAATACATGGTGGATGATGACGCAGAGGGTGTTCCCGAAGCTGATCTTTCCCAGCAGCTGGACTCACAGCTTGTTGTGGAAGCAGAGTCACAGCAGGGCAAGAAGGGAAAAGGAAAGAAAGGCAAGGGTAAAGCCGCTGCGCCCAAGGAGAGAGACGCCAACCGTTCAATGCAAAACCGAGCAAGCTCAGTACGGGACTCACCATCAAAACGGGCGCAACGAGGCACAAGCGTTGGTCCCGTTAGCAACGTCAACCTACGTGCAGTCACGCCTTTCGAGGATGCTGGTCACACTCAGTCGAGGTTTGGGCGAAATCTGATTCAGCCATTGAAGTATTGGGAAAACGAATCGCGCATATGGAAAAGCGGCGAGATCGAGGGCATTGTTCGTGCTGAGCATGTTGAAAAGCCCAAACCCAAGACGAAGCGTCGCAAGAAGGGCGGAAGAAGGGGCAATCTCGAATCCATTGACGAAGAGAGCGAGACTGAATCGATCATGCCAGATGAATGGGAAGACGAGCAGGGAGTCATTTCTGGAACCGTCGCCAACTGGAATCCAGCCATAAAAGCTGGCGATCCCGAAGACCCTGTGCAAGAAGGTATGCCTCACGAATCATTCACCGCTGGAGACAGTGAAACATCGTTACTGACGATTGCATAGATCTCGCCTTCGCGGCCTCGTCGATAGTCACGCGCGATGTGGCAGGCTCCGAATTCAAGTACGCCAAGATCATGACGATACCCTTCTTCGGTGCCGGGATCGTCGAACTACCACCCGAAGGCTACAAACGCGCCAAGAACAGCCGTAAGATGCAGATGGTGTTCTTCGTGCACGAAGGCAAAGTCATGGTTGAAGTGGGCGCGACGGGCCTGGAGGTCAACTCGTTTACGTTGAGCAAGGGTGGATGTTGGGTGGTACCCAGAGGTAAGCCTGCCCGTTCTTTTCGTCCTGTTCAGTCCTGTTCGTCCCCTTCGTCACCCGCAATCCTATCCACATTTCCCCCGGAACCGCCACCCACCCTTCCCCGGAGGATGTCTGGCTGCGCTTCGGCGCTCCAGCGTCCCTGGTAAACAACCCAGCCGGCTCGAGCACTGGAGCAACTTTGCCGCGGAACCAAAGTCACCCCTCGGATATCAACCATCATCATCCATGGCGATGAGGCGGTGAACTCACCGCAACAACCAACAATGCCATTCTCTGGTCCTGGTCGGGTTCCTTTGGGTATCGAATCTGCAGCCAGCCTTGCGACGGCGAGCTGCGACTTGACGAGAAAATCTCGACTGCCGCGTCGATCGCGTTCTGGCCACCATCGACACGCAGCCCGTCCAAAGCGGTCTGTGTGTGCGTAACGCGCGCTGTCAGTCCAGTCCCGTCATTTCCACGGTCGCCTGCACGAGCTTCTTGACATCGTTCCCGCCCGTCTACTCCCCACCCCCGACCGACGACGTGGCACAACACGACAACAATGGACAGCACCCAGGGACCCACCTATGGCCGCGGACCCCTCGACCTCGAAACAAGCATGCAGCGGCTCCTGCGAGCCGGTCAGCTGTGGTGCAACAGAACTGTCGCTCGCCTGTCGACATGCCAACCCAGCCTTTACCCTCTTCAATAGAGAGTCGAAGCTGGGCAATGCGGTGCGATGCGAGTGCCGCTAGGCTGGGAACCGAACCGGTCTGCCTGTTCGAACGACCCTAGTCCCTGTCCTGGCTTGCTGACGCCACTTTTTCTTCTCGCTCTCGTCTTGAGTGCTGGGTACTACGAGGACCGTTGCGCTGTTGTGCAACGTTACAACGCATCAGCCGAGTAGCCGGAATCGAAAGGAACGAATTCGACTTTGCCCTGTGGCTGGACGTTGTGTATCACTCTGGAGTGTTTCCCGATTCTGGACTTCACTCCCTCACACCAAGGCACCTCTAACTGATCCCTTCGTTCTTGTTTTCGTTCGCATCATGCACATAACACATCCTCACATCCCGCCTTCTGCAATAACATCCCTCACGATATAGCAGTTTGAGACTGAACACTGACCACAAATCCCTCAGGCAACAATTACGCCATCACGAACGAGTCTCGAACGCGATCCGCGAAAGTTTTCTTTGCGCAGGGATGTGTGGTCGAGGGGACGGAATAGTACTAAGGAAGGGCGGCTGGAGCGTGCGTTGTTCAGAAAGTTTATCTGGGGGAGATGCAGCCGCGCTGCTGCTTATTCTACCGTACTGTTTGATGATGGCGGTGGTGAGGAGGATGGACGGGATGGGTGCATTGAATGTCGAGTCAGCTGCTGCTGGATGTTTTGACTCTGTGCGGTTTGGTGGTGCTTTGACTAGCGATTGTGTATGGCAAGTGCTGAGTTGAACGGGAGGCTGGATGATGAGAATGAGGCTGACGGTCGACGAAATGAAGTTTTTTGAAGTTTCTTACTTGCATGCATGCACGCATTCACTGTTGTTTTTGATAGTCAAGCCATTGATTATGATCATAAGGACAGTATGGCTGTGGTTGTGGCTGGATACTTTAGGATAGGATAACCGGTCCACCACGCACCGCTCTGGTTGCTTTGCACGCCTCCTGCCGTCGAGGAAGTAACGCATAAGTCTGCCTCTGCCACGCCTTTCATCAATCAAGCAAGACACTGGAGAGAATGGCGATGGCGATGACGTCCGCTCCTAGATACCACTACAATCACGCACGATAGGCGTTTCCTTCTAGTCTTACTGCATGTTCGACCATGAAACACCCTCTTCTACCACAATTCTACGATTCAACCCACCGAACAAACAAAAATGTCTCGAACGAACCATTGGGATAGAGGACCGGAACCAGACAATTAGTCTGCCGGACGGAGGTTTTCTGTTCGAGAAAACCGGTGAGATTTGGGGAGGTGTGGGGAGGCGTGGTGGATGTGAAGATGGTACGGACATGCAAGGCGATGTTTGTCTCAGATGGACCGGATGTTAGTGTTAGTGCTGGGCTTGGCTTTACTTCTGACTTAGAGGAGGTGTGAAGCCGGCTGTTGGATGTGAAGTTTATGGCTTTGAGTGGATGGGATGGGATTTGGGGTCGGGTGATGGAACGCAGGATTGTTGCATCGACGAGAGGGGGAAAGGCTGGGACAGTGCAGTGGGTGATCATTGCGTGCTCGCCGGCTGGACGAACGAACGAATGCTGGGTTTGGAGAGATGGGGGGTTGTTTGGGAAGGCCGGTCGTTGGGGAAAGTGTATACACTGTATTGTGGTGGGTAGGTATATGGTACCTTCGGTAAGCGGCACGAGTCGCAGAGGATCTCGCTGCAGGAGGGTAGGTGCTTCGTGCTGGTGAAGTTGGTGCTGGAGAGGTGGTTGGCTGGGGAGGGAATGGGTCGATGGGACGCATGACCTTGGACGCAAGTGCGCCATCGCCATCGTCAGTTGACCATCGCAGACCGAAGGTTATCGTCGCAAGGCAAACGTAATCTTTCGGGGTTCGGTGGAAGCGCAGCGCTTATGAGGCAGAAGGTTTTGTCTTCTGTGACAGGGGAGCCATGTGTCCGGAACGCCTCACCGACAACTTGCTTTGCTGCCTCTCTCCTACTCGGCATGTACATCAAAGTCAATCGTCACACGGCTTGTTTCTTCATCTTCTCGTTTGACGAGTCAATTGATCTTATAGCTGTCGAGTAAGGTACCTGCAGGCCGGCCACTGAGATTCAAGCTTCGAAGACCCAGGAAAGAAACGTCGTCTTATTGCCACGCGTGCTCATCAGCAGACTGGCGGTGAACAGGTGAGCTGGCAAGGTGTTCCTTGTGGCGAACATGTGCGTGCGGCAGTTGTGTATGCAAGTTGACGAGCAGGCTGCGTTTGGGTGTACGCCATCATGCTTGGCCTGGAGATCGTCGCATGAGTGGTTGATGATGAAAGGATGCTGCGATGCGACAGAGGTTGTACGGGACTGTACCAATCTGCGGTGAATGCTCGATGTTCGCTGCTCCAAGGGTCTGAGAGGATGGCCGAAGTAAGCAGCTGCATGAAGTGCTGCATGTCTCATCCAGCTATGAGTTGTCAAGTCGATCAGTACAGTAGTTGGTAGGAGGCGGGCGCAGGCTGCACGAAGGCAGGTGAGTTGAGCGCGTGACATCAAAGTCACCATTGAGTGGATGCTGGGCGACGATCTAGAACACGATTCTGCGTTGTCTGGCTGATTCGAAGGCAGGTTTCTGGTGGAGAGGAGATCCGTTCGCCGATCTTGCAACATCCAGGGAATTTGCAGTGCCGCCCAGTGCAAGCTGCAGCAATTGACCACGGTCCCTCAAAACTCATCCTCATCCTCTGCAAACTCATCCAGCACCGGATAATCGCCAACCTCCAGACGCTCTGGTCGAACGAATACACCAAAGTTTGGCTGACACTCGAAATAGCGGGTAGACTTGATGCTGCCATCGTTCTTCCCTGTAGGTTCGTCCAAGGCGACTCCGACCCAAGCCCCGATCCCGCCTGGGATTTCTGGTACATCGCCAACGAACTGAACGGTTCCGCGACGATGGTCTGACTCTGGGAGCAAACGACACCTCACGCCCTGTTTGATGCCACGGTCGCTGACCTCACGATAGGACGCATCGACTTTCTGCTGCTCGATGCTGGGGGCGTTTGGGTCGAAGCGGCCCAGCTTGTTGGCCTTCTTCCAGGCAAGCACGCTGTCGGACCTATTCTCGTACTCGGACGAGCTCATTTCGTACTTTTGCACCGATGAGACGTCTGTGTAGTTGGTCCGGGCGCCGGGCGGGCGGGTGTCGACGACCTGTCATCCGGAAGGTCAGCGGCTGGCGGTCATGGTCGGATATGAGCCCGAGGTGAGGCTGTGGAGTGGATGCGTTTCGAGTCGTCTGGTTTCAGACGTCTTGTGTTCCGGCCGGCCATCGCCTTGTAACACGGGTCGAGTGGGCAGTGCATGATGAGGTTGGTGATGATGGGGAGCGTGCTAATAAAAACATGTTCTTCATCTTGCGGCACTCTAGGAGGACGAGTCCCGGGAATGGCGTCTTGGACGGGGGTGATATAGGGTGGGATGAGATACGAACTGGATGCCGCCACTCACCTGCAGCTCTGCATAGGCTTGAAGGGGAAATACCCCTATTTGCGTGGCTTCCTCATCTTGGGCGGCGATGGGTTGCGGCGGCTGCGACCCGACCTTGAGGCTGAGCCTCTGGCATTCGGCAGGCACGCCGGTGATGGGTTCGAGGCGGGCTTTGAGCGTGGCGATGGACCATGACGGGGTAACGCGTCGTTCTGAGGCAGAATTCTCCGATCTCACCAGCAGGGGTATGTCCGCGGCGGTGGTGGTGGCCATGGCGGAGGATCGGCTATAAGGTTTGCAGGAGGTTGTGCGATGGACGTGAGGGTGACAGTGGGTGTGGGATGTGTCCGGCAGTTGGCACCTGTTGGACAAGAACGATGGTGCGGATGGTCTTGATTGGGGCTGTTTCTGTAACAGCAGACCACTCACGTGGCTGAGATGCGATGCGTGAAGTTGAATGGTGGAGTGTTTCAATCGGCTGCGGAAGCGAGACGTTGGCAGGGTTGTCCCGGCGAACGACACTCCACCGAGTTTGGCAGGACCAGGAAGATTCGCATCGCCAGAGCCTCACCAGTGCGTCACCGCGGCCCGTGAAACACACCGGGCCCTTTGCTCCCCTACTTCTGCCACGCTACGCAGTCTTCTTCTGCTTTTGCTGCGAGCCGCGCTGCTGCTATGAAGCGACTCGGGAAGAGCGTCGCCCGGGCTTCACCGCTCCAGCACAATCGCTTCTAAACTTGGGGCTAACCCGGCACGCGTGACGCCATTTGCTGCTCGAGGACGCAGCTAAGCAACGCCGAACTGGTTCCCTACGCCCTCTTCCCTGACGCTCCCGCTACTGTAACCTACGGCAAGGTTAGCGGGATACGTACTTTTAGCCCATGCCCGGCCGCACGCATCTCGGACGCCGCCCAGCAGCAGCTATAGGTGGTGGTGATGATGATGCATCGACGTGGCTCCTCTCGACTCTGCCAACCTCCACCCACCACCTCCCCGAAGAGGGGACGACCGCGGAGGGGGAGTGCTCACTTCGCGAATGCCATTGTGCTGCCCGCGGTGGCCTGCTGCAGACGGCCGGCGACATGCCACCAGGCTGCCGGCAGCAACAATAGCACCATCTCATCAATCTCGCGTATTGAGCCGTCCGCCAGCATAACCGGCACCTCATCCATCACAAACGCTAGCAATGCTAGACCTCTCCACCCTTCGTTTTTCGAACTTTTGATCCGTGCTTTTTCCTCCTCCTTCTCTCCAGTCCCCACCCCGAATGACTTGCGTTCAAGCCGCCATCCCTGCCAAGTGCATCGGCCATGTCAGACATTTTCACCGCTATCGGCGCCGTGAAGCGTGCTCTCACACGCCAGATACTCTGCTCGAGGAGCGAAGAGACTGCCCTGGCTTGACCTCCGACGTGTGCATTCCACGCCGTCAACACGCACCAGTGCATGCCTCAAGCGATGGAGGAGGCGGTCCCGCCAGCAGCGAGTGTGTGGTGTCACCATGCCAGCTGTGTGTCACGAGGCTGCCAGACATCACTTGTTGCATATCAACACCGCAAAGCAACTCGCTCGAGTCTCGCTTGCGGCCCAGCAGTTCGGCAGTTCGCACACCGCCTGAAACCCATTCCTAGCGCCATGCTGGAATGCCATGCCATGCGCATGCTCGCCCTCTCACACGTTTCAGCATCCATCGCAGCTTGCCCACATCGCGATCAACCATCAGTCAGCCGCTGGTGGTGCTTGATACCCACCTCGCCCAGGACTCGGGGAAATCAATCAACAACCTTTAGGCATTACTCTATTCGTGCTGACTGTGTGCACTCGCTTCACCTGTAGATCTCCGTTCGCCAGATCCGCGCTTGCTCCCGAAACTGCCCTACATTCGTAGCGTACCCACTCCCACCGCGGCTTGCCGTTGACTTGACGTTTTTGCTTGTGTTTTGAATCGACTCCCACGCTTTCACCGCTCCCATCATCTCCCCTCTCACACAGACACGCGGCTACCCCTCGAGTCATTCATCGTCCCGCCGCTGCTCGTGCCGGGTCTGCTCGAGAAGGGCACTCTGTTTGCGGCGGATGGCGGGTGTCGAGGCGGATGGGGCTTTTTCTCCCTTATTTATTCTTGTCGTCTGGTAGTCTAACGCGCCTAGTGCGCCGTGAGATGCGTCACCAGCCATGTAACCTGTACGTACATGCTGCAGAGCGCGCTCCACTGCCCAGGTAGCTACACGCACTACTTGGCCGTGCATGAGCGCGCATGGATCGACGGCTAAGTATATCCCTGGCCGGCGCCGCGAAGGGAAAAGGAAGGGAGAAGCTGCGGTGGGCTGCGCTCTCATCACGGCAGGAAGAGATGACGGTAGGGACAGATGCTAGCCTGCATCTCATCTCATGCCCATCACGTCGGTCGGCGAAACCTACCAGCCCGCCTGCATGACATGGCGCGCTTCCTGCGAGCGCTGAGGCAAGGTCGACGTCGGCTTCAATTCGCTGGCGCTGGCTGGCCTAGCTCGCCCGCCGTATTCTGTGCTGCCTGCATGCCGCTGCCGCTCGCCAGCGTGCATGCGAAGGAGCCAGGTGCAGCAGCAGCCAGCAGCGGCGGCGAGATGGGGGTGTGGGTGGGTGGTGGCAGAATTCATGCTGGTGCTGGGTGCAGATGCCGTGCAGACGCATCACCCATCGCTGGTGCAGCGCTGGTCTGGGGGCGGCGCACGCTGGCGCTGATGCTGGGTGGATGGCAGTTCTATGGGCGGGCCCTCGACCTTACTTGGCCGACCTGGGTGGAGGCCGGGTGTTGTTGTTGTCACGATACGGCCACGATGCGGTTTCACCCCTTGCGGCGCCTGTCACTGCCCATCAACCCGCCCAGCAGCCCCTGCCGCAGCCTCGACGACGGGGCGGGCTGCTGGTTATGATGGCCCGGCACTGCACGCTGCGCGCCGCCATATGAGCGACACACACGCTCAATCACGGCTCTCGTCCATCCACCTCGCACTCACCTGCCATCCGCCGCGCATCGCCGCTGGGTGCATCCGCGCCTGGCGCCAAAGGCTATGCTGCAGCTTCGTGCCTTCATAATCCTCTGCGTCGGACCATTTCGCTAGCCTTGGACCTGCTAGCAGCAGCACCTTGACCCTCCGTCGTCTCGTGCCTCGGTGCTACGTCAACCGCAACACCGCAACTTGTTCAGTTCACACCAGACACCAATCTCGGAAGCGTCGACCTCACACCGGCCCACCGACTGGACGTCCCGTCTCCTCAAACACACACGAGGTTCCCCCAGGCAGGGTTGTCCTTGCACGCCGCACCCGCTGGCATTATAGGGCCCCGTCCTCAGGCGTTCGTACATAAAAGATCCCTCGCTGATCGTCGGCCAACTTTAAGCGACCCTCTCCCTCGAACTGCATCACTGAACCAGGTGGGACACCGAACGGTATTGTGTAATTCGACCGGCCCTTATACACCACCCTACCACCTACCCCCGCCAGATCCAAATCATCTTCGCCAAATGAGCGCTGCGTGATACGTCACTGCCATACCAGCACGCCCCATCGAATCCACTTGACAGCCGCCGTCGTGGTGTTGCCGACCATCAATCGATTGCCGTGTCCTATCAACCGTTGTTCAGCTCGAAATCTCCCCTACTCGAACTCTTCGTCCCGAACAAGGGCCGCGTCAAATCCGCTTCAAGCGTTGGATCGTTTAGGCGCCTGTCCCGAGGAACTGCCTTGTCGAGGGAGCAATAATAAGCCTACTCCACGAACGATCGACTTCGTCCTTTCCAACCGAACGCGAAGTCAATATCGATATCTCGTGCACCACGACGCTCCGCTCGACGACCATCTCAATCGCATGAGCTGGCCTTGACGCCAGCAACGGCCGCCAACGTGGATATCTCTTCCCTGTTGGAGCGGCCAAAAGCAGCATCGTCTCCAAGCAATGCGAGCAACAGCTCTCGAACCACGACCAGCAGCAGAGCCAGAGACGATACTGCAGGCTCAGCCCAACCATCGACGATAACGACTGCAACGACGCCGGCACCACTCCCAGTACCACCGTTGGACGCTTCATATCGACAATCTTCCATCCCTCCTTACCCTCCACCACCGTATCCATCAATGCAGACGATTCAATACGCTCAGCACTATCCTCATGGACCTCCTCAATTCACGCCGTTGAGCGGCTACTCACCCTATCCGCCAGCGTCAATGGCGGATCCGAGATTACCACCACCCATTCCACTCTCACACGCGCCTGTACAGAGCAACAAACGGTTGGCACCTCCAATGCCTCATCCACAGGAGACTCCACCAAAGAAGAAGCAATCGAAGTGGACTGCCGATGAGGATCGATCGATCATTGAATTGCGTGGGAACGGTATGAAGTGGGAAGACATCTCGAAGCATCTACCTGGACGGAGTGCAATCAGTTGTCGATTGAGGTTTCAGAACTATCTTGAACGTCGATCGGAATGGGACGAGGAGAAGAAGAATAAGCTCGCTCGACTCTACGAGAGGTGTGTCGCGTGACGAACATGATACCATCTCGAACACTACTAACGCATCGACAGATTCAAGAAAGACATGTGGGAGAAGATTGCAAAGGAGATGCAACTGCCATGGCGAGCGGCCGAAGCCATGCACTGGCAAATCGGCGAGGTCGAGATGGCTCAACGAGCAAATGTACCCGTCTTCCACCTCGCACACCAACCAGGCTCTTCGTCGACTCAGGCTGGTCCTGGGTCAGACGGTCGATCCAGCACGTCTCCTACAGGCATGGTCCCGACTTCTGGCTTTTCATACACGCATACACACAACCACAGCCTACCTCAAATACCACACGCACACACTCATCCACACTCTCCCGAACAATCACGACTACGACGGAACAGCAGCGACTCGTTACCTGGTGGACCTTCATTACGACGACGAGCAGACAGCGCACGTTCAGTTCCTAGCTCTGCAACACCCCTCGGCAGAGGACAACTTCCACCACTCATCGACATCGCCGGCACAGTATCAGCAACTCCTCGATACACATTACCACCCGTAGTCACCTCATCCGACCGTGACCGACGATGACGACAACACACATTCGTTAACCACGCATGACCGACTTGCATTTTATACGGCAGACCAACTTGACGACAAGCATAACCCCTACGAAGCAACGAATCCGAACGTCAAACAAATAGCATAGAGCGCGACAGAAGCGAATGAAATGCATATGCAGCGGGAAGACAACACGACGTCAACGGCCAACCCCCAACGGCAGGATGTGACGTGATGAAGAACTGTAACAACAGCCACTGACTGATGAAGAAGAGAAAAGGAAGAAAAACTACATCTAACGAAACACACAAGGGATGATTTGATGAAATGTAGAGTAGAGACAACGATAAGTAGTTGGCAGGCAGTAAGGAGGAAAGTAATAGCAACGAAGAACGTTGCACATCAGTAACAAGACCAGTTGACAAGAGACATCAAGATATGCTTATTCCTGTCTGGCCGTGATCTGAAGCATCTTCCCGAGACAAAAAGTGTATTGTTCTGCGTTTGAGGCGATTTGCCCTATGTTTGTCTCGTCCAGATCCCATCTCTTTTCAAACTTCTAGCGCGTCGGAGATTCTATGAGAGGCTAGACCTGTTTGGGCATATCGGAGGTTTTTGAGCCTGGAAGCTGTGAAACACCCTAGACTTGCTTTCTTTCCACGTCACGCGTTGAGCTCCAGCGGCCTGGGACTCGATCAACTTTCACGTGCTAGGTCCTTCGCAGGCACAATGTTTCGGTAGTACTGCGATACGATGCGTAAAGCCGCAGACAAAGACGACAGGCTTGCTCACCATCAAAACCTCACAACCAACACATCCAAACAACCCCGTCTCAGCCGATAAACAATGGCCTCCCCCGACTCTCTCAGCACCGCCCTCCTCGCCTGGGTGCAGTCCTTCGAAGACATCGACCCGAAACCCACCTCCCTCGCCGACCTCAACACCGGCCTCACCCTCTGGACCATCCTCCACGCCATCGACCCCTCCTACTTCACCGGAGCACTCCCGGAACCCAGCATAACGCCCACCTCGGACTGGACGCGGAAATGGCAGAATCTCAAACACGTCGAGAAGCAGCTCGCGATGTACTATCGGGATGTGTGTAACGGTGCTGGAGAAGGCGGGGAGGGCGTGGATCTGAAGGTGATTGCGGAGAAGGGCGAAGAGGGGGGTTTGGAGAGACTGATTATGAGGATTATTCGGGCCGCGATGGCAAGTCCGGAGAGTAATCAGGCGATGGGGAGGAGGTTGATGGGGTTGGGGCAGGAGAGCGCGATGGTGATTGCGTATGAGATTCAGAGGATGCAAGAGGCGGAGACGGAGGGCGAGGGGGTGATCAGTGCTGGGGAGGAGGTGTCGGAGCCGGTGAGCCGGGATGAGGGGACGTGGGAGGGGGATGTTGCTGTGCCGGCGGATGCGAATGGGAAGAGCAAGGAGAGGGGGAATGGCGGGTTGGTGTTTGGGGATCCTTTGCTGGAGAGGGAGGAGGAGCTTTTGCAGGCGCAGGCGACGATTGAGACGTTGCAGGCTCAGTTGGCAGATGCGCGGAGACAAGTGCAGGCTGCGAAGCAGCATGAAGAGCAATTAAGGCAGGAGCTGGATAATTATCGCGATGAGATGAATAGCAAAGGGAGGACGCCGGCGGGGGATGATGATTATAAGAAGTTGCAGCGGCAGGCGGATAGCGATCGGGCGTATATCGATGATCTCGAGGGGCAGCTGCAGGCTTCGAAGGAGGCGGTGGAGAGGTACGAGAGGCAGGTGATGAAGTTCAAGGAGGAGCAGGAGGCGAGTCAGAAACTGCGGGATGATTTGCAGATGTTGCGGGCGGAGAATGAGGATTTGAATCAGAAGGTCAAGGCGAATGAGAATCTGAAGAAGAAGATCCAGACGTTGCAGGAGCAGGAGAAGGCGAATGCTTCGTTGCGGGAGGAGTTGAAGCTGGCGACGGAGAGGCTTGAGGAGTTGGATTCCATGAGGCAGGTTCAGGCCGGGTTGGAGAAGGAGATTATTGAGAAGAAGGGGTTGATTCGGAATCAGGAGTATCAGATTAATGAGTTGACTACGACGAGGAAGCATGTGGAGTATGACGCGAAGGTGCTGGCGCAGAAGTTGGAGGCCGCGAGGGAGAGGCAGGAGAGGGATCATGAGGCGCTGGAGGAATTGAGGGCGAGGCTGGTTGACCGAGGGCCAGACGAAGAGGTCGACATCGAACCTCCCCAACCCAGCAAGGACGTCACCGCAGAAGACGACTCCGAAAAGAAACCCGCCCCACCCAAAACAGATGAGAACAAGCACTACCTCGACAAAATCTCTCTCCTCGAACAACAACTCTCCGCGGCCGACCTCCGCCTGAAACAAGCCTCCCAACGCGCCTCCGCCCTCGAAGACCAACACAACACGGGCCGCGAAACGACCTCCCTCCAACTCGAGAAATCCTCCCAACGCATCGAAGAACAGGACAACCTCATCGCGGACCTCAAACGCGAGCTGGAGCGGCAGGCTTCTTCTGCCGCCACGACGATGCCGCCACCGCCACCCCAGGATGTTGCGGTGCTGCAGAAGGAGGTGCGGTTGGTTTGTTCGGCTTGGTATGATCTTGGGGGGCGGTTGCAGAGGGATGGGGTTGGTCTTGCTGGGAGGAGGAGGGGAGAGGCGAGGAGTTGGATTGGACGGCAGAGGGGGTTGGTGGGGCCCGGGGTTGGGGGTGGGGTTGTTAGGTGAGGTGATATGGGGGATAGACTGGGTTGACGAGGGATAGAGGGGATAATGGAGCGCATTTGTATAGGAGTGTGTGTTTGGGTATTCCTTTTGGATTGAGTCGAGTTGGGTTGAGCGAGGAGGGCATGGATGCGATATACCCCCATCTTTTCGTTTCCTTGCGTTTTGCTTGTTTGGACTAGAAGGGTAGCTGTTGATGTATCCAAACTGTAGACATTCAACGATTTGAATATATCTTCTGCACTTTTGTTTGTTTTTTTTGCTGAGAGGGCGTTGTCTGAAGGGGGTTGAAGAGCTTCCGAGAGGGGGGTGGATTGAGATGAGCGCTGTGAGTAGAAGGGTTTACACGGAATGGATGTGTGTGGTCTTACTGATGGCTTGATAGTGTATTTACGCTCCTTCTCCTATCTCATTCAAACCTGTTCGAGTAGTATTGAAATCCCCAGGACAATCCCCACTACTTTTAGGCGGTCTAGGCGGCTTGAAGTGTGGAGGGCAGGGTGGTCGGTCTTGAAGGCTTGGAGATATGGGCGCTGGCTTGCTTAAGAAGATGGAGAAAGATGATTGATGTCGGAGGATTGGAGATGGTGAGGCTCATCGTGCGAGTGTCTGCACGATAGGATGTGTAGATGACGCGGTGATGTATCTTCGAGTGGAAAAGTTGATCACCGTTAGGAGTAGGCGGTCTAGTCGGCTCGATATGCAGAGGGGCCCGTGGTCGGGTTTGAAGAGTTGGAGAAACGACATAGGCGGCCGTCCTCAGCGCAAACACGAGTTCGAACCCGCGTCGTCACATGCTTAGCGGGTTCAAGCGAGATCGGCGGCGAGTGAATGACAACCCCGCGCTAGTGGGGTCAAAGCTTCGCCTCGCTTCTTTCTCCCTCGAAGTCTTGTCTGCCACTCCAACAACACCACACACCGCGCGATCTATCATCTTTACTCGCGTTCTGTGTGACCGTCTTTCGCATCGAACACCGCCATCGTCGTCTGCCCTACCACCCGCACCCACCAACCTCGAGGCGCGCGTTTCACAGAATGGCGTCGCGTTTGGAGTCGCTGCCGCCAGAGCTATTGATCCGACTTGTGGAATACTTCCCACGGCCATCGGACCTGAGGGCGCTCTGCTTGACAAGCAAGGCACCGGGGGTACCCGCCACGACGCAGCTGTACCATGACGTGACTGGTATAGACGCAGTGCATGGGTGGACGCGCTCCGATCTTAGCACTACAGTGCTTGCGAAGGCCAATCCCGGGCTGGCGCAGATCCGCAAGCTCCGGTTCGACACTGTCGCTCCCGTGGAACAACCAGATGTGGGCATCGTGGCTAAGGTATTGAAGGCTTTGCCGGGCAGTAGCCTCCGGGGATTGTGAGTTTTAGGGTCGGAATGGTACACAAATGTTGGAACAGAGACTGAACTTTTTGTAGTGACTGTAGCCCATGCACGGTGGCCGAGGATACCATGATCACGTTGATGATGAGGCAGCACAAGCTCGTCACCCTTGGTCTGGGTCCACTGACGTTCAATCCAATGCCATTCGTACAAGCCGGCTTGTTGGATGTCTCTGCTTTCGCGAAGCTGGAAGACCTCGACATCCCTCAGGTCATCGGAAGTCAGCACGATCTTGAGCTGTACCAACTCATCATCGAGAAAGCCTCCCTTCGCCGTCTAGCTATCCGAACCACGACCCTTCGCAGTGAGAATGCATTCAATCTGGACGACGAGAAGGACCACGATGGCTTGATTTCTAAGATCCTGTTCAAGCACATCAGAGACGCCGGGCCAAATACAAGGATGCAACTCCATGTCCTTATACTGGACGATATGGATCTCGAATGGTCAGATCGCACGTTCTCTCGTTACTTCGACTGGTCTATGCTGAAAGAGCTGGCAATATTGCAATGCGATGGTACCGCGAACCTAATCAAGCGTCTGACCCAACACGTCATCCAGCACGGTGGCCAGCTTAAGAGATTCTACTATGTGTCATGCACAGACGAGCCTATCGACTCCAGCGTGGTTGAGGCGTTTCTGAGCTCAGTCGAAGGCTTGGCGGACTTGTCTCTGGTCGGCATCGACAACTTCTCCCTTCTCAACTTGGATGTCTTGGCCAGACACTGCAGCACCCTCAAGTGGCTTATGGTTCTTCCAGACGGCATCGGTAACACGGGCTGCATCGAGATGGGCATCGACTTGCGTTTCTTCTCCGTCGTCGCCAAATGCCAGAAGCTTCGGCAAGTCGCCCTCCCCCTTCCCAAGATCGACCTACCCAGAACACCGGACGGCTTCGCCCTCTCGTAAACCTTCAAGAAAGCTCTTACCACGCTTCTTGATCTGCCCGAACTCAAGTCTCTGCGTGTGTACAACCTGCCCCATCCCAAGGACAAGTTCATCCACTGCCACATGCACGATAGACACACCGACATCTTAAACATGCGCATGTACATGCAGGACTTGGACGACTTCGTCGTGTCATGTCTCACGCCGCTCTTCGCGCGTAGCAAAGCAGCCGTCCCCGGGCCGATCTTGTGCTTCCATGCCTTGGGGGATTGCTTCGTCTCTGATGGCGATCTCGAGATTGAAGTCACCGGGCCCGAGGTCTACGTGCTTTCCCGATTTCTCGATCCATTTGGTCAGACTCACCTTACTATGCGCAATACGCCACTGTCGGCGGTGCGGTACATGGAGCCGGAGAGCGAGATCTTGGGATGAGCGCGGGTCAACTTGCAGCTTTTGGTTTCGGTCGTGCGTGGGTTGGGATATTGCTTTGGAGTTTTGGGCTCGAGGGTCGATGGAAATGGTCTGGGAACGTACATGTGTCTATGAGAAGGCGTGGTCTCACAAGACCCTGTTGGGATCATCAGCTTTGCAGTTTGTTAGCTAAAGGATTGGGTTGTGTTTTCTGGTTCGGTTGGGCTCTGCGTTTACTGGCAGAAACTGAAAGCAAAAAGGCATGCGAGCGTATCACAAGAACTCTGAGGATCGAAGGTGTCTTCTCACATTCTGGAGATGCACTGCAATTAATGAAAAAACGAAATTTTTGCGGGACTAGATTTCATGTCATTGAAATGCCATCTCCATGCCTCCGTAGACTTGAGTCGCCCGAATGTCATGATCGTAGTCGAACAGTTTTGAGACTTTGTGACTGATATCCATGCAAGGCATCGTGTCACCGTAGATCATGCAGAAGCGTCTGTCTTTACGAAGTAGAACGTGGCTTCCATTGATGAGGCAAGCCACAACAATGAATCTCACAATTTACCCCCGCTCTTGTCTTGTTCGCGCAAAGAGCCGTAGCTCTCGGTTTGACTTTCTTTGATATGTACATAATGGCCATGAACCATGCTTGTCACTACTAATTTGCTGTAGCTAAGAAGTCTCCCTCTCAACAAGTCTGCCTCCTGCACTTCTTCCCGTGAGAGGACGCCTATCCCGTCACTACTGTCATCTACAATTTCGCCGGAAACGCGTATGCACATTTGATTCGATCTTCTTCTTACTCATTTTCGGGCAAGAAAGAGGCCTTGAGATATTCAATGGGACATTTGCAGGGTGACGACTCGGACCTGGTTCCGCCGTATCTTCACATGCTCGCTCAGCGGGGCCGCGCCGTCATGCTAGCTGCCGCTAGCGCGTTCGAACCCCGGCAAACGGGCGCGAGTGCTTGTCAACAGTCACTGCTGCCAGCTTTCCGCTCCTGCGTCGCCATCAACTTCGCACGACGCCCAAACATCGAGGAGTCGACTCAGAGTTGTACTGCATCTTCGCCGCCGACATGCCTTCCCTCGAGTCTCTGCCTGCAGAGCTCCTCCTTAATGTGGTGGAATACATTCCACGTCCTTCCGACCGCAAGTCGCTTTGTTTGGTCTGCAAACTGCTACGAGTACCCGCCACGACCCTGCTTTATCAGCGGGTTGTCCTCGACAATACGACACCCAAATGGACCTCTTTCAAGCCCGAGACTGGTATGCTATTCAAGACCAACCCAGGGCTTGGACAGATTCGCCACGTCACTTTCGATTCCATGAGCAAGAAAGTGTTGCCCGAAGAGGTCCAGGCCATGACCGCAGTGCTTCAGTCTTTGCCGAGGAACACACTGCGTTCGATGTAAGCGTGGAGACTTCAACCTTCTTACTTTTAAGATGTTCTGCCGCTAACACACTATTCGCAGAGACTGCCGAAGATTCGCGGTCGATGAGAAGATAGCATCTCTCGTGATTGCACAACAACGGAACCTCATCTCCCTAGCCCTCGGTCCTCTCACTTTCAACCTCACGCCCTTCATCAAGCTCGAGCTGTTCGGCCCGTCGACATTTGCCAATGTGACGACCTTGGAGGTACCGCTCATTATCGGCAGCCTCGACGACCTCGAGCTCTATCAGTGGTTCATAGCAAGAGCACCTTTGCGCCGACTTGCCATTCGAACTGAGCTCTCGTGCAACCCTTTGCCAGGAGGGTTATTCGATTCGAATGGCTCTGATGGATTGCTCTCGCGGACACTTTTCTCCCACCTCACGAATGATAGTACCGCACCACGAGCTCAGATCGAGGGCCTTGGAATGGAGTACACGAACTTGCAACAGGCCACAAGGACCTTCTCAAGATTTGTTGATTTCTCTCATCTTCGAAGCCTCGAGCTGTACGATTGCGCTGGCACCGACGTGTTCATTGATGCCATGGCCGGCCATTTCCAAGAGCATGGCGGCTGCAAGCTTGAACATTTCGCTTACTCTATCGTTGAGGAGGATCACATCAGCTACAAGGTTGTGGAGAAGGTCCTCCGTACCTGTGAAGGGTTGAAATCGCTCATGCTATTTGGGATTGACGACTTCGCTCATTTCGACCTCAAGCTGTTTCAAAAACATGGAAGCTCCCTACAAGCTCTAGCGCTGCAACCTGATGCTTCTGAGGATAGCGATTGCGAGGAAATGGGCTTGACCAAAGGTTTCTACTCAACAATCGCTGCACACTGCCAGAATCTGCGAGAGCTTGCATTACCTATGCCCGACGTCCAGTTTGGAATCGACGAACCAAGGGCTTCGCAGGACTTTGACTCGGCGATGCTGGCTCTCCTCGGTCTACCAGATCTCAAGAGCTTTCGTGTCTTCAACTGGCCAGTCCCTGCCAAAGCGTTTCCTGAAGACACGACAGATGACCCCTTGCTTCAACGAGATTATATGCTCGAGATGGACGATTTCGCCTACACACACCTTGCCAAGCTCGTCAACCAACGCGAGCAGACGCATTCTCCTCCTATTCTCTGCTTTGCCGGTTTGTCGGGTAACAAAGCCGTTTACGACAACGAAGAGCTTCAGCTACCTGGTCCGGTGTGCTACGTGCCTCTCAAGCAAGGCGATGGCTTCGCTAAGCCACAGATTGGACTTCAGAAGATGACCCTTTCTGACGTGGAGTATGTTGAGCCGGAAGTCAAGATTTTGCGCTGGCCGTTCACACTCCTCTGAGGGAGCAAGGTGGGGCTATTGGAAGTTATCCTTGGTGCTGCACTGGGACTGCGTTGCATACACTTCCACGTGAGGTACGAAAGATCCAGACAAGAATGCTGATTCAAGAGGGGAGGATTGTTTGGGTCTCTCGCGATTTTGGATGGAAGGCGAACTAAGTCATCTGCGAACGTTGACGGGCTACAGGTCCGCCGTGCGGTATGCTCGCAACAGGGCTGGAACTACTATCCTTCTTTTTTTACTTCATATGGAAGACCGCAAGTACTCGGCGCATGGCAGAGTGAGTATAATGATAGCTTTGTCTTTGTCTGTATTCGTTCCTTTGTGCGACCCGCCCTTCTCAACAGTTGCCGGGAATCTAAAGCGATGCAAGTGTGCACTCTACGCTTGCCGGCTTGAATCGTAGATGTGTGAAAGTGTACTGAATATCCCCAACTCGAGACAGTTTGACGGTAGAATGTATTGCTAAACATGGAAACGAGGGTTTTGGACGTCGGTGATCCCTTTGTCTAGACAGCCGGCAAGGCAAAGCTGTCGGTCTCCGCCATACATCATTTTGTTGTATCAGGCACCGTGGTTGTTGATCCTTTGTTTTTGTTTAAGTCACTTACTGCTTCTTTATCGTAGGCTATGACAAAATGAATTTTTTAAATCGTGTTCCCGCTTCATTGACTCTGGCGCTATATGATCCTCCCTTTCGCCCCTCAAAACCTTGCCTTACTGCAAGTTGGTTCTCCTGGACCTACTGCATACGTACTCGCGCTCAAGTAACTGCCTATACCTCTTTCTTTCTCATTTGCTATACTACAGCCAGCCAGCTAAATAAGAGATTTGTATGTCTACCAGTACGAATGGCGTACCACTGTGTGGTGCGGACCTGGCTCCGCGTCTTCACATGCGCGCTCAGCTAAGCGAGCCGTCACGCTAGCGCGCGCGGGTGCGGGCGAGTGACGGTCGAGGCGGACTACAAACTTCCGCCTTTTCAATCTTCTGCCCCGTCACCTTTCGATACATCCAAACCTCGACTCTCGACATTGGCGACGGTGTTCCAAAGCCTTCATCATCGCTCCCGTCTCTGCGATTGCTACCACTCCCATCTCGCTCGCGGCGGAGAAGTCGCCATGTCTTCCCGTCTGGAGTGTCTCCTGCCGGAGCTCCACCTCCACCTCATGAGCTTCATACCACGGCCGGCCGATCTCCAATCCCTCTGCCAAACAAGCAAGGCCCTTCGGGTACCTGCCACCACTGCGCTTTACCGACCAGTCAGCCTCAGTGCCGACATCCCTGGCTGGCGGCACGATGACGACGAGGTCGAGATTGCAATATTATCTGAGACGAATCTGGGTCTGCGGGACATTCGAGCATTGACACTCTGTTCTGGATACGAGGAACCAGCACAGAAGGAGAAGAAGGCTGCGGCGAGAGTATTGAAAGCGTTGCCGAAGAACATTCCTCGCGAGCTGTAAGCCCAACAACAATAGCAAGATGCCAATAGCGTTACACAAAGCTGACTAGTCCCCAGTGACTGCAATGGGCTCCTTATCGACGAAGAGACCGCCATGCTTGTGTTGACACGCCAAGAGAGATTGACGCATCTCGCCTTCGGCCCGCTCACATTCGACCTTGCGACTTTGTTCAAGTTCAATGTCGTAGGTCAAGCCCTTTGCAAGAACCTCAAGTCCCTGACAATTCCGGCTACGGTTGGCGGCATTCGCGACTTCGATGTGTATCAGCACATTATCGAGCATGCACCCCTGAACAACCTTACCATCAATACCACCGGTTTCTGCGACACCCCCGATCAGGACCTGACCAAGACAAAGGAAGGTTATGCCGAGATCGCGTCGATACTGTTCTCCCACACCAAGACCAACACTGCCACCAAGGCCATGTCACTCGAGAGCCTCGTCCTCAATGGCTTCGATCTTGAACGTGCGAGGTACATGTTGCGAGGCTACATCAACCTGTCACTCCTACAGAGTCTCATCCTCTACAACTGCCCTGGCGCGGGCAAGTTCATTCGAATCCTCACAACCCTCTTCAGGAAACACGGCAGCCAACTTCAGCGGTTTGAATTCACGCGCGAAGAGGGAGATAGTTTGGGCTCCAAGGCTACGGAAAACATCCTCGGCTATTTCAGTGGTCTGAAGCACTTGGTGCTGATCGGACTCGATGGCGCCAATGGCTACCAAGGACTCAGGATGGATGCGCTCAAGATGCACGGCGGCACGCTCGAGAAGCTGGTTCTTCACCCCGAGGGCACTGGCAACTTTGCCTCGAGCGAGATGGGTCTCAAGCGGGCTTTCTTTTCGGCGCTGTCAACGGCTTGTCCAGAGTTCCGTGAGCTAGCGCTCACGCTACCAATCATTCACATTCCGCAGTCCACCGAGGAAGAGGCTAAATCGTACGGAAGTGCGCTGCGCGACTTGCTCGATCTACCAGACCTCAAACTCCTCCGCATCCTCAACTGGCCTTGTCTCAAGCCGCACTTCTTCTCCATTCCTCCCGCAGATGACGAAGATGAGACCATCGACAAGCTGAACGAGAAAAGCCTGGATGTCGCAAATGGACGACTTTGTCCAAAACGGAATCGTCGAGATCTTCAACGACTACTTCGAGGGTCGCACGACGCCCGTGCTGGCTTTCAAGAGTTTGAAAGGTAACAGCATCTCGGATGGAGATCATACCATTACTCCAGACACGTCGGCTTGCTACATCCCAGTGCGGCAGAGGGATGTCTTTGGCAGGGCTCAGACTGCGTTGCAGAAAGTGAGCGAGAATGAGGTCCGGTACATTGAGCCGGAGTGTGAATTTCTTTCTAGTCCGGAATGAGGTCAAGATGAACGATGAGATAACAGTGTTGGGAGAAATGATGTTTGACCGAAACATCATGTACGAGAGAAGGATGGTGAGACTAAACAGAATGAGGATGTCAGGAATTGATTGCGAAAAGATCCCCACTACAGAAGACTGCTCAAATGTTTAACGCAGAACGCTGTAATCAAACGAAACTCATCAAGACTATCAGATCCGTTCTCTCTGTCTCGAGTAGAAGTGCATTCCGGTCGTGATGAGTCTTCATCGAACGCTCCTTCCCAAATCACATGCTGGCGTGCATGCCAAGGCACTAGTGAAATCGCGAGTCAGAGAAAGCGCAACCACTGACTTTCGTCTTGTTTCTCCCACCGCCATCCTCACTTCACCTCACTCCGACACATAGTGCTCTGCCATCAGCTTCTTCTACCGTCGAAGCCACCCGCATGGTCCCGCCATGGATTCGCCCAATGCCGCTCCGCACCTGCCACTAGAGCTGCTCTGCCGCATTGTCGGCTACACCCCTCGTCCATCCGATCTCAAGTTGCTATGCCTAGTATCGCGAGATTTTCGAGACGCTGCGACCCCGGCACTATACCGCAACGTCGTGCTTGACGAGAAGACGCCGCGTTGGCCGCGGCTCCGACTAGGACGCGGTCTCTTGAGCTTCGCCAATGCTGGTTTGGCACATGTGCGAGAGCTCACATGTCAATCATCCCAGCAAGGATACGTGAAGCTGCTCAAGAACCACAAAGACGAGCTTCAGTCTATTCAGATGTTGCTGCAGTTCTTACCCCGTCACCAACTTGCCCAAATGTGAGTCATGTCTATCTTACTTCCGTTGTGCGACATGCTGAAGTGTATCCAGCGACTTCAGCACCATACCACTTGATGCTGTCACCATTGCTACGCTTTTTGCCCAGCAGAACATGCTACAGAGTCTCGCTCTCGGGCCAATCGCCACCGGTCTCAATCAGCATCTCCAGCTTAATGTCTTCGGACCAAATCCATTCAACAGGCTTCGAGATCTGCACCTTCCCAGCCACTTGTGGAGCAGATCTGATCTAGATGCGTACAGTGTGATCATGAACAAAGCACCTCAAGTGTCACGCCTCTCGGTACACTCCAGTCACCTGGTCGAGGTCAACAGGCAACTCAGTCAGAGTGTCAGAGCAGACGAGAACCTCATATTCTCGAAGCTTTTTGCTCGGGACAAGGGCGATCTTCTACAGCATCGAAACAACCTACGGTCTCTGCACCTTGACCGTGTAGACGTTTCTGTTGGAGCGCACTTGCTTCCACAATACTTCGACTTGTGCAAGCTTCATGAGTTTCACTTGTCGGCCTGTACAGGTTGGTCATCTTTGCTCAAAGTGTTTACAGCGTGCTTCATAGAGAGTAACTACAGCCTTCGATCTTTCTGCTTGGACCTTGGAAGTGAAACAAAAAAGGATGCCGTCATTGAGAAGTTCCTGAGTTCCTTTGGAGGCCTAGAGACGCTCAGATATTCAGATCGATGTTTTGGGTACGAACCTCGCGAGTCTTTGCTGGATTTACAATGCCTCGACGGTCATTTATCCAGCCTCAAACAGCTCGCGATCGTGCCTGGTGGTGGTCGCATTGACGCGTCCCCGGAAGTGGGCCTGGCAGACGACTTCTTCGAGAAGATAAGCACCAGATGCACAAACCTCCGTCAACTCGGCGTCATCATGCCGTTCACTTCAACCACCGGCAATCACGAAGATAATAAGCGGTATGCAAGATCGCTACTCGAGCTTTTCAAACTGCGAAACCTGAGGGTCTTGCGGATTTTCAATTGGCCAGATACGTCGACACTTTCCACACCGACCTTGTCCGACCACTTGCTGGATCAGATAGCAGATGATGGACTTGCGGGAGAGCTGATTTCGGATTTGGACGACCAGATGGAAGAGCTGCGTTGCTCTATGGTTCTGCAACAAATTGACATCTTTGTGGCCGCATTGCTGCCACCAGCGTTTGGAGAACTGCAACTGACGCACGACTCTCCGCTCGTCTGTTTTGACGGATTAGGAGACAACAGGGTCTATGATGACGCAGGGCTGGTAATCAGCCCCGAAGCCGCCTGCTACGTGCCGGTAAGGCAGAGTGACATCTTTGGTCGAGCTCGCCTTATGGCGCGCAGGGTCTCGGTGATGGAGGCAAAGTACCTGGAGCCGGAGAATGAGATTCTGCAATGGCTGGCTGGGTGATGGTTGACCAAGATTGCACAACATACTTCCAAGGCATCCCATGTGGTCGATCATGGCTTTTGATCAGGGGGAATTTTGCTTCCGCTCTTTGCATTTGGCGGCAAGCGGGGAGCGTGAATGCTCAAAGCATATTCTTTGGAGGTTCGCTGAAGAATTTTTATATCATACACTTATCGAAAGTCTGCAGCTCAAGATGTGCTTCTATACTGGATGTACAAGATAAGACTAGAAGCATAGCACACGATACATGTTGCCCACCTGAATGAGATATCTTGCACAGTTCATCGCTTCCATCGGGGCTGCCCTTCGTATCCACAAGGTTCTTACGTGGAATGGCGACACTTTCAATATGGAATAATCGAGCGTTCTCGAAGACCCTGGTTCTGTGAAAGAGTAAGTGAATGTTCGGCAAATCTTCGGGAAAGCACGAGCCAGCACCACTGTCTGCTCCCTTGTCGTCATCTGTTGCCGTCGCAACATCACGAAAGTGACTGCATCTGATCTGCCTTTTTGCTTGGTGCCCAGCACTATCATCGATGCACCGCAACCAGAACACGAGCCACAAGAACTCAACCCTCCGCTCACAGGCTACCTCGAAAGCCCGGGGCTCTCGCAGTCTGTTGCGACTTTGACCTTCTGTACCCTGACAACACTCCAAAACAGACAATTAAGACCTACACCATGGTCTCAGCAAAGCTCGAGGTGCTCCATAACCGGAGAAAAGGCACCGCACGCATCGAGTACGCCATGTTCGAGCCTTTCTGGCGATTCCGCGATCCCACCGGCGAACCCATCCTCACGATCCGACTCCTGGACGTCCTGTACATCAAGGTCTCGGTATTACAGTCCGAGCGCATCAAGCTTGTCATTCGCACCAAGAAGCGACCCTACCTCTTCATTTCTACCAAAGTAGCCGACGCCAATTAGGATGCAGCACTTACGGATCTGAGAGCTGCGATTCGAGGCCAGTCTAAGAAGTTCCATGCTCCATTTTCGAGGGTCTTTCCGCCTATTGAGTACCTTCGAGGACTACTTTGCGACGAGCCGGCGGCCAAGAAGCAACCTCTCTCCTTATTCGACCTGCCTCAAGAGCTGCTGGACGTCATATTCGGTCTTGCGTATCCGGCCCAGGAAGGCTTGGTCATCAACGGCCGGGACGGCTGGCAATCGGAACAAAAGCAACAGAACCGATGCAACGGGACAGCAACTGCTTTACGAAAGCTCGTCCCAAAAGTCTGCGACTTCATGGTCTCGAAGAGGTTCCTCAAAGAGTCCGCCAAAGCTTGGGTTGGCAACCAGCACTTTCGCGACTGGGAGTTTCCAGGGAGTCTTCCAGCCACCTATCGCTTTTGTTCTTACGCAAGAGGGCAAAGGCGGATTTACTGACGAGTTACGTCACCCCCAGAGCATCAAGTTGGCGGCATCCTTCATTTGGCGGGTTGCCACGTTTCCGTCTCTGAAGGAGCTGAACTTGATGGTCAGCGAGCCTGCTTTTGAGTCCGTAGAGCCACAGTATCCATGGAAGGCCACACTTGGAGAGAAAGAGTTCAGGATCATCTTCGAAAAGTTTGGGCTCGGCCGATTGCGAGGGCTCAAGAAGTTCAGCTTGGTTGCTGGGGAGATCTACCGGAAGAGGACCAAGCTGGAGAAGCAGAAGTGGGAAGAGAACGTGGCGGCTTTGGAGACATACCAACTGCCTTTCGTGACCAAGCCTAGAATCTCGACGGTAACAAATGCGAAGTCGGGAAGTGCGCGTGGAGTGTCTTTGACGGACGAGGATGCTGCGGAAGTGGGTGACTCACCTGTTCCCGGCGTCTACATCGCCAAAGGGGGACTGATTCTCTTCCCCAGCAGCATGCAGCTCGAAAACCTCAAGACGACGCAGGCATTCATCACTCAGAATAGCAATGCTGTCATCTCTGCGATTTGGAAGAACCAAGTCAACGAAGACTTGGCAACTGAATTCGCCGCTTTGAAGATCTAGAGGTTCTTGATGCAGTGGAGTTCTTCAGTGCCAGAGGCTTTTGCAGGCTATGCTCATGGAGGCATGAGATTACGATAAGGACATGAAGAAGTTGCGAAGGGATTATGGTTTGTTGCACAGGAAGAATCTTTAATTTGGAGACTTTGGGAAGACTGGAAGCAGCGCAGAGTGAACCATCATTGTTACATGGGCTTCGAACGATGATTCAGCAGGACGAGAAGATGAGGTGGCAAGAGTGGGCATCATTGTCTCACATACACGTAGATATTCGTACTCGAATCATCATTATACTCATTGTCATCGTTCTTATTTCGTAATACCCTCCTGCGTACTCCTCTTATACCCCGGGAACTGCATCAACTGGCTGTCATCAATAGCTTGCAACTGCGGGCAAGCAAGCTGGCTGGTGACCTTGCCAATAGCATTCGTCAAAGTAGTCAACAAGTTCAGTGCCAAGTCGGGCTTGACCTGGGCAGCAAATTGGAAGGCGAAGCAGGCCGCATTATTACCCTTGGCCAAGTCGCCGGAGTTGATCACGCCGCCGGTGAGGTTTGCGGCGTTGATGCCGGCGAATGAGTCTTTCTTTCCGAGATTGCCGCCGATGTTGAGGAACTTTGGATAGAGCGCTGCTGCGTTGAGAAGACTAAGGGCACAAGGTCAGCAAACGTCAATGAGAGTGTTGTTCTGGCTTCACTTACTCTGCCTCGAAGTAGGGAATGGTGTAAGGATAGGCGTTCGCGCGCTTGTACTAAGCTCAAGTCAGCATGCTGAAGCATTCCATTCGTTGATGATACTTACCCAGTTGTCTGGGATCTTCTCTTGTCCCTGCTGTGCAACGTACGAGCCGGGCTGGCCAGTCATGCCGAACCACGTTGCAACAGTGCTGTAGCTCAGGTAGCCATACGGATGGTCCTCTGAGTGGTTGGCCATGAAGCGGTAGATGAAGGTGTAGCTGATGTAGAAGGTCAGTGATCGGTCAAGGACAGGGGCGGTGGCATGGAGCCGTTCAATTAACATACGCAGCAGGTTGAACCTGAACACCAGTGAAAGGTCCGTTAAAGAAGTAGGGGTTGTTCTTGATCTGCGTGTCGAACCGCACGGATCGGAAGGCAGTAAGGCTCTCGAGCGTGACTTCGCCATTGGGCGACATGTTGATGAGTTGTTCGAATTGCGAAGCGACGGCTTCGTAGTCGTTGCCGGTCTCGTAGAGATCAGGACGGCATGGCGATGCATCGCTCTCATACCTGCAAGCGGTATTAGCCAATTTGATCGAACTAACATTATCAAGAATGCACTCACTTGTTGTGCGAACCAGAGATACCATTGCCTTGGCCTGCTAGTGGTCCGCCAACACCTGGTCCAGGTGTCCCTCCGATCGACCAAGCGGTACCGTCACCGTCGATGACAGCACCAAAGACAGCGAGGAAGCCCGCAAGATCAACACCCATACCAACGACTTGTGTCGTGGCATCGATGAATTGCGTGATGGTTGCATAGCCGTTGTGCGGAAGGAAACCGTGGTTGGCGAAGGCGTTCAAACTGAAGAATGTTAGTCGACGACGACATGAATGTGACGGAATACGTTACCCCGGACAAGGGCCTCGAAGGTCATTTGGACCTGGTGCCACGTATTCGTGTCCACTGCCAGGGCCGATGTCGATATATTGCTGCTCAGCATCGAACAGAGGCGCTGGTTCGAAGATGAGTGTCGCCGCGCTGGCGCTTCCTTGTCGCTCTTGGAGGATGTGATCCGCTCGAGCTTTGAGCTGAGGATTGTTCTTGACTGCTTGTATCACACTGGCAGGGAAGGCCGCTGCAAGAGGCGCAACGCCAAGCAAAACTTGGGAGGTGTACTTCATGATGCTGCGAATGGTGGAGATCAAATATGAGAAGGATGCAGAGATGTCAACACAAAGGAGACTGCTCTCTTCATATACCTCTTCTTTGCTTGGAAGAGTACTTGCGAAGTGCGCTCGCACGCCCAGCAACTTGATTCTGGATCGGCATTTCCATAGTACTGTATGCTGCTGGGCAAAGATACCTCCCAAGCCGTATACACATCCGAAAAGGGCCTTCCATGGCTTGCCACAGGCGATCGCACATACGTGGCGGGCTTGCATACATGCGGGCGGCAAAGAGAGGTCTGGCGTGGGTGGCAGAAATGCAACAAGACATGTGGTCTGCAACGCGAAGATCTTGTCCAGAAAAGGCAGTCGGAAACCTACAGGCGAACACATACTTAAGCTTGTTTCTTAAGCTTCCCCATTAATCCGGGGTCACGAACGCCCCTAGGTGAGGGGTTTGACAAATATTGGCGGCCTGATTGGAATACCTCTCCGTGTCGCGGTGCCCAGTTCGAGAAACAGACGAGACGACTTCCGATTGCAGCAATGATCCTCGGCATGTCGATTCACGTTCGTTGCGGCTTCTTCGCCCGGGTAGCTGCCAACAGCGAGAGCGCCTCGTCTCGGAACATTTGGCGAAAAGCATGCAAACCAATGTGCGACCTGTTCTTCGATCACTCATCAGGCCCGTCCGTAGACCGCGGATGATGGTGGGCGCCACCTAGGAGGAGCTATCCCAAGGCGTCTTGACCGACTTTGGCCATGTGAAGAGGTTGCTGAGATGCGGCCGCACTGACTGGTCCACCAGCACACGAATGCCATGATAAGCTTGGTGGTAGACTCTGGGAGTCAACGTCATCATTTTCCGGTCAACTTATCGCCTGAAGATGCGATATCCAGAAAGTTTGGCCACGTCATCCTGCAGCATCGAAAGTGCTCCTCGGAGGGACCAGATCATGATGCATGGAGTGTTTCTGGGACTCTGAAGTAGTTCTGCGGGAGCACCTAGTCACATGGTCGACTGCGCTACTGTGGAAATACAGAACCTTGTCTGTACGGGTGCAAGTCCTTTCTTGTAGCATCGGCCGTTTGTCCGGTCCTTCGACATGTTGAGTCCAGCAAACGAAGTCTTTCCTGGTATGGGTATACCTCATGAACATCGCCGAGGCTGGGTTCTCTGCAGACGATGGAGTTTTGTTTCCTTATTAGTATCAGTTTGCATGTTGTTACAGTATTCTCCTGCTGCGAGATCCTGTCGAGCTGGTCACGCTCTCGAACACCGACGAGCTTGTCTGGTCGCGCATGCTTCGCTGAAGGTCACTGCCATATAAGATGGGCATGGTATCTCTGAAAGACCGCAATGTTCTGAAACGATGGAAGACAAAGAGATGATGTCCCGAGGTCGTTGAGAACGTGAACCCATCAACAAGTGTCAGCAGGAAGCCCCACTTTTTTTCGGACCTCACGTCTCGAATTTCAGGTGCGCGTCACACTCAGCATCTTCCACCATGACCATGGAAAGTACACGTCCAAACACCATCTACGACGACATTGACACGCGGCAATGGTCAACAAACCGCACGCGCCGCGTCAGGCCAACAAGGCCGTCAAGAAACCCGCCACCAACGCGGCCACCCTGAACGACGAAGATACCAGCTATATTGTGTTTGGAGACGACAAAAAGAGCAAGAAAGGGAAACAACCCGCTCAAGATACCAGCAATCCCAAGCAAACTGAAGTCAAGAGTAAGACACCGACTGTTCCAAACGGCACGCAGCCAGAGGCGGAGAAGAAGCCAGACACACGAACATTGATCGCGGGCTCGTCATGGACCGGAAAACTGCCTATGACGCTGTTCAATGAGCATTGTCAGAAGCAAAGATGGGACAAGCCCGAGTATACCATCCATCGGAATGGCAAAGGCTTCACAGGCGGCGTGGTCATTCGACAGAAGAATCCCAAGACACAAGAGGTCACGACTCTTCCACCCATCGTACCGCCGGCAGACTATCTGAAAGAGCGTGGGACTCAAGAGAGTGCAGTCGAAGCCAGGCATTTCGCAGCTGCATATGCGCTCTTTCGAGTTAGCAACATGAAGAACATTCATATGATGCTTCCCCCTCAGTATCGCGACCTCTGGAAAGGAGACTTTCAGGATCTCAAGAGCGAAGCAGTCGCCCAAGGTGTGGGGTACCTGTACGAGGCAGATCCATTTCTGGCCAAGAAACAGCGCGACGAGGCTATGGTCGCGAAAGAGAAGGCCAGAGTGGACAAGGTGAAGCAGCAAGCTGAGGACAAGAAATCTGAAGTTGTTAGTCTTGATGGCCAAGTACAGAGCAAGCACGTTTTGAAGGGTTGGATGCGTGTGCCAAAAGTGGAGATGGGTGTCCGGACACGACGGGATGTCGAGCGCTTGATACGACAGGGCGGTGCTTGGAATCCCCACGGCGTGGTCATGAAAGCCGTGGAACGGAAAGCCATCGTAGATGATTTGTCTAACATTGGTTTTCGGAGGAGCCATGTCGAAGAAGCGACCGAGCTATGCAAGGATCGCGAAGAAACCTTGGAATGGTTGCTCATCCACGTACCTGAAGACGATCTGCCGAAGTGGTGTCTGCCAGACAACTATCTTGCTGGGGTCAGCTTAGCCAGTGGCGACATGAAACGCGAGGGCAAGCTCAAACGGCTCTCAGCTGCTGGGTACCCACTTGAAGTTTGCAGTGACGCTCTTGATGCTTCTGCCGGAGATGAAGCATGTGCAGCGGAAGTGTTGCAGGCCAAGCTCCTGGACACCGTTGCTCCATTTCCGGACGACAAAGCGAACAACTTCGAGGCTTGGGACGAAGAGCAGGCAACTTTGGAGGCTATCTTTGGCGATCGATACACCAACCACGATCGGTTATGCTGCATAAAGCTCGATCTTCAGACGCCCTCAAAGAAGCCCATCACTCTGAAAGCTCGCCCGCCACCTTTCTGGTACCCAGAAAATGTGCCTACAATATTCGTCGAGGCTGATTTACCTGCATATGTTCGGCTCAGTATCCTTAAGCAAGTCCTGACGACTGCAAAGAATGAGTATTTGGGTGAACAGATGCTCTTCAGTATGGTCGACTGGTTGGAACAGAATATCCCTCGCGTCATAGATCATCCTGGTAGACTAAGCGACGTGGCCTCCGTCGCATCAGCTCCCAGCAGATCAAGCGCTTTGCACTCAAGAGGAAATAAACAGCACAGAAAGCCCGAGCCCATCAATTGGGTCAGTCTGGACAGCAGGAGTCAACAGCTACTAAACGACTGGCAAGCCAAGCAATCAACCCCTAGCCAACAGCAGATGCTGAAGGCTCGACAGAACCTTCCTGCCTGGAAGCTACAAGACGACATAATCTCTTCTGTCACCAACAACCAGGTCACCATCATCTCTGGAGAGACTGGATCTGGAAAATCTACGCAATCAGTGCAGTTCGTTCTGGACGACCTCATTAAGCGATCGTTCGGACAGCAAGTCAATATCATTTGCACCCAGCCTCGAAGAATCTCTGCGCTAGGCCTTGCAGATCGCGTTGCGGACGAGCGGTGCGGCAAGGTAGGCGATGAAGTCGGCTATGCCATTCGAGGCGAGTCGAAGCAGAAGCCAGGCGTGACGAAGATCACATTTGTCACGACTGGTGTTCTGCTCCGTCGATTGCAGACATCAGGCGGAAGTACTGAAGATGTCGTGCGAAGTCTCGCCGATGTCAGCCATGTCGTCATTGACGAAGTTCACGAACGAAGTCTAGACACTGACTTCTTGCTCGTACTCTTGCGAGATGTGCTCAAGAAACGCAAAGACCTCAGGCTTGTGCTTATGAGTGCCACTCTCGATGCTGACATGTTCGAGAACTACTTCAGAGGGAGTTCGAGCGTCGGCAAAGTGGAGATCGAAGGGCGTACACATCCAGTCCAAGATATCTATCTGGATGAAATCGTCCAATGGACCGGATTTGGTTCAGCTGAAGCCGATGATTCAGACGCAGATTTTGATCATCACGGGAACACTGGATCAGGAACATCAACTCCGCAGCAAGCACCGCAGCCAAACATTGGCAACGCTCTGCGAGCAGTTGGCACGAGGATCAATTACGACCTCATAGCGCGGACTGTTGATTACATTGACCATAAGCTTGGTAATGTGGATGGAGGCATTCTCATCTTCCTCCCTGGTGTTGCTGAGATCGATCAGACTCTACGGGCTCTTAGAAACGTGCCAAAGTTGCATGCTCTGCCTTTGCATGCTTCGCTCCAGAGCTCAGAGCAACGACGTGTCTTCCCAAGACCTCCACCTGGGCTGCGCAAGGTCATCGCTGCGACGAATGTCGCTGAGACATCGATCACCATTGAGGATATCGTCGCCGTTATCGATACGGGCCGCGTCAAGGAAACCAGCTTTGACCCAGCGAACAACATGGTGAAGCTGGCCGAGGTGTGGGCTTCCCGTGCAGCTTGCAAACAGCGAAGAGGTCGTGCCGGACGTGTTCGGGCTGGTGAATGCTACAAGCTCTACACTCGATCTGCCGAAGCCAAAATGGCTGAGAGACCAGAGCCAGAGATCCGAAGAGTGCCGTTGGAACAGTTGTGCCTATCTGTTCGTGCGATGGGAGTTGCTGACGTTCCAAGCTTCCTCGCATCGGCGCTCACACCGCCAGAGAGCCTGGCCGTGGAAGGTGCGCTGAAGTTGCTCGCGAGAGTCGGTGCCTTGGACAACGCAGACCTCACCGCCTTAGGACAGCATCTTTCGATGATACCAGCTGACCTTCGGTGCGGCAAGCTCATGGTCTACGGCGCTGCATTTGGGTGCTTTGAGGCTTGTGTCACAATCGCAGCAATCCTGACAGTCAAAAGCCCATTCGTGAGCCCGCAGGCCAAGCGTGAGGAGTCAAAATCTGCAAGGGCATCGTTTGGAGATGGCCAAGGAGATCTCATCTGCGACCTGCGTGCCTATGAGGAGTGGACAGGGAGAAGATCGGCGGGTGAGCCGACGTCGTCACTCCGCCGCTGGTGTGACGAGAATTTCTTGAACCACCAGACTCTCATGGACATCTCTACGAACCGGACGCAATACATCTCTTCACTTCAAGAGATCGGTTTCATTCCGACAGGCTACAGGTTCGAGTCACCTGCGGCTCAGGTCCTTAATCGCCACAACACCAGCGACATATTGCTCAGAGCCTTGGTTGCCGGTTCTTTCCAGCCACAAGTGGCTCGCATTGAGTTACCGGACAAGAAGTATGTCGCATCTTCATCTGGAGCTGTGGAGATGGACCCCGAAGCGCGAACAATCAAGTACTTCAACGAAGAGAATGGCCGAGTCTTCGTCCACCCCAGTTCAACGCTGTTCGATGCACAAGGCTTCCCGGGAAACAGCGTCTACATGAGCTACTTCACAAAAATGGCCACCAGCAAGGTCTTCATTCGCGATCTGACGCCCTTCAATGTCTACAGCTTGCTCATGTTCTCTGGGCCAATAACGATCGACCCTCAAGGCCGTGGACTGCTCGTCGATGGGTGGATAAGACTCAGAGGATGGGCCAGAATTGGAGTGCTGGTCAGCCGCATGCGCATGATGCTCGACGAGCTGCTAGCCAAGAAGCTGGACAACCCAGGGCTCGAAATGGGCGAAAGCGAGGTGGTGAAAGTGGTCAGGAAGATGGTGGAGCTGGATGGCCTCGATCGATGAAAGCGTGCAGTCTCGTCGCTCTGTTCGACATCATCGACTCGCGTGCTTCATGTCGAGTCGTTGCTTCAATGACCGTGACGAGTGATACGCGCGACGGTATGAGTTGTAAAAGGATAAAAGTTGAGACCCGCAGAGCGTGCGGGGATACTGTACCACTTCACACCTGCCCGAGGTGATCCTTTGAACAAGGATAATTTGTGACATCTCATGTGCTCAAGGTAAGGTGGACTTCATCGTATCTCATTCTCGTTCATTCAGAGGCGTGCAGGACTACCGGGGAAAAGACAAGATGACGCACGTAGCAGTATCTGAAGAGAGGATCTTCCACCACCCAACTCATCGACACATAGATTTGCCCCCTCTAGATCTGTTGACAATTTTGTTTGGTGAGGCGATCAGATCGAATCAGCACGTTGCAGGTAACTGACATCCTCAGATTCCGAACATTGCGCAGCACAAGAAGATACAGTCCTCCACATCGAAGCATCTAACCCGTCCAACAAACTCACCAAAGCCGCCCTTCGAGATCTTTTCCAACAAATAGGTCACGGCCTGAGAAGTCAGTATGGCATTGGTGCGGACGGCCCTAATCAGCACACGGTTACTGTCATCACCTACGGCCAAATCCTCGTCCCTGCCTTGCTCTTCGGAATCATCTGCGCTGGAGGCGTCTACTCGGCTGCAAGCCCTTCCTCCACCGTAAGCGAGCTTGCACGGCAAGTCAAGATCGCCAAGTCGAAGGTCATAGTATGCGGTAAGGAGCACGTGGATGTGGCGAGGAGGGCTGCAGTAGAGTGTGGACTGCCTTTGGAGAATGTACTTTTGCTGGATTCGACTGAAGGAAGCTGGAAGTTGGAGAGTGTAGAGGGGAGAGTTAATGCTATCTCGCGGGAGAAGCTTCCTTGGAAGAGGTTGACTCACCCGCTCGAGCTGAAACGAAGTTTGATCGTCATCCTCTGGAGTTCCGGCACGACCGGGCTGCCCAAGGGAGTCATGCTAAGTCACACGAATCTGGTCGCGGAGTCTTACCTGGTTGCCCTCCCGGGTCGAGAGTACGTCGCCAGAGAGATGGAGAAAGGAACCTACGAACCCAAAGAATACACCACCCTGGCCCATCTCCCCATCAGCCACATCGCCGGCCTGTTCGGCTACCTCATCGGACCCATCTACTCCGCAGGAACAGTCTACTGGATGCGGAAGTACGAATGGAAAGAACTGCTAAATAACTTACAAAAGTTCAAGATCACGATGTTCTACACCGTGCCCAGTATCTGGTTGCGAATCTCCAAGGCCGAGGAGGTGAGAACCGGCGGGGAGCATTTCAAATTCCTCGAAGGAGCGAGCACGGGCGCGGCGCCTATGGATTCCAAGTTGCAGCATGCGGCGAATGCGAGGCTGGGGGATGGGAAGAGCGTTTTTGTTGGGCAAACTTGGGGGTTATCTGAGACAACGGGTGCCGTTACGGCTCCATTGAAGGAGGCGCCGGATAACACCGGGTCGATAGGCTGGATCTTGCCGAGCGTGGAATTGAGAATCGTGGATGAGCAGTATAAAGACGTGAAGCCTGGTGAGGAAGGAGAGTTACTCGTGAGAAGTTCCTTGGTCACGAATGGGTATTATGAGAATGAGGAGGCGACGAAGGGGACGTTTGTGGGTGGGTGGTTTTGCACGGGGGATATCGGGGTGTTGAGGGAAGATAAGTTTTATGTTGTTGACCGGAAGAAGGTAACCATTCATATCCCCTAGTCTGCTTGAAAGATGCTGACGGTGATCGTGCAGGAACTACTTAAATACAAAGGCCTCCAAGTCGCCCCGGCGGAACTCGAAAACGTCCTCTTCACCCACCCGCAGATCCGCGAAGCCGCCGTTGTAGGCATCCCGGCGCCCGACGATCCCGGCACCGATTTGCCTCGAGCGTACGTCGTGCCTGTCGACAGAAGTAAGATCTCCGAGGACGAAGTCAAGGAGTATGTGAAGGCGAGGTTAGCACCTTACAAGCAGTTGAGAGGAGGGGTCGCGTTTATCGAAGAGATCCCGAAGAATGCTATTGGGAAGTTTCTGAGGAGGGAGTTGAGAGAGAGGGCGAAGAAGGAGGTGAGGGCGGCGAAGCTGTAGCAGCGTCGATTGAATGAGTCTGGTGTTGACCGATAAGGAATACAAACCACGTACTTTGTGCGACCATTTACTGTCTCGCCCCTTGCATCGTTACACCACAATATCTCGCTTGGAACCCCATGAACGTCATGTGAAGTCATATGTTGTCTCAAGTACATGTGTACCCCTGGCCACAACAGGTCACCACAAAGTCTCACAACACTTTACAAAACGCACTGCACTGCAATTCCAGATCCGGACCCAAAACCAACTGCAAACCCAATTACAAGCCCATAGCCCAATGGAGAACCCACCTCAACTCTGCGCCACCATGCAATCAGTGGGCGCCTCGTCCACGATCGAACTCTCAGTTGTCTCGCATCCAGGCATCCGCAAAACTCACTACGCCTGTATCCAATGGCGCCTCAGATTCGCTGTCGAAGTCGTTGCAAGGCTGGGTACAAGGCTCTGATAAGGGAAATCAGAAACGGGTGAAGCCGTGAGATGCTTAATGATGAGTGTTAGAGAAACTAGTGGCAACCTCAATGTCTTCCAGACAATGTCCAAACAATTACGGCCGGGCGTCAATGTTTCAATTCCGGTGGTTGCGGAAGGGGTTCGATGTACAATAGCCCATCTCAGGATCTTGAGAGCTGTAAAGCAGGGAACGTGTGAGGACCACCGGGTGAGTCTGGAGTCGCAACGATAGTTCAGCCGATTTGAAAGAGGTGGACAAAGTTCGCATGAAATTAACTTGTACTGGAAGTGTGCCTGTATTCTATATTGAGACTCTTCGACGCTGTCTTGCCTTCCGCGACGCTCAGAGCCACTGCATGAGATGGACCACCGTTTTACGCATTCTTGATGGCGCTCAGCACGTTTGACATCGACATGGCAGCATAGGTCGCATTCGAAGCAAACATCTGGAATCCATGGGGCTGACCAGGGTAGATATGCAGCTCGACTGGCACTGCAGCCTCCAACAACCGGGTTGCAAACTTCATGTCCTCGTACACGAAGATGTCAAGCTGACCGCACTCAATATAGGTCGGGGGCAAGCCCGCCACGCTCTCTGCACGAGCAGGAGCAGCATACTCTGACACAGCCTTGGGATCTGAGCTGCCGGCCTTGTCGCCAACAAGAGCCTCCCATCCCGTCTGATTATCTCTGACAGACCACACGGCCTTCGAGAACTCCTCAAGTTCTGGCATTGGCTTGATTGTGCGGTCATCCAGCATGGGGAAGATAAGGATCTGCTTGCGAAGCGGCGGACTTAGCTTCTTGTCCCGGGCCAGTAGAGCCGTGGCAGCTATACCGCTTGATTAGCAATAAAGTCAGCGAAACTCGGAGACGTAGCCTCACCTGCCAAGCCTCCACCTGCAGACTCGCCCATGAGCACGATGCTGGCCGGGTCAACGCCCAAGCTGGCGGCGTTTTTCGACAGCCATTGCAGACCGGCGTAGCAGTCATTCACGGGAATGGGATGTTTGTGTTCCGGCGCAAGTCGATAGCCGACCATGAAAGTTGGAATGCCCGTTTCGAGGACCCGTTGCTTGACCAATCCCTGGAACATATCAATGCTGCCCATGATCATGCCTCCTCCGTGGATGTAGTAGACGGCCTTGGAGCCTGAGGAAGTGGAGGCCTTTGAGGAACGGAACTCCGCCACTGTGATGTCGGCGCCGTCTTCAATCCGAATCGTGTGGTCTTTGCGAGTGACTTCTGCGATTTCTGGAAATCGTCCGGCCAGGTTTTTAACCATCTCTGCTGTGGCTTGACGTCTGCCTGCGACGTCGCCGACTGGCAGTTGCGGTTTCGCTGCTAGTGCCTCTGCCATTGGTGCGAGGGCCAGGACGAGCTCTGGGTCGAGTTGGAGCGCCATCTTGATTGACTCGTTGTGGCTGAAAACTTCGGATGGTGTTCGTACAAGTGGTTGCCGCCGATTTGAGGGATGACAAGGTGCGGAGGGAGAGAATCTTGAGATGAACCACCAGAACCAAAACGTATGTCTTTATATTTACAAGCAAGAGCTTATTCAAGCGTTCAAAGGCGAAGGATCCGGCTCCTTCCTGCCCCAGCTAAGTTATGCTCCGGTCTCTAGCTGCACAACAAAAAGCGTCTATAGTGGCATTTTCCTCCATATCTTGGGAAGTTGGAGCGCCCGGGACTTCGATACGCCGCCCTTGCGACACACTGACGCATGGATACAGCCCTACGCATTCTTTGCCATCTTGCTTTAGTCATCGCTCTCCTCGTATTGTGCTCCGGTCGCCGTCTCCGGCATTGAGGCTCTGCAGTCTCGAACTCTAAATCTTGGTTTCGTAAGCAACGTGAGACGAAACACCGAGTTCCCACGCGTATCGAGGGCAGTTAAAGCAGAGCTAAGGTCAAAGCGGTGCAATGTAGATAAACAGGGTCATTGGTGGTAGGCCGAAACCCCAAGTGCAAGAGGATCGAAAGGAGATTCCGGTCTTTCAGAAGGTCCAAGGCGTCCAGCCGGGAAAAGTCTGTTGCCATGGAGCTCTGGCTGTCGCGCTTGATTGATGACGACTCCGGAGAGAGCGAGCGGTTCGCTGCTGGGATGATCGTGACCAATGCCATGTCGAAGTTGTATATGGATGCAAAAATGAGCCTGTCGTCGCGGTGTGGCGTGGCGTGACGCTGATTGGTGCTGGGCAAAGCGCAGCGCGATGCGAAGGCCAGTCGCACTCGCGTCCTCGGTGGCTTTTATTTTCTGCATTCCTCATCATCGCGAATCAATGAGCTTGACATGACAATTTCTCATGTGCCAATGGACAAATGCGCGTACTGGTGCGTACAACTTGACGGACTGGTCAGGCAGAGCCATCGAAAGGTCGCGGGCTGATGGGCAACAGGAACCGCAGAGGTCATTCTCCAGCCTCTTCAACCAAGAATTAAACCCTTACCGTCTGCACTTACCACCTCTAGATTCATGCGGCTAGATGGATAGATAAGCTGCCACGATTGAGACCGAGTCGATTCTCCTGGATGCCACAATGCTTTGTCTCTGTGCAGCAATGCTGAAGCCGCGCTGGACATTCTTGCTACAAGAAATTATTTGACCTCAGGCAGCCAACGACACTATCCAATCTGTAGCTGCCTGAGCGTACTTCTCGACCGTGGCATAATGGACGTCGAGGTCGAAGTCGCTGGAGCAGAATGGATCACCTTCATCGCAGTAACTCCTCAAGACATTCGACCACGTATTCAGGGCGGCCAAGCTGCTGTCTCGCGCGAAGATGCCATCGCTGGTGGAGTCGCCAGCGCTCACAGGTTGGCCAGCATTGAATCGAGGGTCGCCGAAGACTGCAGCGCCAACGACTGAGAACAATTAGCGAGAGCTTGTGTACGAAAGGCGAATGGTCTTACTGTTTGCTCTATACTCCTCGCCAATCGGATCTGGTTTCCCAGTACCGCCTGCCAGGGTATCGGTTACGACGTTTCCGCCCTGTAAGTACGTCAGAAACGAGATCGAATTGAAGATTTCGACTTTGAGGTCGAGAATTACCTGAGAATAACCAAGCAGGGCAATCCTGCTCGAGGCGCCACAAGCAGCAACGTAATCCTGGATCTTCGCTTTCGTGTCTTCGATGCCATCGACGACGGAGGTGAAGTAGTTATCGTCAAAGTCGATGATAACCGCAGGATAGTCGACTGCTACACTGTACGAGTCTGCGACAAGCGCTTCGATCATGTTCGCGACCTCGCCGGGTGAGCCTTCTCCAATGGCCTGGTTAGAGCCGCGAGCGACGATGATGTATAAGCCTGATGCGCATGTTATCTGGCGAGGGGCAAGAGGAGCAGCCGTAGAAAGAGTTGCCAAGAAAAGCGACAGAAGCCCTGAGGAGAGCATGTTGACTTGTCACTTGTCAAAGTGCTTGCCGCCCTGAAAGAAAAGCGAGTGTGTAGTCGACGCCGACGTTGCGATGCGAATCACAAGGACGAGGTGAAGTGCTTCAGCGTTTCTTATGTACAGGCAAATGCTGGCACCTCTCGTAACGACCGGGATTAAGCCATCGTATTACGCGAGTACCAAGACACCAGCGTCGACCAATGTCACTCGCAGGAGTCGCAGCATACATCAGTTTTGTCCCTCGGCGTCATTCCCTTCCACATATCAACGCACGTTTCGAAGCCCTGCACTTACAAAAAATGGCAGGTCGCAACGGAGAACACATTGCAAACTGGTTTGGCGACGCTGCAGCTGCGAAAGCTACCCTGGTTACACGGCTTGGTATTCGCTTGGGCCTGTCGATCAATTTCTAGGCACGAGTGAATCTCATTTGTGGACCACTCGCTGCTGCATCCGGCAGCTGTCGTTCCCTTGGATCTTGGCTACTTGTATGCAGGTCCGGCTGCATAGCTTTTCCTGGACTGCGGTCCGGTTTGGTATATTGTACTGCATGGTCATGTGGTTCTACTCGGATGGAAAGGCGTGTCATTCGGACTTGAGGGGAAAGTTCGGTTGTTGAGGCTGGCAATTCTCTTCCTCGTTGATTTTGAACATTGACAAGACTCCAGACACCTGATTAACAACCCTTGTCAAAGCCAAAATCTCATGCTACGGTGTCGACGGCAATGACTGTACCCGAATCCACTCAATTGCGTTGACAGAAACCACAAGACTCCAAGAGCTCTGCAAATACAAACTCAATCCAAACGCCAATCATGATGCTTACCAATGGACACCGTAGTCATCTATGAAGATTTCAAAAATGCAATTGTGCTTCTGCCTGGAACTGCTCATACCAATTCTCCGGATACAACAGGAAGTAAGCAACACGATCAACAGACTCCTTGAGCTGGTCGCGGTCGACCCAGAGGAGATCAGGATCATAAAAGGCGTAGCTCTCCCACACCTCCACGTACTGGGTGAAGTTCGTGTTGCCATGCGGAATGACCTGGACCTCATAGCCGGGCACGACTTGAGAAAGACCGATGAACCATGTTGGGGAAATGAAGTCAGCTCAACAAAGGAGTTGGGGACGTGCGCAGTGTTGACGAACCTGTGAAGCTGCCACCGGGCTTCATTCCGTCCATGATGGCTTTCATGTCATCGTCGAAGCAGACGCCGGGTACTGGCCTGTCGAGGACGTAGGGTGTGGAGTCGTCACGTTTGGGGTGACCTTCAGATTTCTCCGCTGGTATCTCGTGGAGTGGCTGGCTGCGTTTGTGAGAAGGCGTGGAGTAGATGCCAACTCCAACGATGGTGCCGTTCTGACATGCTGTTCCTGCTGCCACGTCTCGCCAGACGTACTTGCTCCAGTTGCAGACTCCGAATACAGAAGAGTCATTCACGTCGCAAACGAGCTCGCCATTGACAGAGCACGACTCTCCCTGTGGGCTACCAGATCCCGAAGGCGCCGGTGCGGCTGACTTGGAACTAGCTGTCGTCGTCGTGATAGACGATGACATAGGAGTTGGAGATGTGGACAGCGTGGTTGGGGACGTCGGCTGAGCCTGCGATGTCGTTGAAATAGACGTCGAGATGGCAGACGTATTCGAAGCGAACATGGTCGCGAGACTGCTCGTGACAGTGCTCGTAGGTCTATCCGGGGCATTCGAGCACACCTGCTTGTTGTAAACCAGATCGACGACTTTCTTGAAAAGCGGATCCGCCAAATAGAGATTGCGGCGACCGTCGATCGCAACAGACATTCGAGCTTCATTCGTGTGGGTGAAAGTGGTCCATTGGCCTGAGATGGTGGCGCTGATGACCTCGGTGGTGATTGTCTCCGGTAGTGGTTGGGTAGAGGAAGGGGAAGTGGTTGCGGAGGTAGAGGTAAGAGGCGTGGTTTGCTGGGCGAATGGCGAAGCCAAGATTGCCACGGGGCCGGCGAGCAATAGACAAGCTGCTTTGTGATACACCATTCTGTGTAAGAAGTCTGGAAGTCCTAAGTTGATTTGGTGCTGTTCGACTTGCCAGTGGGAGGTTGTCTCTTGAGTATCTATATAGTTGACAGTACACTTACCAACATGCCAAAAACTTCACACTGCCTCAACAGCATTTCTCAAAGTCATCTGTCGGTGATTCTATCCAAGCAGCTCACGAGAGTGCTCGCCCTGACCAGACCTTGCTCAAGGCTGTGGCGGAGGCGAGGTAAGAAATACATACCAACATCTATACAAACAGCATGTAAAAGCGCAAAGAAACAACGATTTCCTGATGGAATAGTTGCTCGTCTGTGTAATGCTAACGTCCAGAATGTGGCTTCGAATAGGTCCAGCTGAAAGGAAGCAATGCACGAATCCAGTTGTCGCTCAGCCTTGCGTGGGTACTGCATTCCAAATTGAGGCAGGTGTGGATTGCGTTACTATTATCTCTACCACTACCAAGAAATTGCAAAATCAAGAGTCGAGTCTGGACCTTTCTAGGAGGCAACAAGCAAATTTGTGTCCACAGACCTCGTCGACTACCGTGGTTCCTTCAAAGGCATTCGGCCAAAGACAACCTTATGCCGCTCATATCGTGGCGCCCAGACTCTGAGCGCTGCGCAGGTCTGCAGCATTACTTTCATTTGCAAGGCCGTTTACGATCTCCCTCCAGCAACTACAATCTTCCATCCTTACTCAACTCAATGCAGTCACAAGCCCAACAACACCACCCAGCCCAAGCCCAACAGCCCGCAAGAGATTCTGTCTACCAAACTTATCCAGCATTTCCCAGACTTTGCGGTCTTCAGCCTCACCAGACGAACTCTCCGTCTTCGATTGCGGTCCACTGAGATCAGTAAACTCGTTCCCCTCGCCCTTACTATAAACAGAGTCCTCTGCACTGCGGTCGCCCGGTCGATAGCCCTGCTCACGCATCGTCCTGGCGCTGTTGGCGCTGCGAGCCCCGCCTTTCTCCTCGTTCTTCTTGATCAGTGCGAAGTTGTTCGGGATCATGAACCAAGCCGTGTAGATTGCGATGCTGAATGACAGCACTGATGCAGCCAAGTAGCCGTTGACTTTCAACCCATTGGCGGTTTTGAAGAGCTGGGTGAAGGTGCGTAGATCTTGGGGGATGTATGTGTATGCCAGATAGAGGAAGCCTGCGGTCGAGGTGTTCTATGCTGGAATCAGTCTAGGGAATGCAAAGCATGTATAGCGGTACTCACGATAGCCACCGGGAAGGTGTGAGAGCCCCGACTGAATATCCACCTGATGGCGGGTAGTGACCGGTCCGCTGGCTGGGCTTTCAACTGGGGAACATTGTAGAGTGATAGTGCGGCAATCCCGCCAGCTCCTAGCAAGGCTGACGAGATGCTGATGATCTGAGCAATCTTGGTAGTGGTAGACATTTGGAAGTTGTTGTTCCGTTGCTCACAGAGGTGAGTCGAGCGGCGGTTTGAGTTGTAATGCGATTTTCAGAGTTGAGGAAAAACTTTTGATCATAACGGTATCTCTGAGGTCGGACCAATGCGGTGTATATGCCGTGATGGCGAAAGCACCTACAGTCAAGGAACGGTCTTTCGGGAACTTCCAAGACTTCGGGATAAAGGGGCTTTGGTGACGTCGATCTGACGAGTACAAATTCTTGTGTAGCCAGCTCGCCAGCCTGGTAGCTGGTCTGCGGTTCGTTGAGCGTGATTAATGATCAATGTTCCTGCTGGAACTCGCGATAAATACTGGAGCATGCAATTATGTAAACGTAGTATGCCAAGCCAAGAGGTGTCAGATTCGCCCCAACTTGTCAGGGGATCGATATGAGTGAGGCTGTGGCATTGACTTACCAAGTACAGTTCTGTGATTGCCTTAACAACACGATCTATTCTCCTTCCCTGCGTCCCCCAGTCTGGGGAGCATCTGGCTCCCAGCTAAATGCGTCGAGATGCGCAAAAATCCAAGCCCGAACCATCCAGGTAGCGAATTTCATCACGATCCGCTCGAATGGCAAGCATCTCGGCTGACAACCAGCTGGGAACTCCGCATGACTAGTCAAGAGTCCACATTGAAGCGAGGTGGAATCTTCGTGTACACGTGCGAGCAGACTGGGAAGGCTGTCTCGGAGTGAACGACGCCAAGCCTTCAGAATAATGATTCCCATTGTGTGTACCCGTTCATCTTATGTTAGTCTTACCAGAACCGGACTTTTCGAAACTCAAAGCTGTCTTGCTTCATTCAATACTTTGAACCGAATGATGGTGAAAGCCGGTATGTCGATGTCGACGTCGATGTCGATGTTTTGAGCATATACGGTACAGTGTCCTTTGGAAGAGCGGACGGCGACACTATGGAGATGTACGCCAATATGTGACCTCAATAAGGACGAGTGATTGTTGATACTTGATGCATTTGACTTCTTCGGGTGTTTCCTCTCCATATGCTGTGGTACAGATGCAATTGCGTCGTGCCCACCCACCTCACTCATCATCACTTTCGTCAGTGAACTCTGAAGACCCTTGCTCTTGCCATCTTGCCATCCTCTTCTTCTTATTCTATCAGGCCAATCGCCATAGACGCGCATCGAGGCGGGTTACGATGCCGGCGTCTTGCAGGAGGTCACCGCCCAAAGTAGGTCGATCGAGGAATGAGCGGCCAGAATCCTCTACGTTGGAGGGATCGCAGACGTCGATTCTGGACAAAACCTCGGTCGAGCTCTTTCATTCGGTTTTGAGAAGAGCCTGGGCCATTGACTAAGGCTCGGCGTAGCAGTGTTGAGAAAGAAGTCCAGCACTGGAAGCTGTGCAGACGAAATGACCAAATAGCCCGCCTTCCGGGCCCACGCGCTGCTGGTAGGCAACGACGATCTATGACATGGGATAAATGTGTATGGTGGGATGACTCGTCAACCGCAAGTGACTTCATACCACCTCACCTTTCTTATTGTGATGTTCTGGTTGCTTCCCGGGAATAACAGCCGCGCGGAGGCTATTCCCGAGTCTATAGCAAGAGGCAGCCAGACTCCAGATCTCTTGGAACACTCGCATAGCTTGACTGCTCGGAATAAGATTGGGGCACGAAGTATATTGTGAGGATGGTCTGCAGATTGCCTTGCCCTGAGCAGTAGGTCCGGCCATGCAGGCCATATTGGCGATTCCGTCGAGCCTGGATTCGTCCATAGACATTGATGTCGCGCCGTTTCAAGCCCAATTCGCAAGAACACTTGAAGACACCACCAGAGGTATATCACGCCTTCATGCTGTGCAGCTGTCACGCAAGTAGCGCGTAAGCAAGAGCTCTTCCACTGCTGGAGGAGCTCGTTGCGACCGCACCGACGGTGCCGGTATCCGCGAGTGTCGCAGCAAAGACAGCGCGAAGCTGGCATCGAGACCTCCACTGGCACGTCTGGTCGCGAATACAATGCAAGGTACTTGGCGAAGTCGCGTTGGGCCAAGCTACATGCAAGTTGAGAGATGTAGTCGTGAGGTCTTGGCGTGTGACGTGAAAGATCCTCGAGCTTCTCCGCAAAATTCTGTCTCCGCGACGACCAACGTCCCGGTATTTGACCTCAGTTCGTCGCGTCTCCAAGAAGGCAATAGACCAGTGTTCGGACCGTGTACAGCGCGCTCAAAGGCTCGAGGACATGAGGTTTGATGCCCAGCCGGAAAAACAGTCACAAGGTGTTGACGGTCCGGTAATATAACCCATCTAATTGGGCCAGAACGACAGCGATCTGCCAAATCCTACCAAGAATGGCGTTAAGGTTGTCGGGAGGAGGCGCCACCGGCCTCGCTCTCCGCTGTGCGGGGAAAGGTTGGTCGATCGACGGGCGTCTGGACTGGGGCTGGACGTCTTTTCGTCGCGGTGTGACCTGGGGGTGGTGAGCGCTGTCTGCGCGGGCGGAGTGCTGCAGAAAACCATGACCTCTTGCTGCTGCTGCGCTGCGCAACGGTAAATGCGGCTTTCACCCGCTCTTCTGCCCATCCCTTTGCCGTGAAGATTCAGCAACCGCTGCCACTAGGAGACACGCCTCCCAGCAGGGCGGGACAGCAAAAGCAACGGGGGGATGCACGCCGACGAGGCTGTCCTCAGTCCTGGGACGAACGGCGCTCGCGGGAAGCTCAAGCAGCGGCGCTCGCGAAAAGCATGTCAACACTGTCATACGCGCAAGATACGCTGCAATGTGCTCGAGAGCGGCACGCCATGCTCGAATTGCGTCGATGCCGGCACGACGTGCATCATTCGCCGCCGGAAGAACCAGAGGTGAAGCCCCTCTCTGCAACTCGCAGACTGCTTGCAATCTGGCTGACATGAATGAAACTCACAGAAGGGAGTCCACTCCGCCTGATAACGGCCACCATGCGGTGCTCGACCAGTCGCACAGCTGGAGGGTGAACAATCCACCCCCGACCTGGACCAACAACAATGCGGTGCAACGCCCCTTGGGTCCCCAGAGAGCACCCACAGACCCCAATAGCGGCCAATTCGTGGAGAACCAGTCGCAAAGCTCGACCTCGCCTCCATCTGGCGATGGCCGCGTCAACGCATGGCCGGACCTAAATGCCTCGCTGTCCTGGGATCAGAGTGCTATTGTGGATGTCTCTTCGGCCAGCTGCGACTTTAGCCATTTGACCGACCTGGACGATATCTTTACCTTCACGGGCAACTCATTCTTACCTCCTACGCTGCCAGAGGCACAAAGCGTGAATGGCTATGCTTGGCAGCAACAACAGCAGCCACAGCAGTTCCAACAAAATCTTAGCCCGGCGCCGATGTTACCAGGTCCTGGGTCTGTGATCAATGGGGTCAATAGCGTTTCACCTCGACGTCCGTCAGTCATTCATACCTCAGTGCATATCCCAGGATTGAATCCGCGGGATCATGAATACTTGCGAGGTGAAGGCTGCTTCGATCTACCGCCGGCGCATGTGCTGCGGGAAATGATGCGCATGTACTTCAAGATGAACCACCCCAACTTGCCCATTGTGGATGAGAACCACTTCTGGTCCCTGTGGAATGGCGATGAGTATCGAGTCGGCGAGTATTCCTACTTACTGCTGAGGTCAATGATGTTTGCCGCCACCAGTGTATGCTCTCGTTCTAGCAGGATTCTAGATCTCTAGCTAATGTACACACAGTATACGGAGCTGGAAACACTGTCTCAAGTTGGCTTTGTGTCCAAGCGCGAGGCGCGCAATACTCACTATCGACAAGCCAAGGTTAGTAGAGCCAGCTCGCTCATTATAGTGTTCTAACACCGCACAGCTGCTCTTCGACTTCGGCATAGAACGAGATCCTGTGGCAAACGCTCAGGCCTGCTTGCTACTCTCCTACAATGCGCCCAACTATAACATTATGCGACTGAATACCTACTGGGTGACGTGCGCTATGCGCTTTGCCTCTATCGCCCGAGCAGATTCATACTATCGGATCCGCGACCCGATCAGGTCACGACTGCTCAAGCGGCTCTGGTGGGGCGTCATATTCCGCGATCGCATACTGTCCTTAGGTCTTCGGCGAAAGCTCCAAGTACAACTCGATCCGGACTGGGCTGACACCGACAAGCATTTCCTCGTCGCTGAAGATTTCCAGAATGAGCTGGGACAATCGCCGGTCCACGACACCGAGACTCAACTCCGAATCGTGGAAGTCCTGGCAGCCACCTGCCGCTTGATGCAGAGCCTGTCGCGGGCGTGCGAGATCTTGTATCGCTATGAGCACCTAGACGACCGACTGGAATCCATCTCGAAGTCAGTGCCGGCAACCATCTCGGGCATTCAACGTTGCTTGGAGTCTCTTCGTCATTGGCAGTACCACGCAATACGATTGTTTCCTTTCCCAATTAGCCTGGACGATGCCCCAGAGACCATTTGCGTTTATGCAAACATGATGTTCTCATACCATGCAGCTGCAGTGTTTGGGCTGAACACGTACCTCATCCTCATGCGTGAGATTCTCCCTGCTGCGAAGAGTCTCTTCTCGTTGGAGGAAGCGCACGAAGCGCTTCAGATTGCGAACAATGATGTCGCAAGACGGACGCAGGAGTTGGTCCAAGTGCGTCTTGTTCAGTTCCTCCCCATCAGCGCTTCAGCAATACTCGCCTTGCCGCTGATCTTGCAAGCGATCAACGTCTCAGCCGCTCGCGGCTCAGGCATGGAAGCAGTCGAAATACGCCGCCTCGACGTCTTCACCCGCACCCTGCGCAGCCAACAACAATCCTTCGACGGCTCCGACTTCTGCGCTGATGTTCTCGGCAACGTCGTCGCCTATGCGCAAGACGACGCCAAGTTCGTAAGCTCCATGTCGAACTGGCGGGAAAACGGCAAGGACACGAACGGCGCGGCGAACATGCCGAACGGATCGAACAACAAGATCAAGCTGGACTGGGGGAACTTGATCTACAAGCGGCCGAGATTGTTCTTGAGATTGGTATTGTATCTGGATCACGCATTTAGTACGGGCGGACCACCGCAGGATGATGACTTCCCTGCAGAGCTGCAGAGAGGCGCTGCTTGATCTGAGATGGGCCTCGTGGTATGCGCTCTGCGTGAGATCAGTGCGCACTGCTATTCTTATCTAATGATGTGATTTCTCCGGCCGACAGTGGATGGCTACGGTGTAGCCCTGTCCGTCAATCTCTAGCCCTACCAAAAGTTAATGAGAAGCGTTCTATCATGGCCCCGGAGAGTGTGAGAGATTTCCTTTCCCAATACCGTCCTGCGCGCCTCATCGCGGGCATCTACGAGGGAGTGTAACAGGCTTCCAATATCTTTCTTCCCCTGACAATCATCCCCTTCCATACCTCTAATCAGACAATGGATACCTTTGATTCAATACCGGTTACGGAGAAGCACGTTACAAGCAGCAAATTTTTCCGTGAGTAAATCGCTTTCTCACCTGGGGAGGAGGGGTACAAGATGGCGTGGAAGTGGTCGTAAAGCTTGTCGAAGAGGATGTCGCAAGATGCCCAAGCGGAGTTGCAGTCGCTAGTGCGAGGTTGATGATGTTAAGATGAGAGTCGATATAGGCTTGACGTAATATGAAGTTGAGTGAGGGTGGCTGACTGACCTCTAGCCCTGTTTGACGACATAAGCAGGGGGAAAAGACAGGGAGCTGGGTAATGAGAAACGACTGGCCGGCGGCGTTGCCCATGTGAACGAGATTTCAGTGGATGTGAGTGGTTGACGGCATTGAAGAAGTGGACGGTTGAGAAGTGCTTTGTACTTGTTCAAGATCATTCTCTCCGGGCAATCATCCCTTTCCATGCCCCTAATCAGACAGTGTATACCTTTGACTCAGCCATGATCACGGAGAAGTACATCACAAGCAGTAACTTCTTCCTTAAGTAACTCACTTCCTCGCATTCGCTATTTCATTGCCTAGGCCCTGTTGTGGGCATCTACCAAGCAGTGTGACAGTATTTCCTCGACAGACTTCCCCAAAACACCATCTCCGTCTATGCAAGCAAACAAACCAGGGGTATCTTTGAACCGACAACAATCGCGGAGAAACACGCTCTAATCAACCATCGCCTCTTGATCCTACCAGCGCTTATCTCCCTCCTTCGAGTCCAACCACGCCAGGTACATCATCTCCTCATACTCTTCTGCCGATGGCCGATAGCTACTCGGGAATGCGCCGCGTGGGATGAGCTCCCCCTGTGGCTCTAGCGGCACCTCCTTGCCCAGGTCGTACTTGTCGAGGACCTTCTTCTGCTCTTCGATGATGTGCTTCTGGTGATTCGAGCGAGTAGTTCTTCGTATGGCGCTGCCTTCGAGGTCCTTGATGGTGTAGTCGCGGCGGCCGATCCTGGCCTTCTGCTCGTTGATGGTCTTGTTCTTCTCGGCGATGACCTTGTCCTTCTTGGCGATGACATCGTCGTTCTCTGCGATGATCTTGTCCGTCTCTGCGATGACCTCATCCTTATTCTCGAGTGCGGCCTTCAGCTCCTGCACCTCCTGCTCGAGCTTCTTCTTGTCCTCCTCGATCTGCTTCTTGTCCAGCTCGGGCTGCTTGACGCTCGCGACCAGATGTAGCACACTGTCGCCGGGCTTGCTGAGACGGGGAGTGCTTCGAGAGTCATGATCGCTGGTACCGCCGTCGCTGTCGCTTCCGCGCACTTCGTCTGAGGCGACACCGTACTGATCGGACGTCTAGTCGGGTCAGCCTTTGCGGAGATACATGTGCGAAGTGATGGTGCATACCTTCTCGCCCTGGGGCTTCTTGGCTGGACGGCGCTTCTTCGCATTTGATGTCTTGGCGACTGCGCCAGAATCCGTAATGCGTGGCGCCATAGTGGATGAGCTTGTGCTAATTCAGATTGTCAGTGTGAAGTGACAAGTGATGGCGACTGTGAAGGAACACTTACATGTGTCGGCGGTGGGTGGTGTCGACTGCAGTGAGCTTGAGTGTAGTGAAAACGAGGAGTTCGGCAAGACGCCTACCGAGTTGCGGCGCCCTAAGCGAGCGAGCGGCGGCCTATGCACGTGCTGCCAAGCTTCGCCCCACTTGAGTGAATCTGCAAGCAAACGCTGCCCTTTGGCAGTGATTGGCCGACACCGGAGCTAGTGAAGGCCCGTGCGTTTAATGAGCGTCAAATTCGCCTCGCTTCTCTTTCGCCTTCTTTCTTCTCTTGCAGCACAGCGACCGACGACAATGGTCGCACACGCCCATGCCAACATCTCCGCCAGCACCCGCTGTCGCCGATTCGACCCTCGACTGCACCACACCTTGTCATCTCTAATGCATACAAAGTCATCTATTGTGGCGTACCCAGTGAGCACCGCCTTGAAGATAGACTGTTTGCCTGTCGCAGCATGCCTGCAACAACAGAACAACAGTCTGCACCCGCTCGCTGGAACGCCATGATGGAGCACCGTCTACAGCGCACTTCAGATGCCCGTCGAGGTTCTTCTACCCACGCTCTCTGAAAACGCTTAGTCGGGAGTGCGGCACTGGTGCACCCAGTCGTGCATCCAAATGGGCGTCAACGTGTTCGTTGCTGGTAGCTCCTTGGCCTTCGGGTCAGGTCGAGCGTGACCAGCTCCTGGAGTTGCGTCCAGCACGCTGGCCACTTTTGTCGCCGCGCCAGCGCACCTTCGCAGCCAGATCGAGCGCTGATGTTGTTCTGAGTTCTTCGCTGCTTGCGACTGAGGTCTGCCTCTCTGGACGTTGGTTGTGGTTCGACTTGCATGCTTGGGGTGACTTGGTCGCGACGAGCCCCTCCGACGATCCGCACACGGCCGCCCTCCCTCCTCGCACCTCTCTGATCCCGACCGAGCAAGTACGATCGACCGATACGACCGATACCAACATCGACTCGAATCCCAAGTCGACTCCGCCAATAACCTCCTCCCCACAAACGCAAGACCGTCGAGACCCGCGATTCCCACCTCCCGCCCCCATACTATTTCACTCCAGCAGATTTGCTCATAGGGTATGTTGTCTGCTCTGACCGTAGTATGCGTAGGGACCATGCGGGCCCCTCAATGCTAACATGTGTAGGCCATCAGACTTTGGCATTGTCGATGCTGAATCCTGGAGGCTTTCGATATCTAAGATGCGGTGGAGAGCTTCTCTCATTCTGCTCCATCTCCTCTCATGCTGAAGGCTGCCATACACTTATTACAGGACTCTGAGTCCAGAAGATCTTAGTTGCCACTGCTGTACAGCCATCCGCATATAGGTGTGCGATATGGTCATCGGGTTATGAGACAGTGTGTCTCTTTGTGTTCCAAAAGAGGACACTGTATGGCACTGGAGCGTGTGCAGGAGGTACGGCATTGCAGCCACAACTTTCTCGATATCCCCTTATGGGGGCAGCCGATGTTGTCTCGGTTCCTGCTCGCAATTTCCCGCGTTTGCTTGTAATCTCTATTCTCGACCTCTTTGAACAATTTATGAAAGAAGTAGCTTTTGATTTCGCTAGGTAGAGTGGCTCGAGCACGTCTTGCCGAGAGTCGAGCGTAGGAGGAGATCCAGGCCTGCCAGTTTGCAGAAGAGCAAGAACAAGGACATTCTCCAAAGAGCATGAAGTGCCAGGTCATTCGAAATCTCCCCTTTCAACGCTTTGTTCCCGTCTGCTTCTTTTGTACCTCACTTTGTCTCGCCCTGTACCGCTAAGCGCGTGCGAGCTGCGGCATGGCGATTACAAAGCCCCTCCCTTTGCCAATCGGTCTCACTAATAATCGACTTGTCGCGCGTCTGAGTTGATATGTTTGACGACTGAACTCTGGAGGCCTAAGTTTGAGGCCATGCTGACCCACTTGAGTGAATTAGACGAACAAGATCCATGATTGGCCAGCTAGCAAACGGCTGAAGGCCCGTGCAACCGCGCCCACTCAAGCTCGAATTTCTCCGGTAGTTTCTCATCGTCTTGACACCACCTCCGCAGTCCTGGTACTTCTTTTCGACATCCCATCACCGCCGTGATCACAGAGCTGCAGCAACAGACCATTCAGTGAGAGCGTACCCACCTGGCGCCGCCTGAAGAAAGACAGCGTGCTCAGCAGATGTCTTGCAAAGCCTCTTGGAACGCTCTCGCTGAAGCGCCGTCTCGGGCGCACTCCAATCTCTGTACTCCAGGTTCTGGACCGCTGATTCGGAAGTGTGGACACCAGTGTACTCAGACGTGGTGTAAAAGCCGTTGACCACTCTTGTCGCCGCGCCAAAGATTCGTGCATATAGAGCTACATGCCGCGCACCCAGATTGTGTCAGGATTGTTCTGCAATTCTTCGCTGTCAGCAATCATTGTCCGGTCTGGCCGCCTTCTTTGGTTGGTCTTGCAGTCCCGGGAAAAGAGGTTTCATATCGCGATTCCAACACTATTTATGCCGACCGATGCCTTTCGACGAAGGCCGACCTTACGAGAGACCGATTTTTCAAAGCACGCTCCGACAAACGACCGTCTTGGCGGGCGACCGACCGAACGAAGACCACACGAACTACCACCCCGACCGGCGACAACCTCAGCCTCGACCAGCCGCACCTCCAACCGATCGTACATTCGCCGATCAGCTCCTTCCTCGCCCCCTGATATCGAACAATTTGCGCCGGCCTCGACTTACGATCCTCTCACACCGCGCTCAATTACGACCCCCAACGGCCACGCTACTCGATCCACGACCCCACACTCAGCTCCGCTGAGCAACACGTTACCTCGATCTCCTCGCTCATATTTGATGGTATGTATTCAGACTTCACCGTAGTACGCGTGGGGGCCATGCGGGCTCCCAAATGCTAACATGTGTAGGCCATCAGTCTTTGGCCAAGCACGCCGAGTCCTGGAGGCTTTCAGCTACAAAATCAGGCCATAGATGTTGAGGATTGAAGTAGATTCATTCAAATCCAGCTTTAAATTGATTCACTTGATTGTGAACCTTGCCCTTTCCGAGTTGAATATCCATTTGAACTCTCACCCGACACTCTCTGAAGGGTTTAACATATCAAGCAATTCAAAGGCCACGATCGAAAAGAATATATGTGTCATCCCGCGGTGCTTTGTGATGCTGAGATCCATGATATTGTGACCGTAGATGTACAAGTGGAGTCTCTCAGGGGCCGTGGACCTTTCTCGATGGAGTTCTACTACTCTCGATATCTCTCGGTCTTTCTGCTTTCTTCGCCCGGGTGTCCGACACGAGCACAGCTAGTGTTCAAGAGGCCAACTTACCGTGTTTGAGCAGAAAATTGTATACGTGCTCAGCAAACGAGTGTTGGAATGAAAGTGATCTTGCTCGGGGGATCACGTGGAGCTTTGTTTGCCACGGCAACCAACTTGTTCTTCCTGGCTGAGCTGCGTCAACCTGTTTCCTACTACCTCGTTCATCACATCGCATGCAGTCGTACTACTCTTGTCGAGCTGCTGAGACTGCTTACTTCACTCTCATCCTCACCTCAACCCTCGCTTTACTTCACCCCAGCCATCAATTTGCACCTACTTTACTTCACTCCTGGCTGCACCCAGGACTTTACCTTCATTCCCTCGTAAGTTCAGACTCCAGACCCCTTGCTCGCCATGCGACATGCAACACTCTGACCAACACTTCAGAGAAACGACAGCGACAAACCATCTGAGTATGAGTTCGCAGCAGCAGGAGTGGGAGAGGGTCGGTATCTCTGGCCTCGATTCCACAGAGATACCAGATCTTCAACCATACCGCCTCCGAGACACTTTCATAGACACCAATCGGCTCGTCCACCCCGATCAAGTCCCTTCTGTTTTCAACTATCGCAATGAATTCTCCGAATTCACACCAGAGGAGGAGCTGCGATTCGCTATTGCCTTCAAGCACGCCCACAAAGAATTCGCCACCATCGCCCAGTACATGCCTGACAGATCCGAGTCTGAGTGCAAGGATTATTACTATCAGAAGAAGCATGACGGCCGTTTCGATACCCTACCATTGAACCAGAGGGAAAAGACTTGGCAAAAGCTGCCAGACTTCGACCGCCGCAAGTTGGAGGCCGAGGCTCCAACCAACCGCACCGACAAGGAAGGCAATTCAGTTCAATCCCGATCCGCGATACAACTCAAGAAGATTGTCCCTATCGAGGAAGAGATCGATCGACTCTCGCTCATTCAGGCCGCCCCAAACGCATATACTGGCAACCCGGCTTCACTCGCAATGGTGCAAGCACATATTGCCCAGATTCGAGGAAAGGAAAAGAGGGACGCCAGTGAAGCTGTCAAGATGAGCAAGAAGATGAAGAAGAAAAACGGGAAGAGCAATGGCGAGTCAGCAAAAGAGCCGTCATTCAACGCCACGCAGCTCTTCGAAGATATCCACCGGAGCCTAGGGGGCATGAAGAGGGGGCTCGTTGACCTCATGGCATCGTACGAGGCTGCACTGGAGGGGTATCGAATTGGAGATAGTAGCAACTTAGAGAAGGAAAGCGGTGGTGCTGTGCATGCACTAAAGATGCGGGAGAACCAAAAACGCTGCCACTTTTTGGAGGATCAGATCACTTGGGTCTCTAGAGCCCTTGTCGCCCTGTTTCTTCCAGACAGGGCTATCGAGGAGCTGAAGGGCGATGCGGAGGGTTATGACCGATTCGGCGAACTCTTCATGTGCTTGATATCGGCTAGGACTGGTATCTTCACACTCGAGGCCGACCACGATTCAGCGGCATCTCAGCTGGAGAATCTTCAAACTGGGGATCCTGAGCTGGAGGGTATCGTCAAGGAACGTACCGAGCAGCTTCAGGGGCTCGTGGGCGATGCACATGCTTTGATTGAGGCGATGGGCAGATCTTTGCTGAAGGAATTTCAAGGGTTCGAGGAGCTAGCTCAGTTCATGAGCGACGCTGCATACACGTTGGCGGGAGAAGACCGTCACGATAGTGTAACCCAAAGTAGGGATAAGCTGTAGCGTAAGACTCTATGTCTCTTCCTGCACTATTCGCTGTTTAGTGTCTAGTGGCTCTCGTAGTGGTACCAGCAGCTACAGTTACATGCAAACTTAGGCATTTTTCCTGGGCATGTCATAAGTCTCTGTGAAACGCGTGTGAGACTTCCAAGCCTCTTCACGCCGATATCGTTACTGTCATTGACGGCGCATAGTGTCCATGTTACTCCAGAGGAAGTTGGCCTTTCTCTTTCTCTGTTCAAGATCCAGACCCTGAACACCAGACTACATTGTCCTAAGTATAGGAGGCGTGGCTGGCGCACGCGATGCCTTTGTTTCCATAAAGCACGACAATACTTTCTTTCCTCCTCTCAAATCCTCTTTGTCTGACCAAAGCTTTTGCCTTTCAATAGCAGCTTCCATTGGGGGTGTCTACAGTCCTATTCTTCAATGCCTCCTACTGTATTTCTCAAGTCCTCTCATTCTTCTACATAACGTCTCTCCCTCCGTGCAGGGACGCACGGTGTGCCGGAACAGCTAAGCCGCGATTGTAAGTCTTTCGCCTCCCTTCCCTGTATCTCGACCGGATATCTTCGGTCATGAATTGACACCTAATTCTCTTTCGGAAGAGTCTAGTTTCGGGAACTCTATTAATATGTGGTCGACTATACGAGCTAATTCTCGATATCGATAGCTTTCCTCTTAACCTTCAAAGTCGACCTAACGAAGCTCCTTTCGATTTTTTGCCCTAAACACAGATTAGCTATAGAGCTTTAGAGATAATAATGTCTTATATAAGCTATAAAAAGTTTCTAAGGTGCGTAGCTCTTGTTATTCTAGGAAAGGGTGCGATATACTAGCTACGAGCGTGGCGCAGCTTATAGCGTATCGCGCCCTCCGTAGCGTATAGCCGAGAGTTCGAGAAGTTTCCTTAACTACGTGCCTTTATCCGATAAGGCTAGCTAAAGCCCCGGACTCTCTACTTCTACCTCTCGTAGGTCGAGCGCCTACGTAATACGCGAGAGTACCTACGCCTAAGGCGAAAGCTTAGCTAACGCTATTACGGTACCGTATATATACGCTATAATAGTAGGCCCGCTATATAGGTAAGGCTATAAATTTATAATTAACTACTACTAGAAACTCTCCCTCTTATAGCTTTAATTACTAGTAGCCCGGTCCTATAATACGCCTCCTAAAGGTTATCGACGAGTACGAATTTAGACTTTATAAAGATAAAGAGGAGGACGATATACCCGAGTACGCTATTCTATCCTATACGTAGGCTTAGGATAGCGAGGAAGAAGTAGTATTTAGGGACTTATTAGAAAAGATAGGTAGGTATAAAAGTAGCTATCGTAAACTCGAACTTTACGTAACGTAGGCTACTCGGGATAGGATCTAGTACTTCTAGGCGGATACTTACTATATCGATAAATCGAATAGTATAGAACTTAATACTACTATTACCTCTATATTTAGATAGTATTATCGCGCCGTAAAATACTACGTCTATCTACCCGATATCTCTATCGTACGGTCTATAAATAGTAGTAGTATCGCTAACGAGGCCTAGTTTACTAAGTTCCGGAATTCTCGGTAGATAACTCGAGAGTAGACGCTCTAGGAGCTTCTTACTCTAGCTAAAGTCGTATTCTATAACGAGGTAGGCCTACGGCTAGGCGATAAAACGTCCCTCGAGCGTTATATACGTAATATTACGGGAATACCGGTTAAAGCGCTTCGTAGTCGTCTACTTTTATCCTTTAGTATTATAGAACGCTTCTCGTAGTAAGATAGCCGAACTACGACGAAGCTAGAAAATAAAATATACTTAATAATAGGTATCTATAGAGTTTTAATAGTTCCTATATATAGCGAGGGACGAGATACTATAAGAACTAGGCTCCGAAGGACGATCGAGAATAACCTAAAAAGTAAAGTTTATAGATATTAATAGTAGTCTAAAAGTAATACTTAAGAATTCTATCTACGACTAATATACTTAGGACCTAAATTTTAGGACTTCTTTTTTCTATTCGGCGACTTTAAACCTTTAGTAGTAGAGTATTTCGTAGTAAGAGGATAGGAGCTAGAAACGATTTACTTTTCGCTTATAGGCGATAGTTACCGCCGTATAGTAATTCTATATAGCCTTAGTAGAATTAGTAAAACGTAATTAGTAGTAGCTTACGCTAGATAGTATAGGGATAATTATTTAGCTATTTTCTAGCTAAATATCTAGAACGAGATATCTATTAAACGGAGCTTCGAGAGAGTCGTAAAGCGGATTATCCGATACTATCCCTCCGCCTAGTAGGTTAGTAGCCTTAACTTTAATACTTATCTCGAGGATTTTGTCGCTACCGTTAACGCGTAGTTAAGCGAGAATAGAAATACGCGCTAGTTAGTAATTTACGATAACTATAATAACCTTAAAATACGGAGTAATAAAACCCCCGACGCTATTAATATACGTAAATTCTTACTAGACGCTCTCTAGGGTTTAGTTATTATTACTACTTAATAGCTACTAGTACTAGGTAGTAGATATATTCTAGTAAAGAAGCTTATAAATCCTAGGGATAGTATTAATATCCTTTTAAGTATAATAGGGCGTCTACTTTTAATCGATAGTAAGTAATACCGAGAGAGTAAAGTATAGCTCTAATACTAAACTAGACTCTAGTATATCGGCCCTAGTCGAGAAGCTCGACAGCTTACTATTAGTACTTACTATAGCTAGTATATACCTATTTTAGGTTAATATTAGTATAGTCGAATACCTAGAAATATATAACGCTTCGTAGCTTTAGCTCTATAAGAACGATCCTAGCCTTAATTCGTATAAAGACCGGACGCTCTACTCGACCTAGCGTATATCGCTTAATCGTATCGAGTAGTAGAACGAAGTTTCGGCGAAGCTACTTAGCCTATAGTACTACTTTAGTAATTAAGACCTCTAGTTTAAGTTACTATATAAAGCGCGTAAAGATAGCCTATACTAGATTAATAAGATAACTAAAAGTCGGTATACTTTTATAGAAGCTATATAATTACTATATAACTATAGTCTAGTAGACGCCGAGAAGCTACCCGAGGAAAGTATTAAGTTAGGAGGGTATAGTATCTATAGCTATATATATATATAGTCCTCGTATATTCTTAATACGTAATAGGACCCGGCCCTAGTAAAGCTTATACTCGACGTAATAGTACGATATACTCTAGGAGAGGATTCTATAAAGCCTTAGATTATAGAGCGTCGCTTATTATAGTATACAAATCGATACCTATATTATATCTAAAGAAACTTAATAGAAAATAAAAATATCTAATAGTCTCTATATAGGATAAGAGTCCTCTTCGCTAACTAGGGTAAGATAGAGGAGGTAGAGGAGATATACTAGTAAGCGCTACGAGGGTAGGAGTAGGCCTATAGTCCCGAGTACGTAGATACTCCTATAACGGTTAATAATCTCGCCGTTCTTAGCGCCGACTAGAGTAAGATAGAGGAGGTAGAAAAGATATACTAGTAAGCGCTACGAGGGTACGAGAAAGCCTTATTAGGATTAGTATACTAATCCTAGAATCTTACTTAGTACGGGTACTAAGCTTAAGTCCTTAGTTAGAGCTCGTTAAAGGGAGAGAGTCGGTAGACTACTAAAATAATCTTAAAGTAGAGGTTTAGGTATAATTATAAACTAAATAGTAAGATTAAATAGTAAGTTAAACGCTATTATATAAACTATAATATCGTTCCTATATAATAAAGAAGAAGCGTATTACTCTACGCTCTATAAAGTAAAAGGGAGAGTACTCTATCGCTTTTTTAATAGAGCGAGAGAGCGGTTACGTACGTCGATCCTAGGGAGCCTATACGTGCCCTACTTCGATCCGTAATACTATCTCCTTTCTAGCCTAGCT